GTGGGCTGATGGAAACATTCGCATTGGCGACTACATTCTGTTGAGTAAGTCTTCACTAATCTTAAAAAGAGACTCATCTGACATGTTCTAGTCGATTCTGATACTCGTGTCCCCACGGATTGTTTATTGGATGCTTGCACTGAAATGGAACTATCTCCTGAAGTTGGCATTATGCAATTCTCGTCTGGTGTTATGCAAGTCGTCAATACTTATTTCGAAAATGGCATCACTTTCTTCACGAACTTGATTTATACTGCTATCCGATATACTGTCTCGAACGGAGATGTCGCTCCTTTCGTTGGTCATAATGCTATTTTACGCTGGGCAGCCATTCAGCAGGTTTCATATGTAGATGAGGATGGATATGAAAAGTTCTGGTCAGAGTCTCATGTATCTGAAGACTTCGATATGTCTCTTCGCCTTCAAGTAAATGGATACATTATTCGCTTAGCTGCATGGGCTGGTGAAGGATTTAAGGAGGGTGTGTCGTTGACCGTTTACGATGAGCTTGCTAGATGGGAGAAGTATGCATACGGTTGCAACGAACTTCTCTTCCACCCATTGCGTATGTGGTTCTACAAAGGACCATTTACTCCTCTCTTCAAAAGCTTCTTGTTCTCCAATATTCGATTCACCTCGAAGATCACAATTATCTCATACATTGGCACCTATTATGCCATTGGAGCTGCCTGGATCTTAACCACGGCCAACTACTTCGCTATTGGATGGTTCAACGGATACCTTGACAAATACTATATCGATTCCTGGAAAGTTTGGTTCTCCATCGTCATCGTGTTTAACGGTCTTGGAAACATCGCACTAGCGGGAATGCGCTACCGAGCCGGCGAACGCAGTCTCGGCTTTTCCCTCTACGAAAACTTCAAGTGGACATTAATGTTGGCCATCTTTCTCGGTGGTCTCTCCCTCCACGTTTCCCAAGCCCTCCTCTCGCACATGTTCGAAATCGATATGACATGGGGTTCCACATCTAAAGAAGCAGAATTCAGTAACTTCTTCATCGAAATCCCAAAAGTCTTGAAAAATTTCAAATACTCGATGATTTTTTCCCTCTTGGGTATATCCTGCATCGTGGTCCTCGCCACTGCACCTTTCATTCCGTACGATTGGCGTATTCAGGATTTCGTGGCGATTCTACCGATGGCTACGGTTACGGGGAGTCATTTACTTCTACCCATTGCTTTGAATCCGGCGCTTATGACGTTTTCGTGGTAAAGGAGATGTGAGGCTTTAAATATTTTCCTATTTGCATAGCTTGTGTAAAGGAAAGCGCTACAGTTTTGGGTTGAAGGAGGTTCTGGTCTTGGTGTTAGGGTGTTTGTGGTGTTTATAGGAAGAGAGCCTAGCTATGCGTTATATTACGTGTTACATGTTAAGGTTACGTGTAAGATATATTAAAAAATTCATCATCAAATTGATAAATAGATGAATAGATCGTTCCTGTCACAATAGTGTGATCACAGAATAGGTGATTTGTAGCTGTGCATTGAATGGAATGGAAGATATCGATGCTGGCTGTTGAGAGTTAAAGTTGAACATGGCTAGACTCTTGAGGAGGTTTTTGATTACTTGCTTGAGGAAGGGAAGGGATGGAGATTTTGGGATTGAGATTGGATTTGAGATTAAATTTGAATCTGTAAATCATAGCTTGATATGAGGGTTTGCGGGTATAGAAATGAATTTGATGGGTGAGAGGGTTTGGTGAGGATAGGTCTGGATAGATATGCGAGTGAATGAGTGAGTAGTTGGGTAAATTATAATACTGTAATATTCATTGCAAAAGAAGAATTTATATATTCTTGGACTGTGCAATAAAGGTTTTGAGGTCGAGAGGAGAAGCATGGGATTGTGTGGGAATCTTCTGGTTCTTGATTCGGAGGGAGTTGAAATTCTATCAGGGATTTTTTGATCCGTGGAGATGGATTTGAGTGTTATATTGAGTGGTATACTTTGTAGACTTCATCGTCAAGTCCTTAATGAGGGAGGGGGGGATGTGAGTGTCGAGAGAGCTTGTGGTTTCTGTGAGGACTTTTATTTTATTAGTATATATCGATTCTTGCTGAGAGATGAGGATAATATAAAATCTCAGCGCGATTTTCTTCTCAAAAATATTCGTGTCTGGAATATGTGGTTCAGTTCGCATTTGCGGATTCCCCAACTAATTTCCTCATAACTTCAAACAAGTCTTTGGGACCCATCACCTCCCGCCTTTCAGATCGTAAATATTCTCTTCGCTACCCACCCGACGATATCGAAACCCCCCAATATGAAATCCCGACTACGAATTCACACAATACATAATTACCACCCCTCGAAAACCTTTTCAGAAACACACAAACCTCGCTTATATCGCCACAAGACTATCCCCACCCACCAAGCCGTAGTAAGAAATCATCTTCGGGACCTGATCATGAAAGCTGGATGGCCACATCATCAACACATAGTCTCCAGAAATATAATTCCTTTTCCAGTCTTTCGAGTTCTAGAATTCCCATCTCGAATTCTTCGAATCGTCGATAGATAGATTTCTGATAGATTTTCGATCTCTGCTTGTATATTGGGAACACATTTGAGTGCGGATGATAGATCTTTTGTTGGGTATGGATCTTTATTTTTAGGCGGGAGAGTAAGGTATTTCTCTGTTTCTTTGAGAGGAAGTTTATGCGTTTGTATTTATCTCTTGACTTGTAGGTTAAATGTCGTTGATGAACTCGGAATCTGACGTTTTTTGTGCGCTTTCTGAGGTTGACTGGAAGATCTGGTGAAGCTTTATCGATCGTAAAGATCGCTGCTTCTTTAATAAGTAATGCATGTCTAATGTGTTCTTCCGTGGGTGTTTTTCCCAATCGGCTTTATATTTACGTGTGGTCTGATTGAGGGCAAGATTCGATCAGAGTTCTAACTATGATCACCTGGCGCACGCCCTCTACTTGAATCAAAAGTGCCAAATTCTGTTCTGGGTTTATATTCAGCAATCTGCGAATCATCGCAATTGAATGATCAGAAATTATTTACGCGCCAAATAATATGTTCAAAATCACACCTCTGATGAGTAGACAAGTCAGCAAGTATCTGTATCCTGGCAACATTTAAAGCTCACTAGAGCCCCTGGAGTAGGATTTCTAAACACGAGAATATATTCCATAAAAACAATAAATAGCAACTGATTATTCTCAATTACTAGTAAGACAACCACCCAAACTATTCGGAAACTGACTTCCCGAGTAAAGAACCTCAGAACAAATCGTCATCTCCTCACCCCTTCCCGAGTCTCCCAAGTAGTTTCAAAGCATATAAAACAGCATGTAAAACAGAAGACTTAATCTTTTGCAAAATTTCAACCATTCCATCTGCTGTCATTGGTACCGTAGCATCGTAGCACTATGTAAATACGTAGTTTTTCGTATCCACATCGTATTGCTGATGTGTTTGTTACCCCAGCTATGATATAGAGGAATGTTGTGGATTCACAAGTTCCTTCTGTTATAGACAGCAGCGATGAAGCGATTATGAGGCTGATAGATTGGTTTCGGGAGACCTGCTAAACGTGAAGAGTAACATATTATCTCTATCTTCTTCCTCCCTCATGATTTTCAAACTTTCTGATGAAACGAGGCATCTCTGATACTTCAAGCTTGCTATATTTCACGCGCCGCTGTGTAACTCATTCTCAGTTCTTCTAGAAGAAACACCTCCTTGCCTTAAGATAAGTTCAAAACGAGCATCAATAGATTTGAATAAATGACTGTATCACAACCTCTCATTCCGAGAAAATCCGTAATAGTAGGTGATGCAAGACTTTGTGAAAGCAGCAGAACAGTATATCCCAATCTACTCAATGCAAGTAATAATACCACATAATCGAGATCGGATGAACCTACAAGAGTAATCACTTAGCCTTGATCCTGGTCTCGTTAATACAGATTTTGACCCAATAACTGGAGACACGCACTGGTGCACAACTACACCATATAAATTCTTTGGTAGCTCGATCAACGAACCTGTCCAGATTTTGGCTAGTGAAAAGTTCGAACCCAGTCAGTCACACTCTTGCTAGGCCGAGGGTAGGCAAGAATAGGTAGGGACGTGATGTACATCCGCTGCTCTTACATTTGTGATATCATCAAGAATGAGAAATCCCCAAAATCGAAGGTAGAATCGATTAATCCCATAACTGGACACTGTGTCTTGAAGGAAGTCACAACTTATAATTCAAACGGTTTCTGATCACATCAAGGGAAAATTCCATTTCCATAACCTTTTAAATAAAGCTCTGAAGATAAATTGGGGCAGGTGAGATTCATCATACTCCGCGATTCACGTAGGCCGTTGCTCTTTCGCCCTGTACATCTCGTAGTGGCCGAAATGGATGTGGAGACAAGCTTTGCCGAGATGCAGTATCACGAACGCATGAGGAAGGGATCACGATCCTTCATCCCACATCACATTATCTTTCCACAATGACAGAGATAAGCGCACGATCATATGCGGCCATTTTGAATTATTGACATCAAGATTTTCGGAGAAATGATGTAGGGAATACAGGCAATGAACAATAATCATTATCAACAGTTCATCCTTGTAATGAGGGGATTTCTATGTTTCAATGTTCCAATTATGTTCATATAAAGTGAGGTGTACGTAAAGTGTTCTACAGGTTTGTTTCTCATCAGTTCCCAGACTCATGATAGAGAAATGGCTTGCCGCCATGGACAAATAATGTTCAGTTGATCAAAGACTGATGAACTTTCAATGTAGGTGAATTAGAAACACTTATTCACCTGCTAACACTTACCTCAGATACCATCTCTTGCCATTCCACCGAAGCTCAAAAGGTCAGTTTCAAATCTAAAATACGTTCACCTGTCGTTGGAATTTTGAAGCGGTGCCGCTAAGTGTAGCTATGTCGAAATGAAGTAAAATGGTGAAATGAAACAACAGAATCTGCTAATGTTATATCACTTTACAGTAATTTTTGACTCTCATATATCGCGATCTGCTGCAAGGGCTCCAGATTTCATAACTTCCAACCACGCCGGATCGATGGCCTCTTCATTAAGATATGGTGATATATCCGCACCTTTTGTGCGGTCGGAGATGGTGAAGCCGAGGCCAAGGTATGCCCATCTTGATCTTTGTGAGTACTTAAATAGCTCGCTTATGACGGGTTGCGATATCAAGGTCACTTACGGGTTATGTTTATTTTGGTATGTTATGTTATAATCTTCGTATCTTGGGTCCTCGATCACCTCCATATAATGCAAGGAGCTACCGGGCCAAACCGCATTTACTCGTCCTGTCTCATTGTCTTTCCGGGATTAGTAACTGAGAGACAAGCGATGAATATGAGACTTTACTTTTATACCAAGAACGACAACCTGAGCCTGAGCTCCAAACAGTTTTCTTCATGAACTCTTGCGTATGTGCATTGAAAAGATCCGTTATATCTTGCTTTGGAGCGAATGACTTGATGAATTCTTTCTGCATCTTTTTGATGAGTTTGACAGCATAGTTAGCTACCTCGCCAAGAGGCCCCAAAACTGATCCATTGGTAATGGGCCATGTTGGTCCAATGAAAGTAATGAAATTTGGTATATCTGGTACCGCGAGACCTGAGATTTGTCAGCCAATACCTCTCTTGCACGAGTGAATAGAATTTATTTTACTTACCAAGATATGATTCTGGGATTGTCTTCCATTTTTCTCGAAGATCAACTCCATTTTGACCTATTATTGGGAAGCGAGGGCGGTATGAGACATCGAAGCCTGTGGCACAGATTATTGTATCCACTTTACATTCCTGACCTTCGCTGTCAATAACAGAGTCTTCTGTAATCTCCTCAACTGCAGAAAAATGGACATCCACGTTTGGCTCTTGAATTGCCGTCATGTAAGGATCGCCTACATCATTAGCCGGGCCCCTTAATTATAGAGAGCACTTACCAGGAGTAATTCTGCGACAACCGAGAGAAAAACTAGGAGTCAAGCCTTGCAGCAGCCTCTTATCTTTTATAATGTCGGCCATTCGTGCCCCAAACAATTTTTGAGCATCTTTTTGAGCCTTGCTGTCCTCGAAGAATAAATCCCAAAGACCATTTATCCTATTTTCCAAGTACTTTGTATGCTCAATAAGCGCCGGCAAGTCGTTCCTAAACTTTTCACGTTGCTCCGTGGTATATTCTTTGCTTCTTCCATCATTTCCAGCAACCGAGATGAACCATACCGGGGTACGTATGTAAACATCGATGTGCTTAACGTGGGGTTGCATGTTAGGCAATGTCTGAATCGAAGAAGCTCCGGAGCCAATGATTGCCACAGACTCATTCTTCCATCGTTCTTCTTGATAGTCATCTGGCCATCTTGCCGTATCTATTTCCAGTCAGTGTTCATTCCATGAACAAAATGGCAGATGTCAACACACGAATAACTTTTCCTTTGAATTTCTCAATACCCTTGATATTTGGCCATTTAAAATTATTCAATATACCTGTTGCATGTAGTAGCAAGTCACATGTCTCCTCAAATTGCTTCTCGCCAGACTCTGATGTCTGCTTCATCTTGACAGTCCATTTCCCAGTGTCCTCGTCCCAAAAACATCCGACAATCTCAGTATTGAAGGTCATGTATTTCTTAAGATCGAAAACTTCGCAGACCTTATTCAGATAATTCCAGATATCTTTAGAACCACTAGCATATTTTGGCCAATCAGGATTGAGAGCAAAAGGGAATGCATATGCGTGTGAAGGAACATCGCAAGCGGCGCCTGGGTATCTATTTTCGTACCAAGTTCCTCCGATGTCAGGATTCTTTTCGTAAATGACATGCTCAACACTGCACAACTTAGTATTGATCTCTGTGCCATAGATTGGGTGGTACCCTTACTTCTGGCATTGTTTCTGGATATGATATGCCATCATGATCCCTGAAAGTCCTGCACCAATTGTGAGGACCTTGAGGCGTCGATTGTTAGGATCACGAAAGGTAATATCAGGTATCTGATAACCATCGGCAGGAGTGTTCAACGAAGCGTCGCTTTGCGTGGTCAACTGAGAAATGTCTAGCGCCATGTTGAGAATTGGAAGACACGAGATCAAGACTTTGGATCCAAGAAAGAGAGTATCGGGGGTATGATAGAAAGGAAGTCTATAATCCAAACTGCATGAGAATTTGAGGAAAAGCAGACCACTTTCATATCTAATGTCGCCTTGTAATTAAGGAAACTTCAAGACCTCTTCCCACCCCGCACACGTATTGCATAACTTTAATGTGCATGGTATACACGCACATGAGGCTGTATTCAATTGCCGACTTCGGGAGAACCATATCCTGGGGACGTACCTGGGGACGTACCTGGTTCGCATGCACCAGATGTTATCGGATGAATGAATTGTGTGTGCATTATCCCATAGTTGCCACTTGCATAATAGGTAGTGATAGATAAGGAAATTGCATGCCTATAGGGGCCATCTTGCCTGGAGCTTGAGTGTTGTAATAGATCACTCAAGATAATGGCAAGATGGATTGATGATGGACATGGATATTAGAAATCCCCTAATGATCACGTGTCGTCTTACCTACCGATCTAGCAGATTATGTGTGAGATTGATAAGCCGGAGACTTTAGATAAGGATTAATGAGTAGTATCTCCTGGGGTACTACTACCTACGATACCCCTGGGTGCTAACTAGTAGTTGTTACAAAGGACAATTTTCAATTGAAAACTGCTAACTAGATGCCTTTCTTTGTCTTACTAATCCTATGATGCATGATGTGGTGTTCTACTAGGTATCCTGTATGGTGTAAAACGCCGTATAATCACTCGCTTTGATTGATTGCCCAGTGATATACAAAGAACCAGTACTCTCTATAGGCCATGAGTTACCTAGAAAATATCAAGCCATGTACCTTAAAGACAAAGCCTATCAAGAGATCTTTTAGCATCTAAATTTAGTACCACATGGCCATTATCTTCCTTAATCAATACTGTATCTACGCTAAAATACCCAGGTAGGTAGGGGAATTTATCGACAGTCAAACATTCATTTCTGCTGTATACTGTGTGTTCCTGGGTACATCCATACCGATGCATCGTCCTAAGTTTACCTAATACTGTTAGCTCATAAGATCTCCATCCCCATCCCCATCCACACCCCATCTCATCCCCCCATTCTCTTACCCTCTTTTCCATCATTGAATAACTTACCCATACCTACCTACCGACTGGTACATTTTCATCGCCTGTTGCTCATACTCACCCAATACTCACCCAATCTATCGATGTAATCTTTTAATATAGTTCATATCAAATCAATTTTCCTTTTCCTCTTTCTCTTCAAACATTCTTTTGTAGAATTGGTTTACCCCTCGACTTGTTCCACTGTCATTCTATACTACTTGCTACGTACCTGGGTATTCTCTCGAAGAAGAACGCCTTCTACATCGAAAGGCGACCATGACTACAGCAATAGATTGGGATAAGCCGGGGAAATACCCCGTCGTGCTCAGCGACGCCTTGCTTGGAAAATCTACCAACAATACATATACTGGCATAAGATGCACGTTGGGTCGTCTCAATATAATAGAATAATCGACTGACAATTGTTAGACAATCACAAACCTGATCCCTCTATCGGAGCCCCCGCGAACTCAGCACAGCTGAAGCCCTCTTCCGATCCCAATTCTGCGAATTACGATCTCTCTCTTTCAGATAACAATGATGATTATTCATATACCGGAGCTCGAACATCCGGCGACGGTCAATTTATACTTACATTCGATCCTGTTAGAAAGGTCTTGGTTTTGGATCGCATTGATTCCACATTCGATATGAACTTGACGAGCGCACCATGGGCTGATGACGTCGCTCAATTGCAATCTCAATATGAGCAGCTAGAGCCACCGACGAAGGCTATCATTGAGGAACCTCAACCTAAAGTACCACAAAAGAAGGCTCCAAAATCAAAGGCTCCAGCAGCAACAAAAGCGAAACCTGCTCCTCGTGCGAAGGCAGAGAAGGCGCAGAAGCCCAAACCACCACCGCGTGAACCAACGCCCGAAGCAGAAGAAGAAGATTCGGATGATGGTTTCACGGTTGAATTTCCAGATGGGCAGAGCTCGCATCAACAATATGAGTACAGGGCACCGATTTTTCAAAGAGAGCCAAGCGAAGAAATTAGTGATGAAGATGAGGATGCAGATGCAGATGCAGATCACGATGGAATCTATGAACAAAATCAGGATGTTGATCATTTCAAACTACCTAGTCCAGTCAATAACCCTGGAGTCATGGGTGATCAAGATGAAATGGATCTGGAGGCTGATCTGGAGGCGGAAATGGAAAAAGCGCTGCTGATGCAGGAAGAAAGTGATGAAAGTGAAGAGGAATGAATTTCAACATATGTATTGCAGCCATGCATATTGGAGCGTATTTCAAACATAAGGGCGTTTCGTAAGGGGTTGGAGTATTTCATGGGGAATATGACAATTAGGATTCTCGTGTTGGCATACACAGTGGGTACGGGAAGCATATCACACTCGTGGGTGATGGAAAATACAGCATTATCTTACAGCATCATTTAGTTTCTTTGGACAAATTTTAACAAACCAGTGCAAAATCATTCTTACCATTCTAAAAATAGCCTCCGTGATTGCAAGTGCTTTCTTTGTTTGATCTGAAAGGAATGTCGTCCTCCTCTTTGCAAAAATAAATCGTTGATGGCCCTTTCATCAATTTCTATGAGCTTATCTTCTGTCAATCGACGTAAAGAAATAATCGCCGTATAACGAACGTCCCCGCCACACAATTGTTTTGTGTCTACAAGCTCCAAGTATCTGCACATCGTTTTCTCCATTTTCATCATGTTTGTAATCGATGGCTCATCTCTTGTCTTAAATCATTTTATCCACAACATCAAGGCGAACATGAACAGCGCAAATTCTATACAAAACCCCTTTTCAGACTGTTGAACATATCTTGTTGAACTCAACAGTAAATGGACTCATACTCAATCTTGCTCTACGATGAGCTAGCTATTCCTGACATGCTTCAAATAGAGAGACATTCTTCGGGAATGGAATTAACCAGTATAAGATTTAGTCGTTTGCGGGACTGTTTGGTTTTTATGTATTCTGTTGTATTACCAGTTTAATTCGAGTGTTGGATTGATAATATTTGATGTCTTGTTCTTCGGTGCTTAGCTTTTAGATCTGTTTATTGGGGATTTGTGTAGATTTGCCCTTGGTCGCAATATTAGCTCGGTATCATATTGTGTATCTTACATCAATCGAGGTATCTTACATTTGCAGCAGCTGTTAGGAATCTAATTCTACCGGGAAAGATGCAAACAGTCCGAATCGTTTCAGCGGGATTTTGTATCACAGCCCATGGTCAAATAATGCAAGAAACTACTTTACTCACGCAAACCCTCATATCCAACACACTCAACCCGTCTAACCTCCACGTTCATCCACGACCAGCAAAATGGCCAGAGAAGTTTATAGCTTTTTTCTCATACATTATACGATCTAATGGGAATCCAGATTCTACAACTTATCAAGGTAATTAATCATCGTGTGTTAGAAAGACGGTCTTAAGGATTTGGCCGCGCCGCGTGTGTGTTTATGTTTGTGTTTGTAGGACATCCATTATATTCCATAAACTTTTCGTGGAAATGATCAAGCTTGCTCTATACCCTGATTAGACAACTCGTTGAATCAAAGCGTTTGATTAGCCACGAGAAGATTTTCCTGGGGGATGAATATGCGATTACATCTCGACGTGTACATTTCGAATCGAGGAGGAGATTCTATCACGTGCATGATAGGATAGGATGTGGGAAGTCATTTGGGGATTGGGGATTGGGGATTTACGGAGTAGGATGGACTGGACTATGGATGGATGGATGGATGGATGGATGTTTTTTGGATTGAATACTGGCGAGAAAATTGTTGGTGCTGTGGTGATATTCTTATATACTAATAGGCCCTGTCAGGGGTTAATGCTACCTCGACTCCTTGTCGTAGAGAAAAGCGTACCGTTCACGGCGTAAATTCCTCATCTCTATGTCTTCAAAGAGAGAGGAAAATAATGAAATCTTATTCTTTGATTACCTGTACTCGAATGTGATTGTAACCGCATGCGGAGATTTTCTTTCATGGTACAATGTATGGGTTATGTGAGATCAAGCACAAAGAATTTAGATTTATTATATGGGTTTGTGAATAGACAGTGGGAGATACGTTGATTGTGAGAGCTATAGCTTGGTTTACACTATTGATATATCTATTGAAATATCACATTCGTCCAGAAGGTACCAGCCAGCCACACGACGCAATCATCTCGTAATGGCTAATTGGTTCGGTTGGGCCCCATGGGCAAAGAAGCCGAGGGGACGACAGCCCCGTCCGCGACCGGTTGATCACGATTCACGAGCCTCTTCTGACTCTCAGTCTCGGTCTCGCTCTAGATCCTCATCTCGACCTCCTAGAAGACGGTCTAGTGTGCTTAAACCGGCTGAAAGATTAGCGAGAGAGAAGATGGCAGAGAAAGAGAAAGAGATGGAGGCGGAAAAATTGAGATCGATGGATCCCGCTGTGAGAGCTGCTTACAATGAGCAAAAGAAACTCCAGCATGAGAAAAGGATTCAAAAGCTGAAAGAAAAATTTGCAAGTCGCAAGAAGAAATTGGCAGAGAAACATCAAGAGAAAGTCATGGAAGAAAACCGTGGATGGAAGAGAAAACATGAAGATGATGCCGTGATCCAAGCCGCAAAGAGAAGACGGAAATTTTTGGAAAACCGAGGAAAGGAAGGTCCAGTGTCGCAAGCGGTAGTGACGAATATTGAGCGAGAGAGGCATAGAATGCATACTACGGAATTGTTTGAAAAGATTTATGCGGATCTTCAATATCACTACTTGCACCCCACATTGATTAATTCTGATACGTACGATCCTTATGAAGGGTTATTTGACGAGCTTTCTGGGGTATACTTGCGATTTCTATTCTTAGCTCAAAACCCAGAAGACCTTGCGGGAGGAATAGGCACTGACAGTGCTTGCGTTCTGATGCTTTCACAAAATTTCCGCACCGCATTGACTTACGGAGAATTGCCTGATGGAACCTTCCCCAGGTCCGGTCAAGAGGGGTACTCACATACTGTCAGATGGGAAGAATTCCAATTGAAGCTCCAGTTGGAACATTTTAGCATTAGAGGCTTTGCTATCGCACGGCATATTCCATATATGAAGGTTTTTGGTCGCAGCGGTGTGAAGATGTTTGAGGGAGATGTATGGCCAGCGAATTTGAATCTTCAACTCGATCCTTCGATCAGAGATCCGTTTGAGGTGTGTCTTGGAGGGGATGGAACAGTTTATCCTTGCTTGTTCACACCCCTTCCTGGAGTGTCCGAATCTGTACAACAGGGTGTTTTCAAGCTTCCATTCAGGAATCCGAAAGAAAATGTAGAAAATTTGGGGCCTGCGAAAAACCGTGCAGTTCCGCTCCGCTTTCAAAATCTGAAGGCCAATATATTCAACAGAGAGATTTTCAAAAAATATGCCCCCCCATCAACATGGCCACCGAGCTGGGAGTATCCACCTGCGGATATTCAGCATCCATGTCGAGAATGGGGGAAGAACTATCCGTTGTGTGTTGCTTGTGGTCTCCGAACGGGGCCTCTGGAACTAGTAGAAGAAGAAGTACAGGAGAAACCAGAAGAATCTGAGAATCGAGAAGAACCAGAAGAAGCAGCTGCAGTGAAAGCACCCGAAAAGGAGTCTACCTGTCGCTGCAGGACGATCGATGTTTTCAATCGAATCTTGGTAGAGATCAAAGAATATCATTCCGAATCCACGTCCAAAACGGCTGACTCTGTTGACCGCGGAGTCAGGATTTTACAAAATGTCCCACGAGGTCATATCATTTCAGAAGTCCTTGGAGAATTCGTCCCACTTGGTGCTGAGAGTGATTTCAAGTGTCCTTCGACATTTTCTGTAGACTTTCATGCACCTCCTGTGGTCGACAAGTCTGGGAAAGTTTTAAAGATTGACCCGGATGTTGTAGTGAAGAAGACCATTGACACCAACACAGAACCGATCGCAACGTTGATTACTGGCCACAAAGGTGGATGGACCAGGGTGATCAATAATGGCACGAGTCAAACATCAAATGTTGAATTCCGCTCGGAAGTCTGGGCAGGGAAATTACGCATCACTGTTAGAGCGTCGAGGGATATAAACTTTGGAGAACAATTATTTGGTATGTTTGCCCACAACACATCGCCCTATCAATGCTTTATCGTGTTTTTCTATGATACACCTGTGAGATTTCCAAGGGGTCGCTTTATTCTTCGACTTCTTTAGAGAAACTCTGGGAGGATTTTCAAAGAGAGAATTGTTCACTGACTTCTCAATTCTGCAGTCCAATGGGGAGATTCGTACCTTGAACCTGATGGGCAAACGATGCACGCTGAAAAGAAAGATCAAGCTGAGAGACTACCAATGAGAGTACTTAGCGGATTCTATAAGTGACATGGAAAACAGTGTAAGAATATGAATCTTTTCTCGAAGGGAGCGAGGATACTTTATTTTTAGTCTCGTGTGGTTTCGTTGGAGAAAACATCGAGATTCCTTTGCCAGGTAATTGATAGGACCGGAAGCGAAAGGGGTTAATGACAATTGAGAACTGAATCAGTAACCTACAGGCGTAGGAGACTATAGGACAACACTATATTACATACATGTATACATACATATATTGATTTTCAATTCGTTCTTGGTATTTGCCAAATCAATCATATATCGAGTGTTTTCCATCTCCGATGCCGTGAGATAAACCGCTCTTAACCGAGGCAAGTGAGAAGGATTTTGTAGATCCGTGGGGAAGGTGGTATGGTCAAAGTCCGGTGGAATGCGGTAATGCCTAGGTACAGTACGGGTAAAGAACAATCCAACAATCTCATTATTTCCAAACTAAATTCTTGTGTCTTTTGATTTCTTGATGTGAAAAGTTTACTTGTCCTCATTTATTGATAGAAAAGCAAAGAGAGAAAACAATGTCGACAATTAATCGTAGTGTTCGTACTGCATCAAGAACTCTTCGACTACCAGCCCAATCACGAAACTTCAGAATCCCACTTTCTCTGCGAAGTCGTGCAAACTTCGGAGCTTCAACAAGGACAACACCATCGCTCAAACAATTCTCCACCATGTCTCCTTTGCAATCTGGGGCCCCGCCACCACCCCAAGCTCGAGAGTACGATCCTGAGATTAAGGATATCGCCAGCTATGTTCATAACACCCCAATTGAGTCTGATCTTGCTGTGAGTTTTACCAAAGAACAACAACATTGATTACCCCGCTAATTGATTTTGACAGTTCGACACAGCTCGATTTGTTTTCCTCGACACTCTAGGCTGCGGTCTCGAAGGTTTACGGTTCAAAGAATGTACAAAATTGTTGGGTCCAATCGTTGAAGGAACTATTGTTCCTAATGGCACAAAGGTCCCAGGTACACCATTTCAGCTCGATCCTGTAAATGGTGCATTCAATATTGGTGCCATGATCAGATGGCTCGATTACAATGATTGCTGGTTGGCTGCAGAATGGGGTCATCCTTCCGACAACTTGGGTGCAATTCTCGCAGTGGCAGATTGGATTTCGCGAACAAACAGAGCTGGTGGAAATCTCGGCAATGGCAAAGTCATTACTATTAAAGAGGTTTTGGAAGCTATGATTAAGGCACATGAGATTCAAGGTTGTCTGGCACTCTTGAACTCTTACAACAAGGTCGGTTTGGATCATGTTGTACTTGTCAAGGTTGCTAGTGCTGCTGTAGTTTCCAAATTGTTGGGATTGAGCGAGAAGCAAACTGCAGATGCAGTTTCACAAGCTTGGGTTGATGGACAGAGTTTAAGAACATACAGACACTCTCCAAACACCATGTCAAGAAAGTCATGGGCTGCTGGTGATGCTTGTCAACGTGCCGTAAATTTAGTCTTGAAGGTCATGAAGGGCGAGCCTGGTGTTCCCACAGTCTTGTCTGCTCCAGTCTGGGGTTTCTACGATGTTCTCTTCAAGGGTAACAAGTTTGAATTTCAACGTCCATATGGCAGCTATGTCATGGAGAACGTTTTATTCAAGGTTTCTTATCCAGGTATGACATCCACACATTCTATTATATTTCATCATCTAACATTTTTCAGCCGAGTTCCACTCTCAAACCGCCATTGAGGCCGCAAAACGTATTCGTCAACAATTGGTAGACCAAGGGAAGTCTGCCGCTGATATCAAGGAGATTACCTGCCGAACACACGAAGCTTGCGTCCGTATCATCGACAAACAATTCAAGCCTATGGACAACTTTGCCGATCGTGATCACTGCATCCAATATATGACTGCAGTCATGCTCGTTTTCGGACGTCTTGAAGCTACAGATTATACCGATGGCGGGGAGGCTGCTACTTCTCCTTTGGTTGAATCGCTCAGACAAAAGATTGCTTGTGTCGAAGATCCACAATTTACCAAGGATTATCACAATGAGAACATGCGAACCATTCCAAATGCTTTGACCGTCACATTGAACGACGGACAAGTTTTGGAAGAGGTTGTCGTTGATGCTCCATTAGGTCATAGATTGAGAAGAGAAGAAGCCAAACCAGAAATTTTGGCCAAATACAAGAGACATTTGGGACCACATTACAGTGAAGCTAAGGTCAAAGAGTTGGTTGACTTGGGCAATGATTCTAAGAGACTAGAGGCAATGGCAGTGGATGAGTATGTTGACTTGTACGTAAGCAAGGACAGCAAGTTTGTTTAGATTGATAAATTAGATGAATACCATATTTTTTGTTGATTGAGTTCAACTTCGCAGTTACAAATTCCGGTCTATCAGATGTGTTGATTGTCATGAAATTAGTTGTATGCTTTATGACATATCCGTTGCTCATCAATTCTGGGAACCGGATTGGATTGACTTGTGATGGGAAAAGAGAACTTGTTGATGATTACATGCTCGATTTTCTGGTTTGGATTGTAAATCATGTGCTCCCTGGGGTTTCATAGGGTTGTTCTACTCGTCGCTCCTGCTCGGGCGGATATTGACGGATGAGTGGAGATATTGCGGGAAGGTCACGTGACTCAAGAGATAGTACTTCCACCTCTGCGATATCTTATGATGTGCACGTCGCGGACGATTTCATTCTTTTGACAGACGGAGACAAAGGTAAATTTTTAGTTGATGAGCCGTAGTATGGTCAGCGAGAGTCTCATCTAATTATTTGCTTACATCATGTTGCGGTATTGCATTCGTTTCATGATCTGATTTCTTACCTTTAGCATAGAGTTATGTGGGTGTTGAATGTACCAATTGCAGAAAACGATATATTGTATCAGACAATGATGCTGGAATTCAGCGATATCAAACGACTGTCCTTGCTGAAACGTTCTATGCCGATGATCATACTATCACGTGGGTATGATCGACGCAGGGGCAGTCTGTGGATATCCTCATCCCACTTTAAGATGCGATGAGTTCCGCGAAATAGCTTCTCGTTCGAAGGACTGTTCATCTCTCTTATCGTTTTCTAAATATACCGAACATTCTATCATTATGGTTTGTAGAATTAGCATGTGTTCGCTATTCCTGCTGATTTAATATAAATAGGCCAAACCACTGTCAGACGAAGAAGTTGCTATTCTCAAAGAAGCGTTCGATGCATATGTACGTGTTTGCCTGCGAAAAGACATTAGCGTTGTGAATGTTTTTACTAATACGATCAATAGGACACGGATAAAGGAGGTAGGTTGTGTGAGACAACCTGCAGTGCTTTCAGAGCTGATTAGTATCCGCAGGCAATATTACCGTAGAGGAATTTGGCCGTGTGATGAAACAGTCTGGACAAAATCCAAGCGAAGAAGAACTTGCACAGATCATTAAGGAAGTTGACCTCGATGGTGATGGTACTATAAATTTCGATGGTATGATACGGTGAATCCGTTGCAGGACCTTGGAGACATCCGCTAAATGCATGCAGAATTCATTGCTATGATGACAGGCCGAACGAGGCAAAAGCCGGATGATCCAAAGCCTAGTGAAGACGATCTGAAAGCAGATTCGGCTCCGATTCCTGTTTCCAGTGAGGAAGATCCAGAGGAAGAGTGGAAATCTGCGTGGAAGGAACATGATCACACTTTGAAAGGGTCAATCACTGCAGCGCAACTGAGACAAGTTTTGGGAAATCTGGGAGAAACAATCAGTGATGCAGAGATTGACAACGTTATAATGAAGTCAGTAGATGCGGAGGATAAAATTAGTCGTAAGCATCTCAACAGTATTTTGCGGCAAGGCATTTATAGAGAGTGGGAAATATGCTAACCTGACTTCAACTAGATGCGGAATTTGTCGAGTTTATGAAGGGGAGATCTACCTCGGGAATATGACAGTAATGATGGTGTGTATAGCCATAGTAGATGCAGATCACTCAATTCATTCTTTTGCTACCTGTTACTGCCTGCTCAGTTTCTACCCAGCTTCGATAGATGATAGTGAATATCAAGGCTTCAGCTTTCCTCATTTGGCTCGAAATCGTAAGGCTACTAACAATTCAGTCTTCAACTTCTAATCTCATCATATATCTCACATACTCTCCAAGTCAAGACACAAAATAATGGTCTTGGCGCTCAAAATTAAAAGACTCCAAATCGAACTTCAATCAACATTTGTGTCTTTCTTACCTATTTGCATGTGTTTTTGCACGACTCATCCGGAGACATAGAACCTCCAAAGAAACAAAACAAGACAGAGAACAGCGTTGAGCAGGTTTTTGCGCCATCATATCACGATTTTCAAATACTATCTTCGACTTCTTTTTTTCCCTCACCTAATTGCAGAGCGCCGTCTATACGATCAAGTACGGTCATGCCGGTCAAAGCTGATTTCCAGCGCTTCCCAAAACTCCCTGCAGAGTTACGCCTTCGAATATGGAAGTTTGCTCTGCCAGACTCACGTATTGTACTCTTACAAGCAGATACTCGTTTCATCGAATTCAGAGAGCCAAAGCCTAAGGAGAAACACCTGCTGCCATTCTACAATAAAAACAGCCGTCCCTCGTATCGCCATGTCTCGACATTAAAATCTAGGCATCGAGTACCAGCAATGCTATGGGCTTGCATTGAATCTCGACGGGTTGCGCTCAAGTATTATAAAATCATGTTTTCTATCCTCGACGATGGCTACTCTGGGTTCGCTCGAACCTATTTTGATTGTTCTGTGGATATACTCTATCTCAATGCGAAGACTTTTGAGACCCCCCTTGAGGATCCAGTCGACTACCAGACCCAATTTCAAAACGGTCTCAAAAGTATGAACAGGGCTCAGCTTGCTAGAGTGCAGAACTTGTGCATCACCTCTGAAGGTTTGAACAGGCGGGGCTTTCTGGCTTCAATTCTCTCCCATTTTCCAAGACTGGTCAACCTTCACATCGTGGTAAACCATTATCACCTGACCAAGTGTTACCCCAGCTCTAGGACGTGCAATGGAATATTTTGCTTGGAGAAAAATTTCTCGCCTGAACAGCATGCCGATCTCATTTTCACAGAAGGCCATGTTGATTTGATCCGCAATCTCCAACAATATCGTATCAACAAGACGTTTCCCGAGCTTCATCCTCGAATGAGACACTTTCGTCAACCTGCCGAGATTGAAGAACTATCTATCGACGAAGAAAAACTCGAGAGTGAAATGAGATCATATTCGAAGCATTTCACACTTCCTAATATTCAATTCCAAACTGTTATGACGAGGGGATTGGCGGCAATTGAAATGGAGCAGTGGAAGGAATACCTTGCGGATATACTTGAGGCTCGAAAGGAAGAAAATAGAGGAAGATCGCGCGGCATATGCTGAACCTTGACAGATGCGCTTATTGGACTTCTCTTTGAGCATTTTTAAGCCGGTACACAGTGCTCTCGGTTTTATTTTCAGTCATTGAACCGGGAAGTTGGATATTCTTGGTCACGTCATAGTTTTGCGTTACCTCACAAAATCTCATATTTTCGGTTGTTAGCTTTTCGGTACACGAACAGACTCGTCTTCGGATGAACGTGTTTCTAAGGTGGTCTGATATTCGCAAATGACAATAAGAAAGCGGTGTTTACCATGGAGTTCATATGTCTCTAGAGTTGAGCTGTAGTAAAGTGGATGTCAACTTGGCAGGGGCTTGGCATAGAGAGGAATAACTTTCCGGGCTTGATACACACGCTCGTAGAGTTATCTAGGCTTGTATCACTGCATCCGTAGGAGATTTAGATTGCTATTGCGAGATATTTCAGAATTGAAAATAATAAAATGATATATTTCCTGGACAACTATAAGCCTGACACGACATGATTTCTCCAAGATCTATTGCTCGCAACCGTGCTTTCCTCCGTGCTTGAGACTCGGCTGTTTCTCGCCTTAGTCCCCTGTTAGCGTGGAAGGGTTCTGGTGACATTTTTTCTGGTTTGTAATGCCCAGAAGCTCTTTACGACAGCAGCTTAAAAAAAAAAGAAAGCGCCTTCGCTCAAGTTTCCTGGTATTCCTGACGCCGTAATATATGACAATAATGGAGGAGAAAAACACATATATGAAAATTATTTCCTCTGTTTCGATACAATTTGGAGTGATATCATTGATGGTAACCCTGTTTCTAGAGAAAAAGATTAGAAAAGTCCGTATCGAGAACGATAAGTAATCAAGGGGTCATACCTTTCTTCCTGGTCCAATGCATACATCTTTAGACTAACGAAATGAAGCTTACACTTCCAGTGCTTAATAAGATTCTAGAATCAGTAGGTTTCAGATTGAATTGCAAAGGGGCTGACGCTTGTTGTACCCTGTCCTCCAGGCGAAGAGGTTCGGCTCAATGGGAAAAGTGGTTCCATATCAACCCTTGGTGAGATCTGTCGGCCAAGTTACAGTTTTCTTGGATTTTTGGTTTAAATCTCTAGAACTGCGAGATACACTGGAATTCCGCGAGATATTTATATTTCTTTGGTCGCTGGAGGCCATATGAGATCCGAGTCCTTCATGCCGCGGTATTTTGAGAAGTGTCGCTTTCGAATCTTTTGGTGATAGAGGGGCTGACTTCAACATATAGTCTGGATCTCTTGTTGCTTTCTGATAGCAGTGCTTCATTTGTTGGTGGAACTCGCTAGCTTTAACACGCTCATCTGCGTCAATGAGTAGAAGGTCCTTCATGATGAGCTTCAATAGATCATGGATAAGTTTGGAGCATTTCTCATGCTGATGCAATTGCTCAACCCATAGTATGACTCCGGCTCGGATGGTAGCCCCCGAAGAACTATTTGATTCTCGTGGGATGGTGAAGAAATTGTCATCGTCAATGTCATTGAGTCCTGCACTATTGCCTCTCCAATCCGCAAACTCTTCTATACCAGCACTACCTTTCACAAGCCATGTAATGAATTCGAGCCACACACATCCACAACTCCAAATATCATAAGCTCGAGATACCGGGCGGCGAAGCTTACATTCAGGAGGCTCATAGGTTGGGGATGAGAGTATTCCAGAAGGCCTTATTCCTGATTTTGAATCTCTGCCATGAAATCTTCCGAGGCCAAAATCGGCCAGCTTTAGAACACCTCACGGATCTTTTGCTTCAGGGCCTTTCGAAAAATATAGTATATTTTCCGGCTTGATATCGCCATGACGACCGAACTTTTCTTCGCCTGCACGTACGCTTATTTCACCATCATCTTCCGTTTTCACACGGACATTTGCAGCACCACCAACTTTCAGTGGAAATGTAACTTTAAACTCGTGCAGTCGTAACAATGCATTGGAGATTCCGTACATTTGTGTCAAGGCCCACATAACTGTTTCGTGATCAAATTCGGGCAGTGAGCGTTGTTCCCAGTAAGATCTCAAGTTGCTCTCCGCGTATGGAAATATGAGATGATATTTCCCCTTTTGTCGATAAGTGGCCAATAATCGAATTAGGTGTGGATGTGGTGGGGATTTACTGCCGAGGATTTTTAGGACATCACGCTCCTTCTTAAACTCTATCTAATCGGTTGAAAATAATTTTTTCACTGCTACTAATGGCTTCTTTGCCTACACCTCATTAGTACATGTTTTCAATAAACAAATCTCAGTCTTACCTTCTCATGGTGGCTAGTCCAAAACTCATGATGAGAAGAATGAATGTTCACGGGAAAAACCTCGCTGTATGCTCCCTGCTTGGTCTTCATTTCATCTTGATCGTCGCCATCGAAGGGAAGAAAAGGTAGAACCTCCCTTGCGGCGAGTTCAAGTTCTGCTTTGTCCTTGAACATAGGTGCTATAATCCACTACTGTGTGTTGAAAAACTCTTCCAACTCTTTATCCTTCCAATGATCAATATCCTTTACTCGCACCCCCGTTTTGAGAAAAAGACCACCTTTTTCTCGCGTCTCTGCAACTTGCTCCGATATGATGGCAAGAAGAGCACTCACTAGAAAGCTTGGAGTGTTGGGTATTATCTATCACTGTCTTGGCGAACAAGTGTAGCTTGATATCAGGTTTTATTTAAAGCGATTCATTCCATTGGTTCAAATTAACTTAACCGATTGGGAGCACTGTTCACGCTGTCGAACATCGCACAACATCGTCGTTCTTCGGTCCTATGAGGGCCTAGTTTGGTATCTCTGATAACAGACTCGATTTCGTTATCATGCACAGTGCTGGAATTCATCGTGGCAACCTAGTTGGTTTTTGCCAACAATCCTTTGTGTTGTCCCTTTGCAGTATCGTCTAGACAACGAAAGCCGAAAACCCCATGCCTTTTTTGGTTTCCGGCTCTCCTAAATTACTCTATATCAATCGAGAGTCGACTCCCTTCATCTTTAAAATTGGTATAGCAGGGGAAACCCCGACTAACATCATTGAACTTTGCTTGTCCAGCTGCCACCTATTCCCGTACCTTAATTACGCTACCAGAAATGGCAATCAGCGTAGTCAGCCTAAAGAGACACAACTGTAACTTACCGAGTGCTGAAAAGCCCTATCAAGTAATCTGACAGTAATTGCACTTCATTAGTCCTCACCGAGACCTTTTGGTTGAGAAAACTCATAAAATCGGAAGTCCTACGAGGATTGGTGCTCCCCAAATTCAAATGTAACTAGCAAGGAGTCTTGTTGTCGTATATGGGGCAGCGCTTTCGATATAAGACATAGTCTTTGTTAGACTATAATACTAAACCACGACATCATGCCACTGCTGTTCATCAGTACTCGATTGATTCGATATCAGTGGTGAACCACCAATAAGCGAGGCGGGGGGGAATGCTGTCTACCTACGGAGTAGTAAATATTCTGGTTACTGCATATGATAATCACCAATAATATCATTCTGTTAGGCAAATCAGAGCCTCACTGCTCAGCCCTACTTCAGAGCTTTCTAGTGCGACGAGAGTTCTTTACTTATCCCCACAAACTAAGCTAGATTTCACAAAGACCATCTTAAGCGAAAGCGCTATTGCATTTTGGGACTATTGTCAATCGCCCTCAAACTATGGTTGTGCCAACAATGGAACCTTCACTTATTTAATGAAAATTCATTGCTCGTCAAAATACGTCTATTAGCAGAGATGCCCAAATATAAGTGAAGTTCTATCGGGCATATTTGTCTGAAGGGCAGTCACTCATGATTGGGCTTTTTGTGGGGTGACGTAAAAATTTGTGGATTGATGTGGCAGATGCGCTTTTCTTGTTAACCACGGTACGATAATTGTCAGTGTCTAGGGATTAAAAGGAAACATTATCATGAGCACTTAAGGACATATAATTGACTAACTAATATTATCATATGAATTTGTTTAATCAACCTATCATGGCCTCCACCAAGCATGATTTTCTCCTATTGAGAAGTGATTTTAGAGCTTTTAGTACCTTCGCATAACTTGATTGACCAGATTTCATCGTGATAAGATGGAAGATTTTGTTCAATAATGCAAGGGTACCCCTCCCGATTCACACAGATCAAGAAATCAAACCCATCAGTGCCTTCTCGGACAGACTTTGCTATGTTGGCTCTCTTGATCTCTAATGGGCTTTCAATTTTCCTGGGATGAACGAGATCACAGGATGGACACCAGGGTTCTCGATGGCTTTCTTTATCTGTTCATTGATGTTCTCTCGAAATTCGAAGTAGTGAAAACGGAAAAAGTAACACATAATTCTCTTTTCCTTTTCAAATTATCCTTGAGGCAATCTCAGAAATGTCGATAATGCCATAGACTTCGACTCCCATGCTTCCATTGCAATTGGCGTCCTATGAGAACAGCCTTCGAGTATCCGGTGAAGGAAATCAAGAAGACTATTATCATGCTTTCTTGATAACAACATAGCCTTGTCGGTCCCAGAAGGATGGCAACTCGTGATTGAGGAAATCCGAGTGACAGCGTATTCAGACCAAGGAGTAACGGGGTTGTAGTAGCCAAATTGAGCACCCGAGAGATCCAGACAGTACACACCTCCACAGTTTTGGAGGGTGACCTTGAAAATAGAGTGCACATAGTGGGCATGATCTTGCTCACCACCTAGGCCAACTATTAGAACTTCTCTCTTTGGGTTCTTCGATTCAACTTTCAGTTCCTCAATCTTCTGGGCGGCGCCTGTTTTTTGGTTAGTTCTTCTGGTCTTGTACTATGAGAGAGATGTACGTACTAACCTTTGAGGAAAATCTCAATCACCTCTTGCATCCACGCAACAGCATCCTGACAAGCCATATGTGCAAGCACAGCATGCCTGTCTTCTTTGCTGGGGAGCAATTCGAAAGGAAACTCATGAAGCACATCCAAATTGGTTCTCATATCTGGATATCGGCCTTCAACCAAATAAAGTTTCCCATCCTTATACTCAACTTTCGCAATCTTGTTATTGAACATCTCTTGGCGAAAAGCGTAGAAGATTTCCTGAAGCGCCTCGCCAGCACGATATAAAAGATTCTTGGTCTGATGAGCTTTTCAAGCAGACTTGTGAAGTTTCCAGTGCTCCGCTTGACATTTTCGCTGCAATAATAGATGGTTGCAACGGCCTCCTCGCCGAGTGGAGAAGAACATCCAGTGCATTTCTTATGGGCTGGGGCTTTGCAATGAGCACATTGATTCTCCATCGCGGGGGCAAAGTTTGAGGTCGACATGTTGGTTGACGATGGCTCTTAGCTCTATAGGAAAATTGAAATCAGTTTTTGTCGCAAAGCATATGATGGGTATAAGCAGAGTTGAATAACTTGCAATCTTTCTCAAAAAGGATTATCTACTTGGAAGGAGATCTGAGAATTGAGGATTTAACTAAACAGAATTGGTCAGTCCTCTCAACCTTGCAGAGAAAGATAGGATTCAAGTACTCACATCCAGTAATATCGAGTTGATCAAGAGCGTAGTAAGATGATTCTCCGGTGAAGAAAGAAACATACAGGTAGTTTTCCTGTTCTTTGCTGGAAGATTTTGAAGATTGGAAGTTAAGAAACGAAGTTGGAGGAGAAATAGAAGTACTTGTAAAAGAAAATATAAAACGAACTAAGTGAGGGGCGCACAAAGCTGGGGATCTTTTAATTCACTATATTTCAGTGCATGAACCATTTAGTAAATTTTGAAGAAACAAACTGAGTTTGAATAGATACCTGCTTGCAACTTATGTTTTCAATGTTCTCAAGCAGGGAGCATCTTTGATGTAGCTGCTGCTGATGCAATTGTATAGTTCCATTTGATGGATCAATTTACAAAACGCATGAATGACTTCAATGGGAGAAGCATATCTTTGAACGTTTGATTAAGGCATGAGATCCCTGAAAGATAAAAGCGGAAGATCAATGTTGAATATGACAGATCTAAAAAATTCATTCACATCACAAATAACTTTTGTTTTGCAATTTGCCTAACTATCCTTCCCCTCCCACCTAATAGACTTTCCCTTCCAACCCAAAGTATATGCAAGATCATAATTATTAGCCTCGCATCCGTGAAATATTGACACCTAGCACCAAATCCTCCCAACAAAGCGAGAACGAATCATAAAAGAATCCCTACCCCGCTTCTCTAGACGCGATGATGTCTCTGTATAATGGTTGCTACTCCAGACTATCTGCTAGTCTCTCCTGGTTGCTTCCCAAAGTCGACTCGGCGCATTGGCTCCTAAAATCCCTCTTCAAACAAGCCGCCAAAAGCAAATTGTTCATCATCCGAGTCTTCATCAGGCAAGATGTATGGAGCCCGGACGATGTTTTGCTGCGCTCGAGATGCATGAATGCGGTCCACAATACCACGTTCTTGCGGTGTGAATGCCGTACGTGGTGGTGCAGGACCCGGGGTTGCAGATCTTGCAATGGTTTGATGTCTCCTGGAAACTTGGAGGGGATAGTGGAGTTGATATGGATACCGTGGAAGATTTCCCGTAAAGTAGCTACAGGTTGATAGATGTTCTTCGTTGCTGACTGAGCGGATTAATTGGAAATCGACGAAACATTCCCAGCAGAACTCGTGCTTGCAAGAACGGCCTATTCTTTGATTAGCAACCCGAATACTTGATAACTCCAATATTCAATAGCCTACAAGTCATATGATCACATCCTTCGTTCTTCTGAATGCGGATTTGGCAATTAGGACACCTCTTGGTGACCTCATCCATCAGATCATGGCTTGCTTCTTCTTGTCGCAGTCTTTCCCTAGACTGCTCATCATATCCTTCACACGTTAAATCGGTGTGCCAGGGCATTTTGTGCGTGAAGCATGTTTTAAAACTACATGTTCTGCATGTCATGATAGGCTGATCGTCACCGCCCTCATGGATTTGACCATCGTTACAGCCGGTTCCAAGGCAATTTGTGAAGTTGGGATCATTTTCGATGCAAGATGAGAGGGATTTTTTATCGTATCTGTATCGGGTGTTAGCATGAGATTGCAGAGCGGATTCTTAGGGATATGAAATACATACCTAATGAAGTCCGCCTCAGAGGCAAAGAACTTCACATTGTCGAAGGAGAGAAGTGCTGCGCATTCGGGACATGTAATCTGATCCCATTCTTTGCTTTCAATTTGTACACCAATAGACCGAGATAGACATGAGCTGCAGCATGTTGGATCATGCGTACACTCAGCCGAAATTCGACGCGGGAAATTAGCGAGCATGAGGTCTTCTGCACATATAGAACATTCCTTGAGTTGCGGTTGCGGTTGCGCTTCTGACTTTATGGAGTCTTCGTGCTTGATCCGAATATCTCTGTAATCATTAGATATGGGTTCAGCGGACCTCTTGCGTTTGAGGTCTCGAGATGCCTGCGACTGTCGGGGTGGGTCATTCTGATCATAATAATCGCTGATGTGACCTATGGACCCTCTGTAGCCAAAGAACAATAGCTTTATGCGTTTCACGTGGAACATGCCCTCCACTCTCAAGCTCATAAAGTCGACGTAACAATTGACTTCTATTGTATCTCGAGTATCTTCTTTCGCTCAAAACACTAAGAATTTTTCTCATGTTGATTCTACGGTGTTCCAGTGCTGTAAGGCCCATAATAAGGCGCGGCAAATCATCTTTTGGATTACTATCTGCCATGATGGTTGCTGGTGGTAGGTAACGATTGATGGCGTTTGTTTGAATAGGTTCGAGAATCCAGTCACAGTCCTGTAGTAACCCTGATGAGATGATCGGTCGAAGCTCTGTGGTGGTATCCGTTGGATGAATGATAAACAGAAGTTTTATGATATTTCTGTTGATGATATGATGATTAGAAGATTTGTTGCTATATCATTAATAAAATGACAAGTACAAAAGCATATGTGGTGATTTGCGGAGATGGAAACGAAATAATGAAGTATCGACAGATGAGTCCAAAGAACCACTAGCCGTCGAGTACGTCTTGAAAGCGACAAGTGTTTGTGCCAAGTGCGGAAGTTTTGAGACTCGATTGTGATGAATATTAGATGAGATCTCGATGTGCCAGAAACTTATCATATATATTTAGAACCGAGGGTGAAATAAAGCCGTGTCAGAAACACCGTAGCGGAGTCCAGAGTAGGCAGAGTGTGGTAGGGGTTTCTAGAGATCAGTTGCCATGTCTATTCAAGAATGGTCACAGAGATTCGAGGTGGAGGATTTAGAAAACCGAAACGAGATACGAGTTGAAACCTGACCTTTGTTCTGGAAGATTGAAGCGGTGGGTACTGCCAAAGTAGGCATCTTGAGTGAATTTTGCAGGCCAAGCCTAGAATACCATTACAGTTAGGCACCTACCTACCAAGAAGAATAGATACATACAGTGAATTTCATAAGCTGATTCTGAAGTAGAAGGATCAATCGTGAAAACATGGTACATTCAGATTCCCAAACAGCGCTGTGCACATACGGTCCCCTAAATGAAGCGAGAGACTTTGACGATGATCCAAACACGGTAACGAGAACTCGCGTAATTCATTAAAAGCTAAAGATGTTCAGGGACAGCAGACACGTAAGATCATACATAGCGTCTCTACTCTATCCTTACACTCGCGTTGATATTTCTAGCCCTGGGAACGTCCCTGACAGGAGCCAAAGACAGTGTCATAGGCATAGCAACTCCTGCGATCACAATCTCAAGCCAAGCAATCGAAGAACTTGGACGAGACAGACCAACTGTAGTCTATATCTATCTAACCACATTCCAAACTCCACTCTCCCAACCAACTACACAAAGTACAAAACACACAATCAGCATCAAAATCAAATTTCTAAAACATGAAGAGCATTAATCCTTCACCACCCTCACTTAATATACGAACAATCCATCCAGCCCACCAAACCCAAACCCACAAACAAACTTATCCCAACATCCTCCCCAACCCAAGTAAGTTCCAAACCAACCATAACAATCACATCAAAAAACACACACAATGTGGCACCACACCAAAAAATCTATACAGCCTTCCCATCCCGTCAATCATAAATATCGCAATCACATCTTGTTTAGTATTATTCCTAATTAGATGTGTATTGCAAAACGGGTATCTTGTGAGCGGATTGCTGGTCTTATAGATATTCTGCGGCCTAAATTCAAAAAAAATGTTTACAGGCAAGCAATTCCATGATCATTTATTAACTCAAGCTTCAATTTATGTAAAGATTTTAAACATGAGAAGCATAAATCAGGGATATACAAAATACATGATCAAAACACCCGATGACAAACGAAAATTAATGCGACTTAACGTAACCTGATATGCTAGCACAATCTTTTGAAAAGAGCATCATTTCAGAATCTATTCGAAAGATATCCTGGCTCTGAGCTTACCATTTGGGGTTATGGATAGAGGCTCAAAAGCAATGAACCCAGAATCATCAGGAATGAATTTTGCTATAAACAATTCAACATTTTTCAAAGGTAATTGCACAACAGGTAGGATCATGAGTTAGAAGCAGACATCGAAAACGAGCTTTTACCGTGAGCGTCGGGAAACGAATTCACATGATGAGGGGTAATCCCCAACTTATTGGGTATCAATGTTATTAATCTATGACTACCAATGATGTGAAACAATTATACTCTGAATAAATCACTCTCATCTCCAACCCTGTCTATCGATACTGTGTTATGAGTGAATACCAGTAGATACAAATATTGACATAATCTGCCATCAAAAGTAATGCTACCTTGATCATCCACCGCTACCTCCTATTGAGACCTTTCGTTTGCACTTTCGTACGAACGGCCACGCCTTGCTCCCTAGCGTATAATCCCTACACGGAATCAGCTCGCATGGCGAATGGATATTAGAGTTGAAATTCTTACGATTGTCGGTGCGGCTTGAGTGGCAATGCCGGTAATATTACCTCCTTGGTTCTGCGATTATTCAAGGCTGGAAGAGCAGGAATTTGTGGTGGCTTTCCATCAGCAATACTTGAAGGAGAAGACTTGGAAGGAGTCAGAGGGGGCCATTCATTTGAGTCTGTAGGGTCAACGGAGACTGTAGACTGTCCCTTCTCTTGATTGACCTCAGGCAAGCTTCGCTTCTTTTTGTTCTTCAAATCCGTCTTTGATTGTTCTTGTTGCCCCGAAGATTCAGCACCACCATCTTTAGAGATTTTGCCTTGTTGTTTAATTGCCTTGGGCTCGGTATTGCGGGCAGGTCCAGTATTGGTGGTTGAAGAAACTTTGTTATTGTCTGAAAGATTCGACTGAGATTGTTTCTTGAAATCCTTGGAGGAACCGTGAGTCTTTGACTTCTTATGGTTGGACTTTGCAAGAGGTGCATTGGGTGAAATCGAAGCCGTAGTGACACTTGGAGTCGAGATGACTTCAGATTTGACTTCATTGTCCAAGGATTTTCCAGTTGTTTGTTCGCTGTCTTTTGGAATTGCGGTTACATCTCGAGTCGCTTGTTGGAGAATAAAGTCTTTCGAGGTGTCGTTAGATATAGATTCAGTCGAAGAGAAACTTGGTTTCCGGGTGGAGTCTCCACTGAACAGTGTGTCTTCTCCGCCAAATGATGGATTTGTGATTGTCGATTCAGTTGGCGAAAGTATGGCAGGAATTACGCCAATATTGTTTTCCTTATCAATCTCGGCCTTGCTGTTGGATTTGAACTGCTTCTTATTTTTCTTGGACTTCTTCGGCTTTCCTTGAGACATTGAATCCGAATCCATTGCAGCTACTGTTCCGCCCAATGGTTCTGGCAAGGAGCTGTCGACAGGGCCCGGTGACTCGAGAATCTCAACAGGTACTTGTTCAATATTTCCTGTTTTCATTGCAGCCACTGTGTCCACTTTGATCTCGGTGGCCAACGATTGACCTGTTGTAGAGCTTGTCGACTCCTCGATTGGCGAAGCTTTTGGTGAGGCCAACGAATTTTGATCGTTCAATTGAATTCGAGACGTCGATCTCACGGGAGTCTTAATCGGGGTTGTATTGCCTGACCTATCTGTACGTTAGTGCAACGCTTCAACCTAGTTTGAACTTTCAATCGAACACAAAGACTCACGTATCTTGGTCAACTGTCTTCTTCTGTCGACGACCCGGACTGTTGGTTGAATTCTTTCCACTAGGCCTAGATTTTGAAAAACTTATTGAATGTCAGCGATTTGTGAAATGACAACATCCGCTGTAAAATCTATTCACTTACTTTTTTTTGATTGGCGAATTCTCTTTTTTGTTGACTGGGCGGTTGGGCAAATTTGCCATGTTGTGATCAGCTCCAGGTCTTGTGCCGCAACGATGACGATCGGCCTGTACTCCACTATATGATCGATTTGGGGCCGTACCGGTAGTATTTGTTCTACTGTTCAACACTGCACGGGGGGTCTGTTGTTGTAAATATGCTCCTACTCCTCTGTCATGCTGAATAACTTCCGTGAAAGCCGCACTTAGTCCATGTCCTGGAAATTGTTGAAGTGGTGCTTGTGTCAAAGAATAGGGAGGGATAGACTGAGGATCTTGTGTATATGGAAAGGGGTCAGAGTCATTTCCTGGAGTCATACGATTGCCACTCTGGTAACGAAATTGGTTTTGGCCACTCTGGGATTTCGAGGGTCGATGTTGGGATATTGAGTTTTTCTTTGGCCAAGCTCGATTTTCGGCCGCAGGATTAAATACATAGCGGTTTTCATTATCTCCATGGTAGCTGTGGTAGCTGGAGTTACTGCCCGATCGCTCTCTTGAATTTTCAAGTGGATATCCTGCTGTTAGGATACGCCCATTTGGCATCTTGTAGCCATCAAATCTCTCAATTGCCATGGCTAAGACATCGCCATCGAATCTATCATAAAAATTAGCTTTATTGCATTACTTATGTCAGTGTTTAATCTTACGTTATAAAAGTTGGACCATTGTTATTGGGCCTGAGTAAAAATTTAATTGACAGCACTTTTCCGACTTCGGACATTAGATTTTTCAACTCATGACTGTAAAACATTGCCAAATCTGCACCCGTCATGTAAAGAGTCCGGCCAGAGGAGTATCTCGACGCAGAACTGTCATAAGTATACAAACAGAAGTCATCCGTTTTATAGAGCTTTGGAGCTCCTTCAATTCCACCCACGTCGGCAAGTGGTTGACTCATTTTAGAATTCTCAAAATTCTTAACATTTCGGGCATCGTTAGGGAGTTCCATACGAGATCCAACCGAATCCTTACCCATGCGATGGCTGAAATTATTAATAAAAGGGACGGGAGCAAGATCGTTGCGGAAGTAAATAGGCTCGAGCTGAAGAGCTCGAGGAGGGCTTCCTCGCGTGCTATTGAACATGTTTTGTTGCTGATTGTTCTGCGATGGATACATAAGCTTGTGTGGCTGAGGTCCATGAGGCCCGAACCACTGAAGCCCTCTTATTTGATGAGTCTCAATCGAATTCCTACGATGCCTAGATTTGTTGTGAAGCCCATTCTCGTTTTGGTAGCTCTCGGAACGAGTTGGGGAAGCATTCAGACTAGTCGTAGCATTAATCTTTTTGCCCATACCGTGCTGATTCTTCGTGTAGCGATCGTAATTGAGTGGTTGTTGCTGGGGATAAGCCCATGTCATTCCCGCGGTGGCTTCACCTCGATTCGCAGATTTCAATTGTTTCTGAGCTACTGGATTCAACGGCATACTAGCAGTCCTATTGCCGTGGAAGCTAGACTTAGATTGGAGTTGCATGGGATTGCAACCATGCAATGCAAGATTGATTCCTGCTGCTTTTCCTGTCATGGGAGCAATTGCAGATCGATTGACTTGGTTTCCAGCCTGGATATGACGAGTCCCATTGCCTGAGACAGCTCTGCTACTCGAAGCGATGGGAGCTTGAGGGTGCAATGGCTGATTTGCATCATGAGAAGGGACTGAATTAGTAGTTGTCATAGCTTGTAACAGGCGCAAACGACAATTCTCCAAAGCTGCTTCGACCGTTGACTTTAGCTCTGGAGCGACTTCCTCAGGCTCATCCTGGCAGAAATACTGGTACATGCTACCCGCAGCAGAGTTTAAGACTAAATCTCTATGATTTGTGACCCATGCTTCGGTATATTCGTTGATTTCGTCGTTCACCTCCTTCTGTATTTTTGGTTTGCGTCGCTCATTTTCCTCGCCAATAAAGAACATGACATAATAGAGGAAGCCAGGGCTCTCCAATTGTATATCGGCTGCATCCCAAAGAAAGTAAAGGTCATCCCAATTGGTAGGCTTTCTAACATAGCAAACAATGTCTGGATACAAGTCAAACAAGCTGGTAGCTTTAGCCTTAGCATCAGCCACTACGTCACAGTGCGCAATGCAGGGGATTGCCGTAGGAGCAGATTCTCGTTTTGGAAAGCGGCCACGATCAGTGGAGATCCATGCAGGCATATCAGGGAGATTTCGAACGTCCCATCTCTCAGGATTGCTTTCCATGGGGTGAGGAGCTTGAGGAGGTCGAGAATTCTCCGTCATGTGTATCGGGACGTAATATGGTGGACGACTCATTGTTCCGCAATATTGTAGTAAATGCGGAGGTGTCAATTGTTGATATTATTTCGAAGACTGGAGATAGGGCACTGTAGATGTGGGTTAGATATCTTCGTGAAGCCGTGTAGTGAGGTGGTGTATTATTGTTTGAATGTTCCAATTGGGTTCTGAAATTCAAAATCGGGGATATCTGCCAGCGATGCCGGCGAGAGCTCTTCCTAGGAAGTTACTAGAATTGTTGTAGAATTATTATTAAATTCCTGATGCGTCTTGTTTGTGTTAATTGCTATTGCCAGCAATAGCAACGCAACTTGTATGAAGCTTGAAGCTCAATGCGACAATAATGACTCGTTTGACGCTACAAGAGAATGCAACGAGAGGCAATTGATTGTGACAGTGCAGAGATTTTATTCGGAAAGAAACGATGGAATAGAAAGTGTTAATGTGAGAGTTATTAAAAGTGTAGGTATGAAAGAGGAGCTTCCAAAAGAGTTGATAGAAGAGAAGGTGACAAGACTTGAAGAGAAAGTTTGAGTCTTTTTTTTAAGAAGAGAAAATCAAATTTGGAGAAGTCAAGTAGAAAGTCCTTACCGTACTAATTTACCTTCTAATAACGCTAAGAATGACAAGTACTGCCTAGTACTGCTAGTAAAACTTCATGACGAGTGCCCAGGTGATTTAAGTGAATGAAAGAGGTAATGTTATTGGAGCTTGCATTTTATAATTCATTGTCTTGCTGTCATTAGCATATTTTGAGGCCAGTTTTGTTGTATCGTACCTACCTAGTTATCTACTTAGTGTCTATTGAAACAGGATTAGAAGGAGCCGGATCGCACATCATGAAAACTCCAGCAATGAGTTCCGTCCTTTCGTCCTTTCATCCTTTGATTTCTGCAAACTTTCATCCTCCCTATACTGGCCTTGAACACGAGAAATGAAAGCCCCATTCGAAGAATACTTCACTTGAAACTGTACGTGGTGAACTGCATTGAATAATGAACCAGTACTGGGGGAACATACGTCTTGAATACCTAGGAATACAACTGCTATCCCGAATTTTAATATTTAATAATCCCTTCATATCATTGTGTGCTATTATAGATCAGTAGATCTCTCCGAGGCTTTTTCTGTCTATTCCAAAACCATCCATTCACTCCCATATGTCATAATACCCAGCGATGCGGGATAACTTCAGTAGTTGATGAGATTAAACAAATTGATATTGTGAACTTGGTATTGTAAACTTTTGAGATGATATACAGCGCAAACAATGCAAAGGCTAATTTTTGGAAAGAGCATTGAGCATGGTCAATATCTCAGATTTACTATCTCCGACAACAGCTTTCCCATTGCTCCAATCCACAGTCTGTTAAAACATTATTAAAATAATCATTCCATAAGATACATTTCACGGCAAGGGACATACTAGAGGTCTCTGGAAGCTATCTTCATTGGCTTTGATCTTCCTTACGGCGTCTGCTTCATCCTTTGCACCTGTAACAATACTGCCAACTTTTGATACACCAACATATTCCAGAATGCTCTTGAGTTGATCTGGGGTAGGTGCAGATTCGGTGACTTCTAATTCGAACTCTTGTCTCTTTGGGTTGGTCTGGGCAGAGTGGTCGCTAGCTTGATCCTCCGTCGCAGGTTCAGTAGCATTGGCAGATGCTTGCTTCAAAAGAGTATGAACTCTTACTGAAGCTGGAGAGCTTGCCTTGTGAAAGAGAGTAATGACATCGAGGGTTTTGTGCTATGGATCAACGATGTCAGTAAACGCCTAATAATAAACTATCAAGAATTGAGGCCCCTAAAAGCTTTTGTTGTACTTACGAATCGAAACATCTTGACTGATATGTATTATTATGTTGATTGGTATTATTGTTAACGGTTTTAGATGCTGTTGTTTAACGTCGACGAAATCTTGAAGCTTTGAAAGTTAAGATGACGTTGACCGTTTTGACCTTGTGCGGCTTTCCCCTCCGTACCATGCGATATCAAAAATAAATCCTTGGTGAATCCTTGATCCCTGTCATTTCTACACAGTAAATTTTGTGTTCTGTACCATAGCAACGAGGACTTTTTGATTTGTCGCGTACAAGACGTGAGACTTTAAAATCCTAAAGAATTCGAGAACACCACAAATTTATCTCCTCACGCATTCCAGACAGTACCAGTCTTTTTCTGAGACACGTCACATTCTTCTCCCTTGCTTTAGTAATTACATAATGCCGCCATTAATATTACACAATGTTCCAGAGGAGGAGTGTTATGTAGGTGAAGATGGTATTAAAAGACCTTATGCTATGCTATTCCCTGGGTAAGCTTTTCCACGTCTATGTGATGGAAGGTCATCAATCTGATTCGAGTAGAATTGATGGAAATCCCGCCGCGGCAAGAGTTAGAAGGACTGTTCCAGAGACAGGGTCCTTTGGTAAATCGACAAGACGATCTCGATCAAGAACTGGCACACCAGCTTTGAAAAAGGAGGATCCGACCTTGGCAGCTGCAGATGCAATATTCGCTGCCACTTTCGCAAGGAGAGCTGCGGCGACATCAGACTCGGGACCATCTCAGCGCAAATCTTCGATACCATCTTCATTATCGCAAACCAATATTCGAGATAACAATGCTTTAGCAGCTATTGATGGCAATGCGGGCCAATCTTCGAGATTTGTACACAAGGAGCCTACAGAGGTTATACTACGAGGTTTCACGCCAGAACATCAATGGGCAGCTATTGCAGAATATGAAAGAATTGCTGGCCACATATGTGAGGATTATCCTCGCGATGCACCCCTAGATCAACGAAGATACAAAACCGACCTCCGAGATCCTGTTGTTCTGCGAAGACGTCCGATGACTATAGAAGAAAAAGCAAAAGCTTTGAAATATGCTGGCGGGAAGCACTGGATTAAAATCACGTTCGAATCCGCGGAAGCAGCAGATGCAGCCATAGAAGCCTCACCTCAAGCAGTACTTGGTTATTTTGTTCACGCTGAACTCTATCGCGGTGCGCCACCAGCGAAAGACGAACTAGGAGTCTCTACAGTAACATCAGAAAGATCGTCTCGTCTTAATTCCAATAGACACCGTTTCGATCCTGGACCATTCCTCCCAGGTGCCGAACGTCCACTTCAACAATCCGGACTCCCTCGTTCCTGGACCACTCCTGAAATGTCACAAATTAGTCGAAACGTACACTTTGAAGACCGCGCTCAATCTCCTGAAGGCTCCCAAGCTACCAGTCATACGATCGATACTACTACATTAACGACATCTACAATCCCAGGTGGTAACCTTGCCCTTCAACAACGGCCATCTTCTGCAGGTTCTGCCACTCCCGAAGCACCTTCTCTATACTGTCGCAAAATTCCAACAGCTCAACGACTGCAACTTCTCCCTGCCGATCAGGCCCTACTCCCTCAAAAATCGTACACACAGCAAGTTTTGTCCAACATCCCGTTATTAAATTGGTTCAGTGCGGATATCATAGGGGATACAGTACCAAGGACAGAGACAGGCGAATTCGATTGGGCAAAAGCGAGTTTTTATTGGAGGATGGTTTACTGGTTCGATACATACCTAGGGATTTTTGGAGTTGTGGGAGGGGAGAAAGATGATTAGAGTTGATTATATGGAGAGCTTTTACTGGAGGGACGGACTGTCGAGAGTGGCATCTGGAGGATGAAGCATATTAGGTTATTTTGGAGAAGCTTTGAGACTATACCCGAGATTGCGCGAAAAATTACAGACGAAGAGCGTAGATGGCACAGAAATGTAATAAATGACCGGCCAACCAATTAGGTATGGATGATGGGGTGACTGAGGGAATGGAGTTTTGGCGCGAGACTTTTCCCAGCGAATATAGCATGAAAGTTTATTTTGTCATTCTGTCAATCATCAAATATGAAACTACTACTCACAGCTCTTCCTTTCTACTTTATTCTTGTTAAACTTGTCAGCATACCTCCAAATCGTCTCATACACAATTTTTATATAACTCCTTGCCAGATCCCAAACCGAAACCGAAGACCCCGATACCCATATCCCCGTATACGCATGCTAGAAAGAGAAAGAAAAATAACAAAATTGGTCTAGAGGGGTATTAGTACGCTTGAGGCTATAATCCACGTGCTAAACATTTAAACATAAAATCTATCGTTCCATTCTCGCTCTCTTCTGTCTTCATCGTGTTCAGACTCGGTTTCTGGTGATGAAATTCGCTCGTCTCCGCGGATGGTACCCTCAGAGTGCATACTACTAGTCTCGTGTGCCATATCAGCTCGATTGTCTGTTGATGGCACTCCGTTGGTCTCTGTCTGCATCCCTGTCTCTGTTTCTGCAAATATTTCCGGCGAGGAGATTGGTGACGGGACTTGCGAATCTAGGATAGTCTCGTCTTTAAAGATTTCTGGTGTGACAGAGCCGAAAGCCTCGAATCTTGATCTCTCGCTATATTCTTCTCTGGGAGATGGAAGTTGGCTGGGAATTTGACTAGGCGGAGGTAACTCAAGTGGATCTAGGCTTCTTTCGACGGCCTCTGGACTAAAGGGCCTTACGCCTCGGGAGCGGTTCAGAATCCTGGTGTCTCGCTCGGAGAATATTGATCCGCTATCTATATCACGATCTGCGACTGCAGCTAGTGACTGGTAATGATTGTTGTCAACAAGGAGACTATCGCTACGCTTGTGGTTCACCTTTTTATGGGGCGCATCGGTAGCGGGCTGCGTGGCATCTACAAGGATTGATTTTTGTGGCAGAATGCTGAAAATCTTAGATGGGCTACCATTCGAGTCTGTGTTCGTAGAAGGGGGTTCCGAGGAGAAGAGATCTTGACCGTGTTCGAGTAGATCTTCGAGACCACCTCCTGTCCAACCTTTTCGTGCAAGGGCTTCAAATATTTCCACCTCTGCGCGGACGAGAGAGGAACTAGCTTCGACTACCTTGGTGCTCACATCTTGACAATCTCTCAATAAAGCTCTTGAATGTTCACCGTGTAGTGTTGTAAGACCATCAAGCCTTGTAGTTAACTCCACTAGATGTCCTCGGAACCCTCGCACGTCTCGCTTCCTCTGCTTGTGTAGTTTTAGCCCTTCCTTTTCCATTTTTTGTATCTCTTTGCTCCTGTTCTTCACTTCCTTTCGATATGAGACCTCCTCTTCCTCGATTTGCCTACCCCAATTGTCTAGTTCATGCAGCAAAGGCACCTCAAATGATCGGTATACACATTCTGAAAGTATTTGCTGATGGTTCGCTATCAACTGGTGTACCCCACTAGCAGACATCAGGTTATCCCCCGTACAATTCCCTTTTGCAGTGAAACTGTTGCTGAGACTGCCGCCAGGGGTAGCCAAGGCTTCCGATCTTGCTTCTTTTAATCGTGCACATGCTTCTAAAGCACTACCAAAAGCGGATGCAGACGAGCTTAGCTCTGCGAGTGCTAGTCGATAGCTTTTGGCGGTGCTGATGAGTTCGGAATAGGCGATTTGGGAAAGTTCTAGGTCGGCTTTTGTAAGGACGGCGTGGGGTGGGTGAGGAGCTGGTGGAGGTGGAAGCGCAAGGGAAAATGTGGATGCGAGGGGAAGTGTGGAAGCATATGAATAAGTTGGAGATCCGGGGAGGGGACGTTGCGAGGGGGATCGTGGTCGAGATGTCGGTGGTGCCATGATTATATCCGCTTTGTTTACAAGTTCGAAGTGAAGCTTGAAGGGAATAGTTGGAGGCTCAGGCACATCCAAGTATCATGAGAGGTCTACAGAATATCGGAGCCGCACAATAGAACTTTTCAACAATTCAAAATATTCTTAACATAATGTTTTAAAAGTTATGCGCGTGTTGACAACCAATAAAACAAGATAGTTTTTGATAAAGATACCTACCGAGTATTAATATTCAAGATAAGAGACATACAAGGATTTGCACAGCAGTGGGAGCAGGGGTTCATGAGAGGATGAAAATCTTGAATTTGAGGAAAGCTTTTGCGCAATTGTTTCTAAAGCTTCGAAACTTTCGTAAAATTACCTATTCTAGATCATGTAATTATATTGTAAGTTTTTATCAAAATTCAATAATGTTCGAATTAATGGTGAATTTTCTCATTCAATTTAAGAAGAGTTTCACGAATCCGTGCACCACTATTGACTTAATAAATTTAGCGCGATAAGGCGGGGAGAGTAGAGCTCGGAGACTTTCTTTAATTGCTAAATACAAACAATCTAAACTAACCTCCCCTCTAACTTTTTTTTATTTGCAGATCTAAAAACAACATAGAAGCACATCTTTGTGTATATCTTGATACTTCTGAATACTTTCCTTCCATACAAGATCTGCAACGGTCACAATTCATAAAATGCCTCCACCATCAGCTCTCACTATCCCCGCAGTCACGAAGCACACTGCAACTGTCATCATGGCTCATGGTCTTGGTGATAGTGGTGCCGGATGGGTCTCGCTCGCAGAGAACTGGCGTCGTCGCCAAAAGTTCCAAGAAGTCAAATTCATATTTCCAAATGCGCCTGCCATTCCTATCTCAGTCGTATGATAAGCCGACCATCTTCGAAGAAATATGCAAGCTAATAAATCATTCAGAACTTTGGCATGACCATGCCAGGTTGGTATGATATCGTAAGACGCACTAATTCCGTTCGTCCTTGCGTTTATATTTCACCTTTGTTTTGCAGAAGGATTTCGCTGACCATTTTTGATGTAGACAACCTTTAGTGACCTCCAGGCCGAGCAAGATGAGACTGGAATTCGACGTTCCCAAGCTTACTTCCACTCGCTCATCAAATCCGAAATAGAAGATAGCAAGATTCCATCCAATCGCATTGTGCTTGGCGGTTTCTCCCAAGGAGGCGCAATGTCTATTTTCTCCGGCATTACATGTCCAACACAACTCGGGGGTATCTTTGGTATGAGCTGTTATCTGTTATTACAAAACAAGCTTCGAGAGATTTTGGGTGCAGATGGTAGCTCCAACAAGCAGACCAAGATCTGGATGGGTCATGGAGATTCTGATCCTCTTGTCAAACCGGAATGGGGTATCAAGACGGCAGAGGTGCTACGTGATGAAGGCTTTGATGTTCAATTGAAAATGTATCCGTAAGTGCATCTCTTAAGGTTTGTTCTTTCATAAGGTTTTATGCTAACTCCAACAAAGAGGTCTCGAGCATTCAGCCGATGTTACGGAGATTGAGGATCTTGAACAGTACCTCACCAGTAGAATTCTACCAATTGGGGATAAAGAGAGTCTATGACTAGAAGAAGGCGATCTCAAAAGTCCTTACAATCTAGCGGTGCTAGTGTGCTTCTTCCTGGTAACATTCATGGCTTGGCGCTGGTTGCAGAGAAGGGGAAATGATGGGAGGGAAGATACCAGGAGAGAATGATTTCAATTAAGATTTTCCAATTCGGAACTTGAATAGATCACCAAAACAGCCGCGGGACGGTATTTAATAGCTAGAGTGTTTTGAAATTTGCTTGGCGTGTCAAATGCAATATCTCTCTTTCCTCGAATCTTCAAGCGACGACTCTGCTTCAAGGCCTTTCTGTTCAATGTGTATGGTGATTACAGTATACTTTGGCTGTTATTGTGTCGTTTTTATTTCTATTCAAGCTCAACTGCTAGGACAAAGGATTCTGTTTTTGGAAAGCCGACTTTTCTTTGATGTTGAAGACCCTTGGCACATTGATGCTTCGAAAACTATTTCCTGACCTTCGAGTTCGATGAATGATATTGTCCCTTGAATGTATTGACTAGACACTAAAACATAATGGCACAACCTGGAACACTTGCATTTGATACAGCTGCAGTGATATACATCAAAGCCCTCCGAAGGAAGAACATAACTATTCGCTGCAATAAATGGAGAGCTGACCCTGGTCTTAATCATGATAATCACGATTTTCAGGGGCACATTGCAACCGGCGGATTCGGTGTTGTTTTAAAGGTCACTAATTCAGAAACGAAAAAGCCCTATGCCTTGAAGCTCCAGTGGAACCTCGACAAATTCGAATTGGAGCTTCCAGAGGGTGCTTTTGTACCACCTCTCACGCCCAGCAGCGAAGCTACCAAGAGCTCTTCTCAATCGGTCGAAAGACTCAGTCTCCGTGCTAAGCGGGATTCCGAAACGAGAATGTATCTCCGTTTCATCAGAGGTGGACATCCGCACATATGCAATCTCGAAGCATTCGTTCAATACGTACCTGAATACGGGTATGATAAACCGGTCTTGGGACTCTATTTCGAGTACTGCGATGCGGGCAGCTTAACGAGCTTGGCGAAAGCATTTCGCACTCATCGTGTTAAACCACCTGAGTTATTGATCTGGCAGATCTTTTATGAATTGGTTAGCGCGGTTGCGTTTCTGCATAATGAACATCCGGATTATAATATGAAGAGTGAACACAAGGGACGCGATGTGATTTTTCAGAATGATATGCAATCCGGGAATGTTTTTCTGCAATGGGGATCCGATCGCGAAAACGGATATCCGCACGTGAAGATTGGGGATTTTGGGGTCGCGTTTACGGAGCCTCCGGGGGGTCATGTTCCCAATCTCGAGGAATATGATGAGCCGGATCCCGAAGATGACGAGTGGGAACCGCATGATAGGAAAAAGAAGGGCGAGGTTTGGTGGTTGACTGCCGTGGTGTATGAGTTAGCGCGTACTGGCGTGATTCTTGGGACTTTGGATAAGGACAGGGGGAAATTGCTGGATGTGCATCCGATTGAGAGTTATTTGAGTCAGGATCTGGATGAAATGCTTAGAGGAACTCTAACAGCTGGAGTCGACGAAAGACCTTTCTCTGGAGAACTTTATCTCAAGCTTAAAGGGGCTTATGAAGATCGGGTAGGCTTGATGTATAGGAAATTACCCGATTGGGCGGGAGAAGAGGTTTTGCAGCATACGTTTGATGAAAACCGGATGAGAAATCTGGATGAAGGCGCACTCGAGGTTGAAATGGTGGAGAAGGAAACTGCAGATGCCATCAAGAAAATTGAAGACGATATGATGGAAGCATGGATAGAGGCCCACGATACTGATGAGCTAGAGAAGCTTGATGAGGAGGGAGTTGTGGAAGAGATGACGATTCAGTTCCATGAGCAAGCGGTGCGAGAAGTAGAAGAGAGGCGGTTCAAAGCTTTGGCTGAAGTTGGGGCTTGAGCTTGAGCTGAAGCCGAGGAAAATTAATTTCGATGATTGTACTTTGAGAATATCTTAGAACAATTGACAAAGCGATGGAGTTCATACAATTTTTCAGGCGACATCTGCCTCTCATCCGGATGTTTCAATCGTAATTCATTGATTTCACGACCAAAGGAGATTGACAAACCGGCTTCTTGAAGGCCTCGATTAGGACCCTGTTTGACGGGCTTTCGGGATTGAAAAAAGATTGATTTGGTTCATGCGATGAACTGTTTCGAGGAGGGATGATTCTCACTTGGTCTTCAAGACTCAAAATCGGCTTATTAACTAAAATACAATTGCAGATTGAGAATCTATCATACACGAACTACACTTCATAGTACTGGATGCCTCACACGCAGGTAGTACCCTAAAAGGGGCAATAGCTATGGTCATATTGGGCCCCTTGGCGCATTTGTGCTTGACAGATCGCCCCTCCCGCCGCCGTCTTTTTATTAATCACGAAAACGTACCTCAGAATACTATACTCTGGAAAACCGTAACCCATCCAATTCCTCAAGTTAAAATAAGCAGTCATAAGGGAAAAAATTATCAATTAATTAATACTCGTATATACAAAGATTCTTGCGCCTGGATATCTCCCACTATGTCTAGTGATCTTACATTCCCGTACTCTATTCATGATCGAGCTTTCGATTATATACCTGGGAGTGTGCTCGGTCAATCACTTGAGCCAAAACCTCGTTTGTTGCTGTACCTAGGTACCTATACCAAGTCGTCTAAGCCGAGCAAGATTTGTGATTCCTGATTGTGTTCGATATTCATGAGAATTCCGGAAATTATATAGTAGCTGAAAACAATTGCTGAATGTTCATCCTAAAGTCAAGCCTAACGAAGAGAAAACCCTTGAGATTAAAGTGGTTATTCAAGGTGATCAGGCGTATAAAAAGTAGCTGGCCAAAACTAAAAGACACACGGTACTAATCGAAGGGTTATGAAAACTTCGGTCGGAGGCTGATTTGGAAGATGCCATGCTACTACCGATGCTCATAGTTGTGCTGGTGGTTTGGGTACTAGTGGAGCTTGCGCTGGGACTTCTGACAGTACTTGTACCTGTACTAGCTGCAACCGCCGTCTGAAGGGCCAAAGTGACGTTGGTGGAAATTGGAGAATCTATCCACCCATTTTTCTGTACTTGCTGAATTCCAGCGAACCATGCTTTCGCCATTTGCTGATATCCATAATCTGTTGGATGAAGTCCATCTACTAAGTCATTCACAGTGACATAGTCCATCATGTTGACTGTGAAAACCTTTTGACCAGCGGAAACTTTGGATGCAACGATATCGGGTATCTTGGAATTGAAAGCGACCATTGCGTCATCTACGGTGGTATTCGAAGCGGGGGTAAGCTGAGCAACTATGAGAGTAACATTTGGAACTGCAGAAGTGATCTCATCGATGAGTCCACTGAGTCGCTCTGGAGCCGTGGTGACATTGTCGAAATTGTTCATGTCGTTCGTACCAGCCATAAGCAAAACCAGGTTAGGATCCTCGGGAAGAGACAACTTCGCATATTCGGCAATTTGGGAGATAACGGCTCCTGGATGACCCTCATTGAAATTGTCACTCATGTTGCCTGCTCGAACCGAGCCCACATATTGAACGGTGTTTCCAGCAGACGTGAGTAGATTACGAAGGCCAAGGCGAAAGCCATTCCCATCACTAGATAAGAAGCCGTAAGTTATCGAGTTACCGAGAGGTTGCTTCGATAGTCAGCATGTGTAGTGATTAGATACAAAGAAACCAAAGACTCGAGTGGAAATTGTCTGCACTATGACCATGATCTTAAACAGGGGGCTTACAATTCTGAGGCTATTCCTAGATCTCGTGACATTAGATATCGTGTCATTGGATCTCGTGCTATTGTACCCGCGAGTGTTTATATTGGGAAATATCAATGCTATAGAAGCGTTAGTCAGAGATAAATGAAACTGGGCGTCGATGCAGATAAACATACCATCAGTGCATGACAGTAAAATGCTAATGCATATATTAGCATAAAGAAGGAAATACATCTGTACCGCAAATGTAGCAAAACGGGATAGGGAAACGAGAAAACCATCGTCACTTTCGACGGGGTACCACTGTCTTTATGTCTGGCAACGACAGACGCTTGGGGGTCATTTTTTCAACGAGGGGTGTTCCACATCATCTATACGTATTGCGCAGCATAGATGCAGTCAAACATTCAAACAGGCATGGATTGATCAGACGGCCAATTGAAGGTCTAAACACTAGAGCAAATGTGAAGCTATTGTAACCTTCTCGGATAAAGGTGTCCCATCTCGTGAGGATGATTCTACCTCTCGTGAATACCGCTGTGACCAAAATAAATCTATAGTCATAAAGTACAAGCCCATGCTTGAAGTGATTGCAGACATCTAAAGCGCGTAAAAGAGGCTATGGTTTGACGTAAGCATCAAACGTCGTCTCATTAGAAACACCGAGCACCGTGCGGATTTTTTCTGTAGAAGTTTCCACAGATTTCGTAGACAAATTTCAACGGTCGGGCGTTTCCGAATAAACACGAAGCCTGCATCCATGGAAGAGCAATGGTGTTGTTTGATCGGTGAAGAGCTTGGATCAGGCTAATTGTTGATACTACCAAGACCAGAGGTGGTGTGGCCAGAGAGCGTGGTGCGAATGAAGCCGGGGCATTTTTACATATCACGTGGGTTACCCGGACATTGTGCTTGGAGAATGAAATTCAATGCTGTAAAGCTTGGGAAAATTCAGAATATAACTAACATAAAAATACCACACAATCTATTGAAACTTTCTATCTACTCTATTTGATAAGCTCTCTGAAAGAAAATTTGTTTCAAACTCAGTTGAACTAAATGCCCCCCTCCCCCGCATGCATCGTCGTCCATTGTCCTTCATCTATCGTGATTCGAAACCCTTCACCCGCCCTCGGACCTTTTCGAAACACATCAAGATGGTTCTTCTGAATTGAATTGCGTATGAACTTTCTTTCTGGTTCGCATCCATGTGAATAAGATGAGAGATCCCTCATAACCACCGAGTCGAGGCATACGCGTAGCATAGAATGCCTATTCCAGAGGTAGGCTGGGATACGATAACTTTCGATGTCTGGAAGTACGCTCCATTGAGACGAACAATTGTATTTTTCGGACATGACGTGCGTTGGTACTCATCGGAAGGTATACTGCAGAATTGATCCGAAATATAGTATTTGTAGAGATGCGGAGAAGAATCCAATATCTGAGGTCCCAGTGTTCTCGTTCTTCACAGTCGTCCGATGGTTCAAGATTCCAGTACGGATAGAGGTTTGCCATAATAAGCGAAACAAGACAAAATCTCATCAAAATATCCACGTCACCCCCTTCATCTCTGAAGCAAAGCATACGACTTGCAATCACACTCAGTTGTCTTGGCAGGATTACACCGATCCATCACCTCCCTTGCCAACTGATTCAAAAACCCCTGAACGGTATCCAAGAACTCTTCTCTCTGTACCAGAAACGAGCCCGAGACACTTCGATTGGAACTTGAAATGTCTTTATCCGATACTCTCCTGACGACGAATTGATTTAGGCGACGAAGGTTCCTTCGTAATGGATACAGATTCTTCTCCAACATTTTTCGAAGATCAGTAGAATTCCCCCTATTCGATTGAAAACATTGTAAGCTAAAGGAGAGACCAATTTGTAATCGACGCAAGTGTCCGTTTGCGCAGCTAGTCTCCACACAAGACTTCAAGATGTTGGCAATCTTTGTGTGAGAGTAGCTATTGATTTGAATCGTGAGATCCAGGGTGTGTACGTATTGAAAAGCTGGGGGCGGTTTTATGAATGTGTAGCCCAAGAATCGAATACCATAGTTGCTGATTGATGTCCGATAAGGTAGGAAACAATAAAGTTCGTTCAAGACTTCTCGATAGATCATTTGGTTTGTGTGGAGGATCGGCGGTGAGTAGAGTTTGTGCTCTTCGCAGCGAGATTTCGGGTGGTTTGGATCCCAAGCCGATGTCCAGTCGAAGTCTGCCGAAGGGTCAATTGAAGGAATTAGGATTCGGTAGATCATCAGCCTAATCTCGAATGGGCATTTGAGGATGGGAGGGATCCCGCTTCGGGTAGAGGTGATTGAATCCGCAGACATATTGATATCTCTTTTGTGTTTCTTGGAAACGACTTCGTCGAAATTGTAGAAACGTGAGTGGGATTGATTCTCAAATATCAGAACTGGGTCGTACACTGTCATTATCATGGTTATGCATGTATGACGACTGACTCGATCCGCTGCTCCACCGAAAATTTGGTGATTACCGGTGAGTCTCCGTGGTGGAATGATGAGTGGCCATATTGTTAGTAAGGTGGAGAGATGTTTCCCGCCCAGTCGTAAAACGGGAGGGATCTACCACCCCCGTTACATTGAACAACTCAACTTACTGGATTTGACTTGCTTTGCATGTCAAATCAAAACCTATCCACTCCATTTCATGATAACGATCTTCAGTACTACACGTGATTAGCATGTGAAGAGAATGATCTTTTCAATCATCGTTGATACGAGATCCTATTCGTCCAGTCTTCTCATGTCCGTGATTAGATTGGGCATCTGTAACAGATCTTCAATCAATTGAACAAGAAGAATCGAATGACTTGCCAAAATACCTGAGGGTTGAACTCCTTCATATCAGCACGTTTCATCTTGTGTTTCTTCCCAAATTTCTCATCTGTCGTCTCGCTGTCATCAATTTCGAAAACTCCCTCGCATCCTAACTCCACTATTCACGAATTCAATTCGACAATAACGTCCCGACATCAATTCTCCTCGAAATGTCCCCCGACTTCCCCAACCTCCTCTCCCCCGCCTTCCTAACGTTCTCCACCTGTCCTCTCAACCCCACCGCTGATCCCTCCTCCACTGTATCTCCTAATGAGACTTCACCCGGGGGCTCCCGAAGAACATATCTTTTAGCAACCATTTCCCAGAATATGACACTCTCCACCACACCAACTTTGATTTGTACAGATTCTGCTAGCGCGTCGTTCGCGCTAACAATTATTCTTGAGGCGCCATTGACGCCTGCGCAATTGGAGGGAAGTGGAAGTGGGAGCATTAGTGGAGATGGAAATGATTTTGATATCAAGAAATTGAAGAAAGGACACACAGTTGTGGTGCCGAATCCGAGGAGGCATGGGGTCAGAGAAGGAAAACAAGGATATATCAGGTGTTTGTGGGCTGATCTTACTGTGAGTTAATTTTGCGTTCTTCAGACCTGATTCAAGGCTGATGAAGAATCGCAGATCATACCATCCTCTTTGGATAAACTGTTAGGAATGAGTGAGAGGTTTATTAAAGCTCGTGAAAATTCTGAAGAAGACAGCCGAGGGGGTCTAGTGACATGTCAATCATGTGAGAGGAAAGATGGTGAGGAGCAGCTTTCGAGATGTAAAGGTTGCAGCGAAGTTTGGTATTGTGGGAAGGTATGTTTTACTATCTGGGAAGGACACCCTTTGAGTGTGGTTGGTGGGCTGACTATGAATACAGGAATGTCAAACTAGGGGATGGAATGAACATGGTCATAAGAGTGAGTGCAAGGTTCTGAAAATGGTGCGCGGCATGAATTTGAACAATTAGATGATACAGCGGAAGAGGGTTTTAGTGCTCAGTAATCAAGGAAAGCTGTGGTAATTGTAAAGGTCATTGTATTCTATCTATCAGGCCATAATTCAACGGCAAAAGACAATGTAAAATAATAGAGCCGTACAAAAGAAAAAAGACAAAGAGCACGAGGAAATACAATAAGAAAAACACTTCAAATTTCCCTGTCCTTCTCCCTCCTTCCTTAGTCAGAAATCCCTCCTCTGTTTTTGTGCATTGTTTTATTGAAAAAGTTACGCAAGTTCAAATGTAATAAAATAGACATGATATGAGACATCAAAGAGAGACTCAAGTGAGCAACAAATCGGACAACAGGACAAAAACGAAAATCAAAATCAATTTTTTCCAGACAGCCGTCGATATGCGAGTGGTGTTGATGAGAAGAATATCGAGCCAATTCCCTCGTCATCACATTCAGACACTGATCCCATGCTTTTGCAACATATGCTTCTTCTGGTCCTTCTCTCGAAGCCAGCCTTTGGAACCGACCCGATCACATCCCGGGTGAGTGCACTGAAATGGTGAGGGGTGATCCTTCTTGATATGATCTTGAAGAAGCTTCTTCGTGTCGAAACCGTTCAGTCCTACTCGATCGCAGGACATTTTATCGCAGATAAATGCAGAGGAGTTGTGCTCGACCAGCATGTGCTGGGTGAGATCGTCGAGAGATCTAAGATTTTGACTCTTCGGCATACCATAGTCCTGACAATTGGCATGTTTGCAGAGAAATGGAGACCCATATATGTTGCCAGTATAGTTGGTCTCAATCTTGTGATAATTTCTGATGTGCTGTCTGAGGTGGTCCTTCCTCTTGAACCCGTCATTGCCTCGATATCTAAACGTGTTAATCAACAAGTCTAACCATCTTGTAACTAAAATATACGAGAGTACTTACGTAGAACAATGGGGGCATGGATGACAGGGAACATCATTCTTGTGACATGCTTGGTGCCGAATCAAATCACTAATTCTCCCGGCTGTCGACTCGCAATCAGGATATCGACAAATATAGGCAGAATGTCCGCTTCCACCGGCATGATCGTCAAGCTGTGTCACACAGCCAGAAAGTTCTCCACACTGGTGGCATGCGAGTTTTATGGGTCCGTGGAATATTTCCAGATGATCTTTACCTTGGTTAAATCCACTCAATGCAACATAGCAGCTTGGGAAAGGGCATCGAAGAGCTTTATGATTGGTATCTTCGCAATGAATCTGGAGATCTTTCAATGTACGAAAGTTCAACCCACAGCCTTGTACACAGGATAGTGGCGGATGATCGCAGGCCTTGCTTTTAGTACAAAAGATTCCCTGGCTTTTTGTATAAAGTGTAAGTTCCAATGTGTCAAGTTCTGATGAGCAAGTAGCGCAGGTTGTATTGGGGTATGTGAACCCGGCTCCGTAACCACATTGGCTATTATTTGTGAGCAAAGCCAAACTATTTGCCAAGAAGGAATTTGTACATACAGTATACAGTGCGTCAAGCGAGCATTTTCTTCTGACACGTCAAGTGCTAGGACGAAATCGGAAGCACTCGACACAGCCCTTTTTCTATGAGTTAGCATTTTTTTTAAGCCACTCACTCTGTGCCCATGTCAACTGGATTCGCGGCATCCCAATCAACGAATTCTTGCCAGGATTCGGCAGTGATATCTTCGGGTGATAGGTCGTAGCTGCCGTTCATCTTGTATGCAAGGCGTCGAAAAGGGCGGATGATATCGAAGTTTTGAAAGAGCGGCGATGGAAAATTTAAAGCGGGATTAAAATTTCAAGAGAAAACGAGGTAAATTTTGGCGTAGAATGATGTTGAGGATGCTCCATAAACATATATTGGTGAGAGATCTTTGTTACGCTGCTTTAAAGCATCAGGTCTGCAAAAAAGGGCGCTGTCGAGTTTGGTAGGTGATTGCAAGGGTATGATGCAGCTTATAGATTCTGTGAGGCGAACGAAGGAATCAGCTTACCCTAGGCCCTGACCATTCATCCATGATTGCGACTTTCCTGCATTCAAACATCGAAAATCAACAAAGAAATGAACATCAAACCATTAACATGACAATCCAAGGTGATAATAGCCTAAGAAAGAAAGGGGCACCGAACCCACGAATTTAATTTATGTACAAGAATCCATAATTGCATAAACACATACATTATATATATTTTTCTTTACCCCCAGATATCGCCAATATCGACGGTCCCAGCCGTGTCCCAATTCACCGCGTCATCTTTCACTTGATACGCTTCGATCTCATCTGCTTTCCCATCAATTTCCACAACCGCAAACGCAGCTCCAATCGCTGTAACTGCTATGGATTTGAATACTTTTGGATTTTGTGTCGAGTTTGCCATCGCTGATGGATGAGATCCCATCGCCGACCAGGTATTAACAGCTCCCGAGTACGTGTTTGTTTTGATACCAGTACGCGATAGTGTGAGCGTTTCCCCCCAGCTTTCGAATCCAGTTTTCACGTCGCCAGTCCAGTCAACATGTGAGTAAGATGCAGATGCTGCGATTGGCATGTTAAATGTGAAGGAATAGTACGATGCGGCATCTAACCTCCAAGCTTGAGCTAAAGTGTCCATTAGCCTGGATATATGAAAACAATTCTAAAGGAAACTTACTGGGATACTCCCAAGCTGAAATGGTCATGACGCTACTTGGATTTTGGTAGTACAAATTTATTTGATCTGCTTCGTCTAGACGGTAGAATGGCTGCAAGGCAAGACCAGTGTTATCTACAACATCAACCATGATCTGGGTTAAATCCCAGCCCGAGGCCGTCAGATTTCCGACCTGCATTTTGTTGTTCGCATCTTGAAAAGCGATGATGGTGGTGTTGCTGCATAATCTGCATTGCCAGTACATCACCGCAACACTTGAATTCTCGGAGATTATGTACTTCTCGGAAGACAAGGTTCCTTCACTCCATGAATTTGAAGCGACATTATAAATGATGTCGTGAAGGAGATTGTCAGAATCCGAGTACAATAGAGTGATCTCCTGTATTCCAGTTAGTAGGTACTTTACTACCGGAAATATGACAACCTACGAAATTATTTTGAGGCATCGTTACAGCGGCAGCAAATGATGAACCATTTTTAGCGGTAACGACTGAACTTGTCGACCAGTTCCCACTCGATGCATTTTTATGTGCTTCCAGTATGTTTCCTTGATTGTCTTGATAATACACTCTAGTGTTATTGACGTTGTTGGACTCGTAGGATATTGCGGCAACATTTCTTTGAAATGGAGCAACGGTAGAGCTCGCCAACGATGCAGTGATCGTCGAGGTGGGGTGATTGCTTATCGATGGATTCGTCGTCGAAGTCGTGGGTGATGAACTATTAGAAGATTCTGTACTACCGGAAACCTCATCGACAGTAGCTACGTTTTTCTTCTTAGTTGCAATAACTCCTCCAACCACTGCCGCTATGATTACGATCAATCCAATGATACCAGCTAAGATATACCATTTCCATATTTTTCGTTTCTTCTGCGTATCTTCTGTATACACTATTGCTTCTTTCTCCGTCGACATTGGTTGTTTGATCAGAGGTGCATTGTGTAGTGCCGGTGATGACGGAGCCTCCGAGCAGGCGCTATATTGTTGGGCCGATAGATTTGACGATGTCCTGTGTGACAGTGCGATTGGGGACTGGTTATAATTATCGAATGGAAGTTCCGCGGGGAATACTGGCATTCCTATGAACTTGGTTTCTTCTTGATAGTATGGGCGGCCATTCTCATCTATTTGCCTGTTGCCGTCAACAACTGGACTAAATTTATCATGCTGCTGTGGACCATAATATTCGAAAGGCTGATTAACAACCTCCAACTCGCTGTGTCCAGACATCAGGTCATCACGTAAGTTGAAACTTTGTATGGATACTTCCGAAGAAAAGGGAAGGGGAGGTATTCATAAAACGAGTTCCTTCGACAAAGCTCAGAAGCGAGGATACGATGAGAAGGGAGAACGACCGTGATATCCTTGATATTCGTTCCCTATTAACGACCCACACAGCTGATCAGTTTGAGCGCTTCTCAACAGCTTGGATCATATGTGGACCTCTCCAAGGATACTCGTAAAAAAATAAACGATATGTTCCAAGAAGTATTACGGACCCCAACGACTCCTATGGTTCGTTCAGTCAAGGAAAACGGTCTTGGCTAGGAGCTTACAACAATGATCGAAATAGTGACGGGAACTCGGCCCCGTGTTCTTGTAAGAGGAAAATCAACAATTTTGGACATGGCATCGACAATCTAGCCCATTGATTGATTTGGCCATGCCAAATTAATTTCGCCTGCTGGAAAATGAGGTATGCTAGTTATTCAAACTTCAACAGTGGGATGACTTTTAGTGCTGTGGGCCGTAGTGGTTTCAAGCCATCACGCACTGCATCCGGTAAAGTGGATATGGGGTATCACAGATCGTTGGGTCAATAGAGCGTAATTCACAATTTTAAGCGCCGGGAATGCTTACTTGCCATGCTTCAAGCTTTCAACGAAGAAAGTTTGACGCCGTATCCGGTCAAAATCCCTGTACCGGCAGGACAAATTGTTAACTCGACAGTCGCAGAGCACTTTATTAATCCATTTGGATCTGATTACCTGCATTCAGTCGCCCGCATTCCTCAGAGTGGGAAGTTACCTAAATATATGGTACATTTGCCACCTCTTCTAACATTGTAAGCTTATTTTAACAGTTCAAAAAGATCGTCTCGAAATTTCTTGGCTTCTTCGCAGCACATTAACATTTGAAGTCCCCGAGGTCCCCGGGTGGGTTCGATTCTCTCGTGCGAGAACAAATTATCATTGCCCATAACTTTAACCTTAACCATAGTTAATCGAAATTATATATTTAGATGAAATAGTGATAATAAATGCACGAGATGTCACAAATTTCATTTAGGGTATATTCCGTTCCACATCCGTGACTCCACTAAAATACGGGGATGGCACGTGGAAATGATGTGAATGGCTTCTGCTTTCAGGGGGTTCTATGTTCACTACATGTTCCAAGAGACTATCTATCACATCGCTGTTTTGACACCAATCAACAACAATAAAACGTCGATAGATCGAAAAAGTAGCTGTGGGCCACCGATAACTTCTTCAGTAGGCGAGATTGTTATAATTGAGGAAACGTTCTGTACCCGATCACGTTACTGACACGTGCTCATTAGCTGCTATCATTATCTCCGTCTACTCACTCATTGCGAGGTTTGCAATAAGAGAGAGATTAATAGCAATCGAATAGGCATATATGATACTATACAACTTTGTGTATGTGTCATGTCAAAATAATAAGGTGAAATGGATGTGTGGTCAACTTGGAGTGCGAAAAACTTCGCTTGTATGGGCGAAGGACCAACTTTGAGACCGCAATAGGTATTTTTTTTGATTGTGATAGTCTCAAGAACCCTTTTAAACTTGAATACAAGCGTATTTGTACTGCTCCTGTATATTCATTATGGGCTGAAACTTCAATACCGAAAGATGTTTGTTATGTCAAGTGGGATAGAACCGTAGAGTAGCTCTCTACGGCATACCCTTTGCTGGCTGTATCATGGCGTCTTTCAAGAATTAAATCTACTAAAGAGCTTCTATACTATCCCAAAACAAAGAAATGCATGACAGTGCAGATAGCAAACAGTTTCAAGATGGAGGAAGAGTTTGAGATCATAGATCTCCCTGATGGATATCATATCTCCGAACTAAGCGCAGATGATCGCGCAATCCAACCTCTCGTAGCAGCAATGCAACTGACCGTCAACCGAAACGAAAGAAATAGAGGAGGACCCCTATTTCATGCGGATCTCAGACAGTCGGATCCAGCAGGCAGGGACCTCGGAATGAACATCATCTACGAAATATTTTCCCGCGGCTTACCCAATAAACGTCGAATGATGTCCTGCGAAATATGCGAGACGTTCATCAGAGACTTTGGCAATCTTTGCTATCTCTCTGATGATGGAACACTTGAGCCGTTTATCTGGCCAGGCGAAGACATCGTCCCGGATCATTACAGACAAGCAGTAGCCAATGTGAGGAAGTTATTTGTTGGGCGTCCACTCGGAGAAGAGTTCCGGAGTCACCTCGAGACTGCTCAACAATGGTTAACCTATTACGCACGCAAATCTGGAAATTTCGATACTTACGACCACATGGACGTTAGTGTTCTGGGTCATGTTCGAGCTTACCATGGACCAACGGAATCGGAGCATCTCGCTGAAGTTCTGGAAAGAATACTTACGGATAATGATGAGAAGACAATCTCTCAAACACACGCAATGTTACTGAACGATGATTTACCTCATGCAAAATTATACCAGCCGTGGATTTCGTGGCTAAAGAACGTTTCCACTGCTATCAAAGTGCGGGACGATCTCAAACCAGGAGCTCGAAAGACCCTGATTGCTAAATACTCCTATTTAGCAACTGAAGGGTGTCTACCTTCATTATATAACGGTGAACTAGCAAAGCTGATGTCCTTTGTTAAAGCCGGTGCAGGCATGACATTCATTCAGTCAAAGTGGATGCAAATAGTGAACCCCCAGGACGGGATACCGCCAAAGGATAAAGCTCGCACAACGTCAAGTTTGATTTCGGACCTAGGTTATAGTACAACGTGTTTTAACAGGCTGTTCATCAAAATCGGTCAGATTCCCACATGTGTAAGTCACAGAGTTTTTGTAATATTTCATTAGCTTTTGTTTTGATTATGCTGATCATGATGTAGGCCTATCTTTGGGCCGATTCCTCCAAGCCTTCCACCATACCAAGGCCATTTTTTCAGCCTCTCGATTCCAAAAGACAAAGCGTCCCAATGACTGTTCAAGATGCTCTCGACAGAGCACCTATCACGAAGATCTGTTTCCGCAAATTCTGCTTAGAAGTTATTCCGCAAACATCTTCGCTTTCGATCTACATCATCGAAGAATCAAAACATGCTGAGAATTTTCATTTCCTCACTACAGGCGTGGACGATCCCTTCGGAAGAACCAGACCCATATATACGTTCCAAAAGCCGGGGGAACACACAGCATCATGGTTTAAAGCATCGCATATAACTTCTCCCGAAGAGGTGAATCTATGTACTGGCTGGGTCAAAGTCAAATGCATCGTCTCATTTCCTCACATGTGGGATTATTTTCAAGCTCACAAGAATTCTACTAACCATCAATTCTTCAATCCTATGGCCCATAGAGGGTTTGAACACAAGGATTTGGGAATGAAGTTTCTGCTTGTTCTAGATGGGATCAACCATAATCATGGAAAAGGTTTTGATCTATCGGCTGATCTGTTGAACGAAGAACTGAGGTGCTTCAGCAGGGAACAATTAGAGTCTTATAGGGACTCGAAGTCTATACGAGGTTCACATATCAATGGTCATGTAGGTGGAGTTGCGGTTGAATCTGACAGATTCAGAAAAGTGATGTTAGGTGGAAGGATGAAGAGTGGCGAGTTTGTGAGATATGAGGTTGTTAAGTACAAGTACTACGTGGAACAATTTGGGGGACGTTGACATAGCACACAACAATGTAGATGGGTTGATGAATAGAGTTACGAGCTAGCAATCGAGGATGAAGGTATACTCCATGCAATGAGTCAAAACAGATAGGTGACGGGATCCTCAAAAACGCCTATAAAATACACATTGATCACAACTTATCTTCACCCCATCCACCTCGTGATACCCAAACACAACTTACATTTTGTTGCAGATCTGATTCACAGACAGGGTGTGTGTAGGCACCTTTTTCTTTTCTTTTCTTTTCTTTTGTTTTCTTTTTCTCGTGAAAATCCCCCAGCGCCAAAGAACACTGCCGCGCCCAGGATTCGACTCTGCGGGGGCCCCACAAAGTTGATCGTACAAATATACAACTTCAGTGTGCCTAACAAGTTTTTTTGTTGCATTTCGCAAGCGCGGACCATGTAAATGGTTATTTGACTGCCTTGCTCTAGGAAGAGGATGTGAAAGCTCCACGGTCCACTGATATATGTGGCTTTGTATGAATAAATGTTGCTTTTTTTCCTCAAGTGGAAGATTTATAGTATGGATATTAAACAATTTGATTTTATATTTAAATCATCACCAAGAAAGCATTCTTCATATAGGCAGGTATCATAGGACCAGAACCTTTCGATTTTCTCTGCAAGGTACTAGAGATCTGAATTTGACAATCTGTATAAGACTTAACCGAACAGCAATATAAGATGACGTCTATATAGAATCATGCAAAGATTAGTTTCTACAAAGATGTCTTTGAGGATAAGCTACTTTGAAAATTCAAAAGGACAAAAGAGATTTCCTTGGATTTTTCAAAGCAATGACTTCCAATGATTTACCGTCTATCCCCCCCCTCTAAAAATTACATACATCAATTTTGGCACGCTTGGATCAACCAATTTACATAATATTTGAATTCCCAAATATGAACCGACGTTAAAACTCGAATCAACGGTCACTTTCCAGCCCTACCTCAACTCCACAAACCCACCACACAACACAGGAACATCTTCACCTCTTCCATCATCAAAAATCCAAACAACACAATTCCTCCCACAACACCCTAAACTCCATTCCAACCAACTCTCTCATCACTCTTACATCACTCAACATTCAAAGTTCTGCCTACTAGGTAGTACCTACAACTTCTACCTCAAAATGAAAATTCCAACACCTCGCCACAAGGCGGCGCTAAGATCACACTTGCACTTCTTGAACATTTTGAGAAAAATGAAATGAAGGAAGGGGGAGAGTGTTGCCTCATGTATGTTTTATGTAAGAAATTTATCTCTTGGAATTTGTAAGAGAAATTGATATTTAGGCGTGGAGTGATGAGGTGGGTTGGAAACCAACACGCAGGATACACGTGACTTATTGTTTTTTTCAGATTTGGTATTTGTGTACCTATTTGGGTGCTTGTACAATGGTGGAGTTGTGCAAGGATGATTAAATTGTAGAGGATTGCGAGATCAAGATCATGGAATGTGAGTTAATCTTGTTGAAGACTAGGTATACATGATATACTCGCTTGGTAAGAAAGGAGAGGAAGTTTTAAATGTTTGTCGTTTGAAATTTACTATCTAATTGAATTGTTTCCGTTAAGTCATGATATGAACACTAATAATGCCCTGATTGCTATTTACAAATAGGCTCTTGATACCTCATTTGCGTTCTGCTTTTTCCCCTCTACTTAAGTCTTTTACCGGCGCTCACTTGATCAACCGGATACCTCTTATATAACACATCTTTGAAAATATTAATGCATGACAACTGCGACATGATCATCCATGTATTTACTGATATCACCCAACCCAATACTTGCAAGAATTGAGACTGCTCCGAAAGCAATACTGACATAGTATACCCATGGATATGCGGTAGCATAAGCTTCTTGACCTGCAACGACGACTTCATTCCAGATAGTAACATTATTACCCACCAGCGGTAATATTTCGTCTAGAAGACTTGCGCCGGTCAATTCCGCAATTTGGCTTATGATTTTCAAGTCGAAAATATCATTCTTGTAGCAAGCAAGAGCAATTTTGACGGAAAGTTCCGGAATGAACTTGGTCAGAAAGACGTTGTAATAGGTTGTGTAACCAATCGCTCCACCAACTACACGAATAGCAAGGGTAAGTGCTGCGATTGTGGCAATCAAGTCATCCGGACAAATGATAGTGGTGATGATTGAGGCGGGAACTGCATTCAAATTGGAGAGTCAGTAATCATGCGCTGATATTGTTTGGGGGAAATTGAGTATGAAAGCCGAATACGCACCTACGATACCACCAATTCCAAGACCAGCTACGACGAGAATACCATATACCGCATTGATGTTATTACGATCAGCAGCAGCAAGGGCACCACATCCTGCGGTCATCATGCAAGATGAGATAATCATGAGCATACGGTTCCCTCCGCGGAAGACAGATAAGAGCCAAAGAACAACGCATGCTCCGACGAGAATGGAAAAGCCAACAGGAAGACCTCGAATTCCGACACCAATTGGGTCATGTCCGTAGACATTGAAAGCTTGTGTGGGCCAGAAAAGAAGAACTGAGAAGAAGTTTGCACCCGAGATAAAGGTGATGACGAGGGTGAGAGCCAAGATGCGCGGTTCTTTTCGGAGTCGAGCAGGAAACATGGGATTTTTAGCGCCATGAACCTCCCAAAAACAGAAGGCGATGATGAATACAGCACCGAGGATGAGTGGAACAAGTACATGCGCAGATGCCCAAGGATACTGAATTTCGTTGGTGAGCTTCTTCCTATTTTGTAAAAGTTAAGATAGGATTACTTACCTGATATCCACCCCATAGAAGACCGGCGACGAAAAGAATCAGACCAACAATTGAGAGGAACCCGCCGACAAAGTCAATTTGAGATATAATCTCCTTGCGTGAGAGACCGTCTGAATTGACTCGGGGAGGTGGGAAGTAGAATACTGCGGTCATGACGAGCCCCATAAATGCCCAGAGGCCACAGAACAGTCCCACATATCTCCAGCTTGAATGCGATGCGATCAACTGACCCCAGAGTACAGATGGGGTAAACGGTAGAATAGTAAAGATTAGAACGGCGACATATTTTCCACGCTTTGCTGTTGGGGCAAGTTCGGAGGTTGCAGCAAGTGCTGTTAATTCGTTTATACCAGCGCCAGCGCCTGCAATAGCCATACCACCTACAATGCTTAGTATGTTATGATGTAGATTTCAGCATGAAACTCACCAATGAAAACGTTCATGGAGTGTGCTGTGGAACAAACAATCATTCCAATGACAATCAAACCAGCACCAAAGATGGCAATGTACCTTCTGCCAAATAGATCTGACAAAGCTCCCACAAATGGACAAACTGCTGCCAAAGCGAGTAGATTGGATAACACAAACCAAGTCCACCTGTCTGACCCGCCCAGATCGCCATAAATATATGGCGGAATACCACCTAAATACTATCAGATCGAAACTGTTTTTGATGTAACATAATAACTTACCGAAAAGATATACTGGTATCTGGGAACCTGTCCATAAGAAAGCCATTGCAACTAAAGACATCATTCGATTCATGGTCATCTATGGAGCACTGTTTAGTCACAAATCTTGAAACGTATCTTCTGCATGCCTACCGGTGGCTCATGATCATGATCTTCACCGTCTCCGTATGTTCGCACGCCATCCTTCTCGTAGTAATGCGCATTTCCTGGGACTCTGGAAACAGTACGGACAACTTCCACGTGGTCTGCTGTGCTGGCCCCAAGAGGGCCAACGTCCTTGTCGATTGAGCCTGACATTGAATTGTCCGAGTGATTCGGATGAGGAGAATCTTCTTGAGTCATATTATAATAGGATTGAAAAGAAAGAAGAGAGATAGCAAGACTGGTTGTACAGTCCTACAGTGAGAATGAAAGATTTATGTAGTGAACAGAATTGAAAAAGTCTGGAACAATTGGAAGGAAAACCATGGGCATCTTTACCTTCTTATCCCTAGGGGCCATGCTAATCTCCATATATCTCAAGACGCATTCATATACTTCGTTAGGTGCATGACCACTATTCCATAATACCCTTGTCAAATGTGGTTTTCTAAGCTAGCTCAGTGGCGTTTTCCCCAATCTCGAGAAGATCCTCATTTGACCGGTACATTTATTGGCGCATTTGATGGTTTGTACTATCGACCTTAGTCGAGCAATCTGAATTGAGACCTTTCCTCTTTAGCAATCCACCGAGGCATAATTTTTCAAGCTCCCCATCAATTCTGTGCAAGTAATTTATAAAATGCATTCCTTTCGAAAATGAAGAGGAGGGACTTCCCTCTTGGCCTTCCTAGCGGCCTTTTCTCATGGTGATCGAACGAACCAATCCAATCTCCACGTTGATCAACACGAATTGAATCAAAATCGTTCCCATTATCATAAACGGGTCCGACGGAATACTAACAACGAAGGTTGCACACCGCAAGGATATTTTCGAGTTCCTGTACCTTTCTTTCCAAATCCTACGCTACCTACATGCTGCGATTTTGAATTGTCCAGATTGTTGGACTAGATTTCTGCAATAATATATGGAATAAGATTCGTTGGATTGGTGGCCCATGTGTTGATAAGGGGCCCATGCTGTCTGACAAGGGGAGTGAAGAAGCTATGCACCAATTGAAGTCCCTGTAACCACGCATCGTCATCAATTGATCTGGGGTATTGAAGTTGGAGGAGTTACATCCCGGAGAAGGGTCTCTCGAAAAGGCTTCGATACAAACTTGGCTGAATCTTGAGATGGATACGAAAGATATGGATTTTGACATGGCATATTTGTCTAGTCTTCTGACCGTCGCTTACAAGCTAGTAGTCTGCTAAAAATGTTCTTTTCTTTCAATTTTCGACAGAATTCCAAGTGTCCGAAGCCACAACAATGACAATCGGCTACTCTTTCAAAGAGCTGGATCCAAAAATAGGAAGATTTAATGATGCGACGGATCATCAGCCGTTTCTTGAAAACTCCTCGGTCGAAAATGTGGAATTTCGCGGGGTAAAGACTGGCATGTTACATGAAAGCCTAAAGTGGGTTGGGAAATAACACTAAAGTCTTGGGTGCCCAGGTTAATCATTTATCGAAGATGGGGAAGCTGGGGAAAATAGAAACGTCCGAAATCCGTACTGGGACAAATGAATACGATACTGTTTTGCTCAAATCGTCTGTGTGGATGCGTAGTAGGTCGTTCTTGAATTGATCGTCTACTTTGTCAATGGGTTTTCGGCTTTGCCCGAATGTCGAATCGGCTGTTTCGCGTCAATTGTACAGCACAGTATTTGAAGCACACATGCAATCCGCAGTTGATATAGCCTCATCAATACCTATTCAGCGTGATACGTGGTTTGTACTCCTTACAAGTTTTAGTGCCCTCGAAATCTTTTGAAGATAGAGGTCCAGCCTCCCTTCCAAGTACTGCAGTGCATACTTGATAGATCCTTCGAGGGGTTGAGAGCTTGGTGCATGTAAATGGTGACCGTCGATAGGTACATGTTGACAGTGACCCAGGATAGATTTTACGTGTTAGCCTAAATGTCTTGCATTGCAAAAATTGTCACTCTACCCAAATGTTTGTCAGTTCCATGTCCCGAGTTGTTTTTGGCGACCATAAACCGCAAATCAGTGCTATAGTCCCACCTCGGGCACCGAGGTATTGAATGGTTGGTCGAGACTTTCAATGATCTAATTTTTGCTAACAAGCCGACCAGGCGCCTCAAACCATATAAGCTTAGCGGCGAGTGTTTTGTTGTTTGGTCATGAAAGGGAACTAGACTTGTCTTCAGGGCTGAGTGTTTGGTCACGTACGTTGATCGGATAAGAATTCGCTGCTTTGGATGGTACAAAATTACATCATATATCTCGATAAAATGTACTCTTAGCATTTTTTTTTGACAATAAACTGATTGATCAGTTTGATAACTTGCCAGAAATTTAGAAGTTGATACTAATCAGAGGGGATAGATAGATTGGCAATGTCCTGAACCAATCATATGATTTTCTTTTTTTGACGTCCTCCTTTCCCACTGGGGAATTTGTCAGAATAGAGATCGAATCTCAAATGAGGGATGACTTGTTAGTTGAGTTTTAATCTCTCATATCTCGAATACCGGATCGAACATTGAGCCTTGGAAGAAATGAACTATGGAGGCCCTTTGTAACGAAAAAAAGGCAAAACCTCATTGGTTGAAATTGGCTCAACTATGCTAATAGAATCACAAAAAGGGCTTGCGCAATATCTTGAGATGTTTTTTTTTCTACCAAAAACCGCTTAATCGTTTCAGCGCTGTATGCACGCCATCTCGCACAGCAATAGTGCCATTCCATACCGAAAATCGCTCGCATCCTTTCATTTAACCATAATTCATGTATCAATATCCTCTACTATGAGACCAGATCAGATCTAAGCCATAGCATGAGTCTTTGTCCATTCTCTAGCAGTCGCAATTGCGGCCGGCTCGTCCTCTTTCCATCTCTTTGCCACTTCTGGAGCTAATGGATCGTCCGGGTTGGGAGCCCCGAGAAGAGCTTGGATCGAGAGGAGGATTGTTCGAATCTGGAGTGCAGGAGACCAGTTACCTGAACAAGTCAGGGTCAGTCGACTGCATACGAGGCAAAGTCATGACATGGGACATGAAAATTAGACTACATACCTTTGAGAACGTCTAAACAAATTCTGCCGAGCTTATCAATATTTGGGTGATAGATCTTTGTGAGGAATCTAATCTTTGGAGGAGTCATCGGATAGTCATCTGGTAAAAACAACTCCAGCTTAAAAATACCGCCTGTAAATCACATTAGCCTACTGAAAGTGCTAAAACTTGTGCGTAGTGTAGCGACCTTCATATGGAGAAGAGGATGGACCGTGTATCGAGACGTCAAAATATCTTAAGTTGTCCTCATGGGGAACTGCGTTGATACCTGGAACACTGTATGTAATCATTAGTTACAGCATGCATGACCCAACACGAAAGATTCACATACGGCTCTTGCATCAATCTCTCCGTCTCCTTAATGATCCGTTTTGGTAAAGCCGCCATGTCGATAGGGTTCTGTCTTGACTGTCCGTTGAACTTGCACTTAGATGAATTACTCTTTTAGTAGTTATCAAATCCAAGGCTCAACATAAACCAATAAAGGTAGGGGATTTTTTCGTGCTCGTGATGTTGATAAGAAACCTTAGAGGTACCGTATCGTTCAGATCGGGTAGTGGGGTACTTTATCAAGGGAAATTGTTCTGGACGTCTCGGAAACCAAGGATATGGGCGTGGGAAAAGTTGAACAAATTATTGAATATGTCTACGGAATGATTCGCAGTAGAAGAGTCACCGTGATGCTGGTTCGCTGAGTTTAGGACGATAGATAAATAAAGAAAGAAGGAAAAGAGAGGCCTTTTCAAAAATTTGATGCTATCTTGACGTATCTATCAATCTCTTAAAACAGCACAGCCCATGCACAAGGCTGATAGAAAGGCTTGAACGGCAACTCCCGTTTAAGGTTAGCGCTAGTCCCACCTGGTATGTAGTACTAACTGCGACAGTTTCACATCTCCAGTCACTAATAGTAAGTATATTTACCACTCTTCTTGCCTTATCGTCATCCAAATCTGCCATTGAAACAACTTAAAGATCTTCATGCCCGTTAATCGTCATAGCCAAATATTATCGTTTTGATCTCCTCTCCCAAAACTGTATGCGGTTAGGTCCGTTCAAGGATTGCAGAATGTCTACATCCTAATTAGATAGCACTTTTTAAGTTTATATATTTCGAGCATCAAATTATTCGTCCTGTAGTCATTCCCGTACGAAGTGATTGTATTGATTTGGAGAATGCGAAAACTTTAGCACTAAGATGATGGAAGAGTCGAGAAAGGGGAAGACCATTAGGTCGGCTTTTGACAGCACTACATTTGATGCAGATGTGTCTATACATGTAGACCGAAAAGTTGGATCCGCTACTATATCTCCTTCCGGACGCGACGTTGCTTTAGCCTCGTGAGTACTTCAAAAATCGCATTTCGTGATATGCTAAGACTTTTCTCTTTTGTCCAGAACCGATGGCTTAGACATAATTGATCTTGATTCCCCTCTCAATCCTCCCCGACATCTTCGACATGGCCTACCATGGCTTGTGGCTGACGTTCAATGGTGCCCTTTCGCAGCTCGCGACTATTGGGTGGTTAGCACTGCCAATCAGAAGGCTCTTGTCTGGAATTTGAATATGCAGGAGGACGCTTCTCATGGCGCAATTGAACACACACTCCATGGGCACACGAGAGCTATTACCGACATCAATTTCTCGGCATATCATCCTGATATACTGGCAACATGTGCTGTTGATGGATACGTACATTGTTGGGATCTACGTAGACCACGGCAACCTGTTCTGAGCTTTTGCGATTGGTTTGCTGGTGCAACACAGGTCAAATGGAGCCGTCAGGATTCGCATATCTTAGCTTCATCGCATGACCGATGGCTACGAATCTGGGATGACAGGAAAGGCGCCGTTCCATTAAGGTCTATCAATGCACATGAATCTAAAATATACGGCATTGATTGGAATCGTACCCGTGCCTCAAGTTTAGTCACTTGCTCTTTGGATAGAACGATTAAATTTTGGGATTATGAGAACGAATCCGATATTCCAGAGCGCACTATACATACTGGATTCCCAGTCTGGAGAGCTCGACACACACCGTTTGGTTGGGGAATCTTAGCGATGCCCCAGGACACTCCCGGAGACCTTCATCTCTATGACCGGCGTATCACGGGTGACAACTCCACCGACAGTATTACGGAAGCAGTCATTACTTTTCCAGGGCATGGAAATTCAAAAGTAAAAGAATTTCTCTGGCGAAGTCGTGGAAGCATCACAGATGAGGGAGAAGACAATAGAGAATTTCAGCTAGTTTCGTGGGGCGAGGACAACCAATTGAAAATGCAACATGTAGACCATGACACACTTGAAGGAGTTGGCTATGTAAAAGGGAAAAAAGTGCACGGAAAGCTCAATCTCACACGTAAAGGAGCAGTCTACAAGACCTTTCGTACTACGGAAATATCTGCAAGCGATAAAAAGACCGCCACAATTACAGGTCCTCGACCTGGTAGTTCCGGTCTCAAGTTGAGTTCGTTTAGTGTCGGGATGAAAAAGATGACCTTCCCTCACACATCCCGTACTCATACCACAATCCGTGCCCCTGCTATGCGAGGAAAGGAAAAGGCAGCGAAGCAAGAAGACCTGAATCAGTCTCAGATTGGTTGGATGAGTGGAATTAAGTTCTCGAAACCTGACAACGGATTAATGCGACGCAAGCGATCATTGTCGAGAAGGTTGTCTTTGCTGAGTCCTGAATTCGAAGAGGATGGTGATTGGGACGAGCCAGAGACTTTACACGATGAGATTATACGCATCAATGACCAGCTTCCAAAGATTACATTTGATGGCGTTGATATGGATAAGAGGACAGTCGTTGTTTCCATGAACGGACCATGGGGTGAAAATGGTACACCAATTTATATCAAGACAACAATTACCTTTCCTGACCAGTATCCGGAGACCAAAGCCCCCACCTTTACACTTGGCAGAACATCCCTTATGCCCGATGAAACCTACAATAAGCTTAGAAAAGAAGTACATCAAATTGCAGCAAGTTTTGTAAGTCGTAAGCAAGGTTGTCTGGAAGCTGCTTTATGTTATTTGCTTGGAGAGGTTGATCTTGAGACAAGTACTATATTTTTCCATGACATAGATGATCTAGATGATGACGATTTGGATGGTCTTGCGGACGAAAGCTCAAGCGATGAAGAGGATAGTGATATTCCTCCAGGTGCTTCGGCAATGATGTCTCAAGAGCTGGATTCCAGTGTTACGGCGGAAACGATCAGCATACCACGAAATGTCAATGTACCACTACCTAGACTTTGCGGTGCTCGCTTCGCAATGAACGGCAAGCTTGTTTGTTTCTTTCCACCAAAAGAAGATAAAGTGAAGTCTTTACTCGAGAAAATTACCGATTCCAGAAATTCCCGACCGAGAGGCGAACCTAATTTTGATGCCTTTGGCCGATTGGCAAACAATAGTTCACCCCAACCACGCATTAAGGCTACGTCAATGACTGAAGATAGTAAAGCTGATTCTGAGGTATCAGACGAATACGATTCTTCAAACAGCAGCGATACTGATTCTTCGCAATTCCGTATTACTAGATATCCTGCAATGAGAGAGTACTGGCGTCGATCGAATCGTCGATTTCCTCTGAGAGGATCGCCAACGATAATGTCCCAAAGGTCCGGTGGAACTGGAACTGGAATCGGTACAGGCACTGGAACCAACACAGCCACTGGAACTGGCTTTAGTAGGGTGCGATCTGTGAAGCCCAAAAACATCATATCATTATGTGATGTAAATGATCTTCTTCCTGCAAAGGTTTACCTTGCAGAGGAATATACCGTCTTTGGTAACGGTCCGTATCTTTGCGAACACAATGCAAGTATTGCTGACAAGTACGGTCACTCTAAATTGGCTGATGTATGGAGATATGCTGCTATGCTGCTACACAATGATATCCCTCTTGAAGTTCTCGAGCAAAGCCAACGCCGTGAGCCTGTGCTAGTAATAGCTGAGAGCATGGCCAAAAGACATCGTCGTGATAGCGGCTCAGACAGTGGTATCGATGTTTCTCACGATAAGTACCGTAGACGTGGCAGCTTTTCTGGTAGAGTCAAGTGGGGAAGTAGTCCACTTGCCAAGCAATTGATTGGAGACCTCTTCACGCACTTCGAAGAGCTTCGTGACATTCAAATGCTTGCAATGCTATCTTGTGTATTTAGTGAGCCGATTACTTCCGGTGCACCACCGCATGCGATAAACGCCGATGTTGGCATGTCTCAGCCGCAAACACCTCTCTCTATGAAAACTCCTGCGTTTTCCGTCGATTATTTCCCGAATAACGGCGCAGCTTGGAGTATGTATCAAAAGACTCCAGTAGATTCTGCTGTATCAACGCCTAAACTAGTCAATACGCCCTCTGGAATCTTTGGGTCAATAAACTCTTCTACCGGTGCTTGGGGCAGTGACCCCGCTTCGGCATCGTATTCTTGTGGTGAAACCCCCCCTCTAAGGTCAAATAGGGGAAGCTCGGAAAATCTTCCTCAACATACTCAAAGTCTGTCGACTTCTCCAGAAAACCCGAGAACTTTTCGACGTGGAAATTCGAGTCTTGCATCAAGTTTTGCTGCAAACTTTTCGCGTCCGTTTTCTATGACTGCGTCATCTTCACCACCAAATCCACCACCAAGTCGGAAACGGCCTAGCCCAGTTGAACACATGTTGAGCTTAGCCCCTAGTGCTATCACTTGGGGAAATACAACAGTCCTTGGCAGCGTAAAAGAGCGAGCTGGCAACGAACAAATGGCATTTTCAGATGATGAAAGCACAATGGATGAATTCAAGCCAAAGATTTGTATCGGGATCAAGATGACATTGGAAAATCAAAATGGGTTTGACGATGAAGGATGCATGGGTACGACACTTTTGGATAGTAACCACATGGCTCGTCACATGAGCTATCGTCAAGCCTACGCCGAACTGCTTTATTGTTGGGGGCTCCCTTTGGCTCGATTAGAAATCTTGAAGTATGATGGACTACGGATTCATACTTCTGAGATGGATATCCCCGACAATAAGTCATTTGCTGCTTCAATAATGTCGAATGATAGCCATACTGTGATCCACGAGGCATCGCCTCCATCTCAAATAGTTCTGGGTAAAAAGGATCTGCATGCCTCATCGACTGATCAAGGCCTAGACATTGCGGGCTATTGCCTCAAGCACGAAGCGCGGCTGGATCCCCTCCACTTGAGTTCCATCGGCGGTGCTGCCGGACGATGTGATCGCTGTAAGACTGTTCAGCGCCAACTTTGTTGCACAATTTGCACAGAACCTATTAGCGCGGTATTCTTACCATGCTTATCATGCGGCTGTGCAACACATCAGCATTGTTTAATTGAGTATAGATCTTCCGGTAACAGCGAATGCCCTGGTGGATGTGATTGCGATTGTGGAGATAAAGCTAGTATGGGACTGATAGAAAGTCTCGGTGTCATGATTGAGTTCATGCGCGCATTGGAGCGGAAGAAAGCACTTGACAACAATGAAGATGTTGAAGAATGGGATGTACCAGTGGAGGAAAAAGACGATTGGGAAAATGTTAACCTCCCCTTGGGAGACCTAGGCCTGACTCCTTCTTCGTTGACTAAACGAGTTGAACAAGTCAAAAGTAGCGATTGGAATGTTAAGAAGAAACCGAGTAGTCTGAGGAAGGAGGAAAGTTTCTCATTTCTTGCTTAACATCATTACGATGATTGGAACTGATCTATAACGAAAGGATTTGATTAATGGCACTGTATGTTGTGAATTCTAATTTGGTCAAAATGTGATCGGAATTTATGGATTTGGCGTCCCAGGATAGCAATGTGAGGTTAGACAGGCTTTGAAATGACCTTCTGTTTATATGTAATAATAGTGTTCTATAATAATATGATGCATTGATCTCCAATGGTCAATGTCCTCTTTCTGATTGCATGCCCCAGCAGTGCCAACTCTTTTTTCTTTTCAACCTCACCATATCAGGGCTGCAGATATTGAGTAGAGGTCTACAAGTGCTTTTCGTCTCTGACAAGAGTCATCATAGCAGCTTGAACTGACCGTCACCTTTGAGTCGCGCAGGAGGGCAATAGACCAACGCAGTGATAATGAAATTAGATCAACTGATTGATTTTTCTTTTGTGTCTTTTCTTCTTCCGTTTGGCTCAACGAACATTTTGATGCTTGATCATTTGTCCCTTGGATTTCTCAAATTGCACTTTTCATTTTGGTATTTGATGGTAAGAATTTTAAGCTGTTGGATTTTCACCCCCTTTCTTAACTATACGGCCGGTGAATCTGAAAATTCATTCACTACGTGATCAAATTCCAATACGTGACGCCATGTATCTTTTCGTCGAGATCCCAGACCGACAGATACGGGAGTCCAGTACGGTAGTTTACATGAGGTGTTTGAATATGGCTATTCAAGCCTTATACTTTCCTCTCATGACCATCAAAAACTTTTACATGGGCATAGTCGCAAAGTGGATATCATGAATTCGGGAAGTGAGCAAAAAACTGAGGCTTCCGAGCTTCAGGGGAAGCAAGAGGATAAGAGATTACGCCAAAAGTGCGAAGTATGTTTGAATTTCTTTGGAGAAGAAATTTTGGAAGACAACAAATCCCAACCAAAGACAGCAGAATGCGATCATCTCACAGAGGTATGCTTGCCTTGTTTGCAAGAAAGCATGGCGTTTACAATCAGTGAAGGATCGCATATCCTCACTTGTCCAATCTGCTCACAGGAGTTAGAGCAGTGGTTCATAGAAATATGCTGCACGAAGACGATGTTTACCACGTAAGTTTAGCTTTGATTTCTGGTTCTTCGAGATGCTAACAGAACATTTAGATATTGCGACCTTGCATTGCAAAGCTATCTACAATCAGATCCGAATTTCTTTTGGTGTTTAGCCCCAAATTGTGGATCTGGCCAAATTCGCGAAGGGGATGATCCAGAAATGATCTGTGGAAGCTGCAAAGCACCGACTTATGTGCACCACTAAGCTCCATGGCACCATGGCCCAACCTGCGAGCAATTCGATCTCACCTCTGCAAAGGACGAGGAGTCACAAAAGAAAATCGAGAAGATAACAGTCGCTTGCCCGAAATGCCATGCGAGGATCGAGAGGAGAGGGGGATGTCTAAGTGTCATTTGTACATTTAGGAACTGTAAGTCAGCAGATAGATCATCTCGATGTAGTTGCAACGTGCTAATTATTCTCGGCTTCAGATGGTGCTAGATGTGGCTTTGAATTCTGTCATAGTTGCTTGGTTCCATGGGAGTTCTTCACGGGTTCTTTGCCACAAAGCATAACCCAGGCTGCATAATGTTGAGAAAATCGAATTGAATTAGATGCTCGTTATGCCAGTTCATGGCACTTTTAAAAAGGAAGGAATCAGGAAAATGGTACGGACATGAATTCACACCTAGTCCTCTAGCTCTATTGTGTCGAAGCCGTTTGCTGATGTTGCCCTTTAGCATCTTGCTAGGCATGAGAAACTCCGAAATATGTTACCTAAGCAGCTGAAAACTAGTAAAAAGAATATGACACGAGGTATTAAGGCAATGTAAAGATTGTAATAAAAGTACATTTGTTTCCTTCTTCGTCGCTAGTGGCGTGTATACTGAAAAAACCCTGGTGATCTTCTTCATCTGCAAGTACTGACTTCTGGAGGTCGTAGTTTTCAATAGTCCTGTGATTTATATATATATCTTACGATATGGCAGCGGCTTTGAAATCCATTTGTGTGGTTGTCCTTGTCCCGCCCGTTCATAAGATTGGAGCAGGCATTTTGATGTACGATAGACATATCAAAATATCGGGAACCGAGAACTTAATCGAGAATAAAGACGCCTGAATTGGCCTTTGATGTACCTAGGTAGCTCGACAGTATCATGATTGGAAGTTGACAAATTCTGATATTTATCGCATGAAATCACGTGCCCTCTTTGGGTCTTGGCTGAACCTTACCGACTACAATTCATGTTTCTAAACACATCTTGGCAAGCCACAACTTACAAACGTTCCGTCTATTATTACGTTCTGGAACCCTGTCAGAAAGCTTTGCATCTGCCAAAATGTTAAAATTGGGATTATTTTGCGAACTAGACGACTCCAGAAGTCTAGATCGGCAAGGCGAAGAATGGTGGGTTTGAATTTCAATGGCTATTTTTAGAACTCGAGTTTGATATATGATCACAGAACTTCTCCCCAAGATCTACATTTCTTGGATAGTTCTTGGTTCTCTCTCTTTAATTTTTTTTGGATGACTGGTTCATTTATAAGTACAATTCTCATCAAAACATTCATTTAATAAGCTTTTTCGATACGTTATTTCATTGCCAATAGACTTGGCTAACCGTCTTCCTTGACATACTTACTTGTAATCATTATAATTCTCAATCATGAAGTTCTCTACTGTCTTCATCTCTCTTCTGGTTGCTGGCATCCATTCGCTTCCCAACCCAGCTGTGCAACGGGAATCAGCTGGTATCACAGGTTAGTCTGGTCTCTCCAGTTTTGACGACACGATGCTAATAGCCGATAAAGTTGGTGCCGATGGATCAACCAATCTTGGCGGGGAAGCGGGAATAACGAAGAAGCCCGATGGCTCTACGAATGTTGGAGGGGGAAGTGGTATCAACGTGGCATCGGGTGCTAATAATCAGCCGCAACAAGGTGCAGGAGGACAGACCGGTAATGGTGGCAACAAAAACGGAACCGACGGCTTGGCCGCGCTTATTGGATCATTGAATGGTGCATCTGGAGGAAATAGCACAGGTGGAGCGAAAAAGTCGAACAGCACAGGCAACGCGAATTTACCACCGGGAGTGGCCTCCAACTCTAGTTTGGCAAGCGTTTTTGGAGCATTGGAGGGTGCAAAGTAATTCAGAGTTTGAGAGGAAGACTTTCAGAGGATGAAAGTTTCTGAGGACAAACTGTGATTTTACCTGACAATCACTAATGGAAGGGATCTTCTTGTCCTCGAACGACTCTTCGTCGATGTAAGGGAGCTCCAATCACATTCTTTATCGCATACCCTTATACAAGGGAACATCCACTACAAAATAAGAACTCTTATCCATATACAGCAATTGTTTTCCTGGTTGATACGGCCGATATGACTTGCAAGTAAAGTACAGAATTTTGACTTCGTGAGTATTTCAACTAGAAAATGTGCACTTTATGAAAATATGAAAGCGGAAACTGATTTCCTCAATCTCGTATGCTAAACGTTACAAGCATCATTGCTCCATAAATAGTCCTCCACATCCCAATCTACTTCTCCACCTCCACATGAACTCCAAGCAGAGGTTACCATACATCCTCGTACCATGGAAGCTCACCTGATGCAGTAATTCCACAAATCTGACTACTTCTTCCAGGGAATGATGAATTGTGGCTTACTAGACACATTAAACCACAGATATCAGACTGAATACTGCATGGACTGTCTTTCAATACTTGTAGGTAAATGTGAAGGTACGGCCTTGCGTACTGGAATCTGAAGAATTTCAGTAAGATCAAGCTCCAATTTGGTTTCAATCAAGGTATACAAATATTTCTATTCGTATGGTTCTGGACATGACCTGAGGGGTTTGGTCCATCTTCTATTGATATATGAGAATGAACACTTATTCTCGGGAAGATTTTCCGGATCCCTTCATAACGAGACAAATGTGGCTATTATTAGTATCATGGATAAATTCGAATTCGAAGGTATCCAGGCATAGATTAGGTATCTGGATCTTTTCCCGAAGATTCTTCATATCATTCTTTAGTTTGTGATCGCTATCATAATGAATTGTCTTGAAGACTTAGAAGATTTGGATAGCAAATGACCTAATGATCCTGATTGCTATAGATTTTATTGGGCATACACAGCTGAACGTTCGAATAAAGTTGAATGTACCCGCTTCTTGTTTGTGGATACTTAAATCAAGCCTTGCAATAGAAACCAGCCCCCTCATACCCGAGTTTCTCGACGACAATCTATTTGTCGATTTTATTGTGGGAAGGAAAACTTTTGATTGGAAATAGATGGCCCATCGTGAAGAGATTGTACTTCACCAATATCACTGTGATAGGACATGGGTTTGAGTATGAGTGAATAGTGTCGAGAATAAAAATCGGTGTTAAATTGATCAATCCATGAATGTGACAGATATTCTTGTTGATCGATGATAAACTTACCAGCGATCTAGTATAGAAGGGTAGAAGACTGTTCCTCTTTAGAGGAATAGAACAATTGGGTATAGCGAAGACACCGAATTTTTTGTGGAGTCCTCATCTTGCTTGGTGGTTTGGTGTTACTTATCATCAATTCCGACCTACAATCATTTTAGAATGTGCTTCGAGAATACCCTCAAGATTTCGATGAATTGGTTCGAATTCTGACAACCCGTGGTTGCTTCTAAGCGTAGCCAGTCAGTGCTTATAAACACACTACATTCCATCTAAAGATTCCACATTCCGGGGGCTTCTTAAAAGCCAGCCGTGATTACCCTCGTTTTATAATTCTTCGGCGCGACAAATAATCCCTTTGCCTCTACACAAACTCTCCCTTCTAATGTTTCCAAACGTCCTTCTACCCATCTCTTTCTTTCTCCACCCCCCTCCTCTCCTATGACTGGTGTGCATCTCACTACGTAAAATGCATTGGTAACACTTGGCTTCAAATATTGTAACGACAATTGAGCAGTGACACCTGTCCCTGCGGCCAATTGTTTGATCGCACATCTCCCCAGTGATTCATCCATAATCGTTGCTATAAGACCTCCATGCACCACACCGGGCCATCCTCCTAATGCTCCTCCTAAGTATACAATTGATATGTATTCCCCTGTGGTAGAATTATAAAATACTCGTTGGTACCCGCCTATCGATCTAGATCCTCCCAATGGACCAGTAGTAAGTCGGTGGGGACGTTCTTCGGGTGTAAATGTGGAATAAGCATCCCAAGATTGCCAAACGGGATCCTCAGTCAGAGACTGCACCAGCGGGATCTTCGAGGCCTGCGCGTGTAACCAAGAGGTCATAAGTTCATCCGAGGGAGAAGATGGTTCGGGGAGTGCAGGGGGAGACAAGACAAGAGAGACATATTGTCCAGTTGTAAGTCCGATGAGGAGGAAAAGAGAGGCATAGATTGTTGGACGGAGGGATCGTTTTCGTTTAGGAGATGAAGGTGAGGGCGTTGGCGCAACGAACCCAGAAGAGAATTGAGACCTCAAATCGCGGTGCTGGGGTATTGATTGAGCTGACGGTTCGGTAGTAGCATTAATATTATGATTTATAGGCTGTGGTGGTGGAGGTGTTGAATATGCTCGCGATGGCCATTTTGAGAGAGATTGTGATCGGAACGGATGTCGATATGTTTGAGAAAAGTGCGGTGTTTGTTGAAGAATACTTTTGTAGGAACGAAATGCTTGAACTGGCAGTCTGGCGGCCATATTTTGCCGATTTATTGCAAAAAGAATGCCTTGATATCTCTACTATTGAGCTCCATACAATTTTGGAAGCTTCAAATTGATCAAGTGCCTCGGTTTAGTTTCTGACGCTATGTAAACTAATTTGCCTCAGATACAAGGCATAAGGTTAACATTATGTATTAATGTCTCCATCCTCAGGGCCTGCCGTGCCTATGTTCGATGATTTTGTCAAGTCAAGCTTATGTAATTAAGCTGTGCAGCTCTAATTAGACGAAACGTTGTTCTACCTCATTAGTAATCTCAACTACGATGCCACCAGTAGGTGCACAGACTCACGGGACAACGTGACAGGAAAGCACAATTTCACACTCAAATTTATCAATTTCAAAACTCAATCAAAATTCCAAATTCTATTTAATATCATTCAGATTAAGATATATGATTTATAAATATAAGATTTATATAATATATAAAGATTGGATCTTAAAAATGAATATTGAATTTAAAAATCAAATAGTATGTTTTCCTATCAAATTTTTTGATAGGATATTATATAATCGATTGTATAAACTTGAATTTTGTTTTTTTTTGAAATAAAATTTTTACTATATAAAATTCTTATATTTGAAAATAATAATTCTTAATTTCAAAGTTAAATATCAATTTTTTGAATTTTAATTGAATTATCAAAAGAGTTCTTTTTGGTGTGAAATTGTATTTTTCCTCCTAAGTGTTCTGTGAGTCTGTGTACTCACTGGTGTGCCAAATTCTTGAGCGGTGTTAGTTCTCCAATAGTTGAATGAGTATTACATTGCAAAAATATGGAACTTATAGTCCTACTTTTGTCTCTTTTGATTTTGGGTTGTATTCTCACAGTTCATGTTTGAGTGTATCATCATCATCTGCATATCTATCTCGAGACAAAGTTTAGGAAAGGATAGAAATAGTTTTGCGCTTCTGAACTATAAGATTAGGAAGATGGCGTCCATCAAAGGCATCGAGACGGCAGTCGTCCTACCATTGATGTTCGCTAATGGTGAGTCTTTTGGTCGACTTATTAATCTTTATCTCCTAGTACATATACCGGGATCAAAGCTTCCTGCGCTTACTTGGTGGCCTGAGTTCTACTTCCATGTAATTCATCAGGAAACATATGTTTTCGAGATCTAAGATCTCTAGGAGTAATATGGCAATTTCCAATCATGCCTTTGAGTTCGTCGGATCAGGCCCCATCATTTGTGTCATTCCAGACGAGCTCCACAAACAGGATGTTGTATAGTGTATACGCATCAATAACGCCTAATAGGGGCAATGGTGAATATTGGCTGTCTAGTCTTCGACTAGGACGTGGCGTAGGCATAACAGCAAGCTATGACTCTAATAAGAGGAAACTCCCTTCAGCCCTGTTCTTCACGAAATGTAATATTCTACACTTGGAACAATTCCCTTATCTATGCGCAGTAATTGAAGAGGGCAATAGCCTATCATTCGGAGTCACGTCTATAACCACATGTACTGCCCAAGAAAAGCTAACTTACGCTCCTTTGCAATACGTCAGCTCCTCATCGGGCAAGCATGCGGGCAGGCATACATCGCTCCTCCATTTACTCAGATCAACATAACGATTCTCGGTGTTTGAACCGCTCAAAATATTTTTCCAGATCCTTTTGAACTCGATTCAGAACATTATTCTTGGGGAGAGAATTGCGAGTGATACAAATTCCAATTCGCCTTTGGAAAAAGCGGTCGTAGATGCTTAGGAATCGAGATGATGCTATTTGAGACAGATTATAGTGACATGGTATTTCTGCATGATCATAATATCGTCATGCCCAGAAATGGATTTCAAAGGTGTTATAATTATGGCGAAGTGATAAGATTATGTATAGTATGCTTAGAAGTACATATCATGTATTATGAGCCCTATTTGGCTCGAAGGTGGAAAGCATGGACAGCTTGCAGATGTGAAACTTGAACGGCCATCATATACCTGAAATCGATTCGAATACCAAGTCGAAGACATCAAAGACTTGAACATAGAGAAGAGAGGGATTGTTGACCATTATCATTCATTGGACCTAGGACGATCTATGTACATGCATTGAACATCGCTTTTCCGATTTTGACCACGATTAAACCATAACTCAATTTCTCCACGAAGTAGTTTTCCAGTCTTGAAACCCACTTTCTCGAGCACTCTGGCACTGGCATCATTACCAGGAGTATAAGCCGCTATAATTTGCGGCAAGGACTTCTTTTCTATAATAGTTTTAGTCTTGGCCCCGTTGCAAAGTTCCAGTCTCCACATTCCACCAAGCAGATGTGACAAACCTTCAAGAGTCCAGAACATCTCTACAAACAATCTCAACGCTTCTGTCATATACCCCTTACCCCAATGGTCCGGATGAATCTTATACCCCACGTTCTCCGGTTTATGGGATATTCCAATGATACCAATCATTTCAATCTCTTGCCCTTCTCTTTCATCCGCCACAGGTACTGGAACAGACGATGAAGTCGGGGCCATGATTGCCCACATTGGAAACTGGACGTTGGACATACTTTCCAAGATCCTTTCTTTTGTCTGCTCGAGTTGAGTATGCGGTGCTCGGGTACTATACAAGTCATGTAAGGTCGGGGTTCAATTTAAACTTCCACAGCTTGACTTGGGAGCCTTACGACCATTCCGCGATACGAGGCTCGGATAGAATCTTGTGACAGCCATTAAGGTGCTTGTCCAGATTAATAGGTTCAAGGGTTAGACGGTCAGATTTTATCGTGTGTGACGACATGATCTTAATACTTGATAGTGATACTGGATAGTGAAGTAAGAAGAAAGATGCGAATGGGGCGTCTCTCAATCTTTGCCTCATGAACAGCGAAAGGGGATGTACATTCATTTGATAGGAGATGCACATACCACTTGCGCAGTGACTCATGTAATAAGAAATACCTACCTGATTGGTTGTTTCAGTCAGCATATTCTATACCCTTGTAATCCCACCTTGATGAAGTTGGGAGTTAAATATACCAGTCACGCTAGTGTACCTAGTACAAAACGATGAACGCAAACGTTGAATAGAACATAATTCTCGCGGCACCGATTTATATGAATAGTATAGGCTTTCTGAGATTATTCAGCGTGAACGAAACAGTAAAGAAAAATTAGTTGCGCATAGTCGGCTTCGACGATCAATTGATTGACACGATTTTTAGGTGGTTGAGGAAGGCTTTGTGAACCAGCATGTCTACCGGTGAATGGTAGAATAATATTCACACTGGTCTCGACAGCAGCCATTCTCTGTGCCTCACGGGTTTCTTCTCCTTTCCCCCTTTCATCCACATTTCGTGTTCCTCGTCTTGCAAGTCTCCTTCTGTGAAACCTATCTTCTTTACTACTCTCTGACTGGCAAGGTTCTCGGGGTCTATAGCCGCCACCAATGTGTTCCAATCTCCCTCTCCTGTATTCCGGTTAGAAAACTAAAGAGCATAACTGGAGTCGTTTTCACATACTTTCTTTACTCCAGTATAGCCCCACAAATAGCTTCATGGCTTCAGTAGCAAATCCTTTAGCATGATAACCAGCATGTATACCATAACCAATTTCCGCACCGTGCCCAGCTTCGAATCTTATCACTCCAATTGCGCCAATGAGCTCAGGCTTTTGATCGGCGGGGGTAGATGTTGTCGGCCGAAGCAGAATTGCATAGTTCTCAATCCACGGCCTTTCGGGGTTCGGTGTTCTTTCAATCATGTATGCTTTACTCTCCTCGATGGACTCGCTTGGTTTTCTAAGTTGAGTTGAGAGTTAGAGCTATCTTGGAAATCAAGAGCGAGCAAAGTTGAAAGGGCTCATCTTACGTCCATGAAGCAGCTCGCGGATCAGAGCTCATTTTGTGATAGGCATCGAGATGTTTCTCTACTATCAATGGCTCTAGCCAAAGACGCTCAGATTGAGCTGCGTATTGTGCCATTGATATCCTGAAGGTAAATCGGACGGCTCCATGACGCCGGTCGCTATATATAAGAGAGATTAAAGCCTTTGTATTAACGGCGCTCGGAATCGAGTCATAGTGAATTCTGAGTCACCACCAAAAACCTTAACTTTTGATTACTCCGTATACAATTCGGAGATTCCGAAGACATAGTGGCATATAGAACATCAACAGCGGAGTTGATAGATAAGCTTTGAGCCAGGCCACCCCCGCTATGTTTTAGTAGTAAATTTATAGTAATGGAACACTAGAATATTTCCAATCATGTAATTAATTATCAACCTTCTACCTGTCATTTCTTTCTCTTCTCTCCCTTACATAAGATGCTTTGATTGCTAGACATCCCCATCCTCACTCGTACATGTCGACGATTCCAACAATGTAGAATGTTATATTGCGTCGCTACTTAGACATCGCAGATGGTCTTGCTTGATAAACCACAATCGGCCCAATGAGAAGGTATAAAAATGGGTTGGCCACCACCCGTGAACGATTGGAGCCGATATAAATGCTTCGTACATAACGTTTTCGTACATAACGTTACTGGTCTTTAATTCAACCACGCCGTTCTCATTGGTGACCTTTCAAAAGGGCGGCTCCCCGAGGCATACTTACTTGCCTTTGGGAGGCTGTGTAGAGCTGACATGCAGAAATTCATCGGCATCTTCTTGCAAAATTAAATCTGGCTCACATACCCAATTTTTTTGATGCCAGGAAGTGCTGCTCGTTCATTTCTTCTTCATAGCCATTGCATCGAAACATTTTACTGTCAAGTAAAGATCGAGTTTTGTGCAAACCAATAAGTTACTGCACCGCTAAATTCTGATGGGCAGAGCCTCAGCGCACCTTATTCTAGGGAGATTATTCACCTGAGAACATCAAAACCATAGTCAAAATGACTACACCTGGAGCTGTACCTTATGTCAAAACGTAAGGCGATTATTGCATCTCCCATCGAGGAACATCTACTGACGTGACAGAAAATCTGAGGACCTGTGGAATGAGGCTCTCAAACAAGTCCAGTTCACAAATACTTCAGCACTCGTCGCTGCGGGCCTAGAAAGGCGACAAATTTTGGTAGAAATTTTGGATTTGGTGCAAAAGCAGGAACTCAAGGCTCAAGAAAGGAAATGGAAGTGGAAAAAGAAAAATGGTCAAGTGATCATTATTCGCGACATCTTTGTTAAGCTTGCAATTTGGATAGAAAAGTTCAAGTCTATTGGGCATATTGTTGTGCAATATGATCCAATCCACGCGAGTCTACCATGGGCTCTTGTCAGATTTCTATTGCAGGTACATGATGCACCGCTGTGATTTAAGATTTGGCTATTAATTGCATCGCAGGCTGCTGTTAACGACATCCACTCTAATGGTGCTATCCTTGAAGGCATGGAGATTGTTGTCAATCTTCTAGCGCGGTATGAGATCGTGGAGCATCTCCATCTACAGAAAGTATCCCGCTCCACGGCTCTTCTTGCCGATGCAATTGTTAAGCTATATACTGCCATTTTGGACTACCTTTTCCAAGCGCATGCATACTTCGAACCTCATATCCTGAAAAAAATTGCGCATAGCTTCTTTCGTCCAGAAGAAACAACACATAAATTCATATCGAGCATCAAGCAAAATGAACTAGAAGTTGAGAAATATACGCGCCTCGTCTCTGATGAGGTCCTTGGTAAGATTGACAGAAACATGGACGCCCTCACACAATCTATGGATGTATGCCATACATCAATACAGAGCCTTCAGAAAGGGGTTTCATCAACGAAGCTGTTGGGAAGTGACTTGGGACAACGTCTTGGACAATTGCAAAAGCTCACACAGACCATTCAACAAGACGTGTCATCTGCAGAACTCAGGTGGAACAAAATCGAACACGATCTGGTCAAAGCCTTGAACGATCTCAAGGATCCAGTGCAGCGCATTGCTGAAGATCTATCTAGTGTACAAGATAATCTCAAGGAAAAGGAGCGAGTAAAGGTTTTTGAGTGGCTTACAATGATACCAAGCTCTAGCCACCACCGGGAAAAATTGCGGAGCTTATTATCTGGTTCTTGCAATTGGCTGTTGAGAAAGAAGGAATTCAAAGAATGGATAGAGGCTAGCACGTCCTCCATCTTGTGGCTACACGGAATACCTGGCAGTGGGAAGAGCATGCTTGTTTGCCATGTCATCGAATACCTCAGAAATCGAGCCCAACAGCATCTCGGTTCTGCACCTGTTGCATACTTCTATTGTGCTCGGACCATTAATGAACCTGAAAGGGCTGATCCAACAGAAGTACTGAGAAACATATTAGAGCAGTTATGCTCTTTAGATGCGGAGACACCAATAAGAGAACCCGTGTCGAAAAAATACCTTGCTCGAAAGAAGGAAGCCCGAGGACGAACACCAGAGAAGCTCAACCTCGAAGAAACGATTGAAACTATTCTGGAATTATTAGAATCTAATCCTGCAACCATAGTCATTGATGGACTTGATGAATGTGATTCAGTTAAGAGAAACGATTTGCTTCTCGGCCTGCAAAAAATCATCACAAATTCCAACAACATCGTCAAAGTCTTTGTCAGCAGCAGAGATGACCATGATCTCGTTCACCATCTAGCTCGTTCCCCGAACCTATACATTCATGCGACTGACAATACTGGGGATATCACAATGTTCATTAAATCGCGTATTAAAGAGGCAATTCGAGAGGATAAGCTTCTCTGCGGGCATGTCTCAGGTCGCTTGAAGAAAATTATCATTGGCAAGTTGATAGAGAAAGCTAACGGTATGTTTCGACTTGCAAGTATGCACATTGACAGCCTTTGTGATCCATCTCGGGTTATAACGGAAGCAAACGTGCATAATGTACTCGAACGCCTACCGCAAGAATTGGGAAAGTCATATGATGTGGTAATGTCGCAGATCATGCAATCTGAATATCCTAATCCTCTGTTAGCGTCAGGTACATTGAAATGGCTTCTTTGCTCCCGCCGGGCTCTGAGCTCTAGAACCCTCCCGCAAGCAATATGTGTGAATAACGCAGGCCACCCACTACTATCAAATGACGAAATCTTGAGCATCTGCTTTAATTTGGTAGTTTACAATAAAGAGATGGATAAGTTTCAGTTTGCTCATTTATCGGTGCGGGAATATCTCGAGTCCCAGCCTGGATACTCGGCTGAAGATACAAATTTGATGGCCGCTGAAGCATGTTTAACTTGTATTTTGTCAAAATCACAAGGCCGACATGATTTTAGGATACACGCAAAAGTTTCTTGGGGTAATTATACGAAATTGACCCCTAGTGCGAGACGCGAGGGTGCTTTGGGAGAGTTACTCGCAGAATTTCTAGTTTCTCCTTTTGAATCAAGAATTATTCTGCCCGCTAGGACTAGGCTTAAGGATTACCTGCTGGTATATGAAAGTCTTTTGCGCCCCTCGTGGATCATAGACCAAAGTATGAATTTATTGATTTGGACTGTTTTTCTGGCCTGTAAGCATGATCTCAGTGAAATTATCAGTCGGCTTCTTCCTCATGCCGATTGCGAATATTTATTCACCCAGAAAAGCCGGATGGGTCTCAATTCTGTCCAAACTTCAGCATATTTTGATAGCCCGGTGACTATCAATCTACTACACAAAACAACAGCGTCTCTACTGCCAAAAGAGCTCAACCCTAATTTGTATTGGAATTCTGCATATTATATTGCATCCTACAATGGGAGCAGGCGGGCAGCCCAAATGATATCAGAGATCCGAACGAAGGAAAAGAATTTGTGCACGCAGTCTAGAAAGTACTGTGTCAAATATATCGTCAACCACTCGGTCAACGCAAGTTTACTTTCCTCCCAATGCTCCCCTGAGACTCACACCCGAGAAGTGATGCGACCCACGTCGCTACTCATGCTTCAGAACAACGACGCCGACATTGTATCAACGCTATTTAAATCCTTCGATTAGTGCATCGGATTATGTAATGAATGCACCTTTTCGATTCTGAGGCCCCTCGATATGGTGAGCTTGAATGTTGCGAACGCTTTTGCCATTTTTAACACTATCGAAAATGATGCACCGCCTACAGAACAATACAAAATTGGTGCTATGGCTAAGACCATTTCTGATTTAATGAAGAGTGGCAGCAAAAATAGTAAAACTATTTCTAGAGGTAGTGAGGGCTCTTGGGTGATATCGATTATCACAGCATCCGCAATGATTTTGGGGCATGAATCTTATAATACGGATATATTCATGTATTATTTGTCAGAGGCATTTTTATACATGTCCACGGGAAACGTATTTGCCTATTTCCCGTATTCATATTATCTTGAACGGTTTAACAGGCTGATCCAAGCTCGAGATATCTTGAATGAGCAGAAAATGATCAATTGGAAGACACTTATGCTGAGTCGACGTGTAGATCATGGCCGAGATGCCCTTCTAATATTACTCAAAGCGCGCACGGAAATAGCTCCAAAGGTAATCAACCTTGCATTATCCACCTGGAATGGAGAGATGGTAAAGGCGTTATTAGAGTACAATTTGGTTAAGATTGGCAACGAAGTGATTCGGTTCGTGGCGGGTAACTTAAAGTATGGAAAGGAGATAATGGAGATGTTATTAGCTCAAGATATGGAAAGAGAAATGTCAGAAGCCGTGCCTGAAACTGCACTCAAAAAATTGCTTGAAAGCGAGTGCATATATACCTCGAAGGGAAAAGTTTAGTTAGTCACAAGCAAGTGATAAACAAGCCAAATTGACTGCACCTACGAAGAAATCAGGAACTTCATTTTCTTTCGCACTTAAACCGGAGCGCGATTAGAAAAATGAATCTGTATCCTTTTGGTCGGTAGCAGGCCGAATTGCATTCCATTCCAGACTTCGGATATTCTTATTTTTGAGCGTGGGGCAAATCATGGATACGCGAGAGGAACAGGGGAGCAGAGTTTGATACAATCTGTGATTATTCAGTAAATGACGAGAGAAATATGTAAACATAATTATGCGCCGTTATCAATAAATTGCAGGATTGGAATGTTTCGTGTTTTTATGAATAATGCGTAGATATCGCACATTGCACGTACCGTGTTATTCAGGTAATTTAAGTATCACTTCGATGATAAAGATGCTTGAGATGGTACACTCTCAATATTTAGATTGCAGTTATACAGGTTTGAAAGCAATAAGTTCTGATGCACGGGGTGAGATTGAGGGTCAAGTGATCTAGTGCTTGCTTGTGTGATGCCAGTGTCTATATATGAGGTGAGGATCGAAAAACATGGTCAAGGCACGATGCTGATGAGAAACTGCGGTGAGAATACATTCTTCCCTTCAAGAACGTTAGGAATATTCGAGGTCAAATGCAAGGACGAATGTGATTTTTAGTTTTGATCCTAATGCAGATGGCGTAGAATATGAGGATATAAATATGCTTTCTAAATACAAACTTCGCTTAAACACGAAAATAACATCCAATTCCTCTTACAAAGTCTAAGCATCTAACTTTAATCTTTCTAACAAGTTGTCTATCTTTCCAAGTAACGTTTGGTAGTTTATAGCATCTGCAGCAAATTCATCACCTGCAATTTCACCATTGAGAGTCCGTATCTGACCATTCATCATTGGATCAAGGGCAGGGGATTGTGTTGGGTTTATGTCAACCACTGTGTCAGATTTCACAGCATTCGCAGATGTAATATCATCGGTGGCTCCCTTTTCATCTCCATTTTCTTCACCGTTCTCATTCATATTCTCATCCATCATATCTTCAAGGCCCGAGTCTTCAAATCGGAGTCTGAAGCGTTCGGATAGGTAAAAGCGAATGCTAGAGAAATCCCAGTCAGTATGCTAGACAGTGTTTCAACGGGATCCAAGCAGGGGTTTGGGTGACATACTCATCAAGTAATTCAATAGTGTCAGTCTCCTGTCTCTTTTCAATTCTAGCAGCACTCTCCTTAATTAACTCCTCAAACTCTGGCTCATCGATATAGTCCTCCAACCTGTATGCCATGTACCTAGCACAGAATTCCTCTAGTCTTTGAACTCTTGTCAACCATCCAGCTCTCATAACATCATAAGGATTAATTAGTTCCACATCTAATTCATCACTGTCGGTGTGTGTACGATCAGCGAGTGTGCTCGAACCATTCCCGAGAGTACTGATTACTACTGCAGCTTTAGTTTTGAGTTTCTCAATAAAGAGCATGTCTGCTGCAAGAAGAACATCTATCGCGAGATCAAGAGGGATATCAACATTCTCGGTGTAGAGAAAGTCGAGGATAAGCTCGAGTACAGCAGGCGGGCAATCGACGTAGATAATTTGCAAAAAATCAGTAACCTGCGCTTCTTGAAACGAGGAACTAAACATCGTTTGAAAGTATTCTGATCGTATGAGCATAGCGCGGTGCGCAGGATAGAGGACCGATTTCTGGGGTGAATTGGTGGTAGATGTCTCTGGGGGCAATGAGCTCGAGGGGCCAATAGGAATACCGTTTGAGGAGACAGTTGTGTTAGGTGTCGGCGTTTCTGGCCTAGAACTCGAAGCCTCATCGGAAACTAAATTCTCGTTTGCCTGCAACAGAACATCCGCAAACATGGAATTATTCCTGGTCCACTTCACATCCTTGGCCTTCACGGTATCAATATGTATCTTATGCTTCAAAACATTCCCTCGATACCAAGACTCCATCTGATTCCTGGCTCGTAAAACTTCATCTTGATACCGTTGCCGAGCTATTCTCCTATCACGCCCACTCAAGAGTCCCTCCCAGAGGGATTCAATCTCAAGCTGTTTGCTGATTTTATCAATGCCTTTGAGCACATCGTCCACAGAGCTGCTAGACCTAAGACCAAGATCTGATGGCACTTCACCCATGTATAAATATCGAAAAGCAACCTGGAAACATTCTGGGGGAATGGAAGGTTCCAATTTCCATGACTTGGTTTCTGGGGCAGCAGAAAGCTTTCTTCGCATATATGGTGACCGGGCAGAAAGTATCATCTTGTGTAACTTCCATGATTCTGATCCAGCGCTGAGTGTTATGTCTGAAGTTTCAGGAGTCTGCCTAGTAAGGAGAGAAGTGATATGAGAGGCGAATGACTGTAATGGGTCCCTAGACTTCGAATATTCGTACTTCAATAGAAGGTTTCGAATTCGATCGTTTAATGCATTGTATAGACATCTCTCCCCTTGGAATGTATCGCGTTCGCAGAGAGCTCCAGCTTCGAGAAGTAGTTGAACAACATTGTAATGTCCACAAAGACTTGCCTTAATAATTTGTCAGCGAGGTCAATTGGCATTAGGAATAACATTAGGCTTACCAAGATCAATGGCGTATAATCAAAAGGATCTCTAGCATTGATATTGATTCCAGGAGTAGTAATTGCTTGCTGAACCCTCTTAACATCACCAATTCGGCAAGCAACGCAAAGCTCTTGAAATTCGGGACTAGTATCAAGGGGACTTTCATCTCTCAAAACTCCTTCCTTGATCAACTGATGCTCATCCTTCAGTTGAACTTCGAGCTCATCTTTCCGTTTGACCATTCTGAGGATATGTGTGCAAAGAGTAGGTATGAATAGGAGATATGGGAGTAATAAGCAATGAATAGTAGAGAGTCAATGGCAAGATATATGGACCCAGTGGTGATAATAATAATAAAACAGATAAAGATACAAAATTGTGGCAAGTTTGAGAAGCTACTGGTTTTGACACAAGCACATGGAGGGGAAGAAAGCTTATCGATAAAAGCAATCCGGATAAGGTATCGGAGTTAAATGTTTCAACCGTCATCCAAATTTCATACATTCACCGCCTTCTGGCATTATCAAAATTTCCCCGGGTGATGTCCAATTCTAGTTTGGTATCAAATAGTCAAACGGTTGGAGGGGCAACCAAAAAGTAAACACCAACCTGAATGAATTAATTCACAATCCATCTTCATCAACTTTGAATAAAACGACAAAACATCGCCAACCTCGAATAGATTACAACAATACTAATATTAATTGCTTTCTTTACTTAGATCAATGCAAAGATCTTCCTTTTCTTAAATATAATACTTTCGGAATCATGACAGAAGAAAGCAAGTACGAAGTTTTGGAGAAGATAGGTAAGTCTTCACAGTACAAGAAGTACTAACGTGGTTCATGTTTGATTTATTACTCGTTGCGCCAACTCTTAAGTGAGACAGAACTAATATACTCTATCTATTCTGTAGGACATGGTTCTTTTGGTATCATTCGAAAGGTCCGAAGAAAGAATAATGGAGAAATCTTATGTAGGAAGGAGATTAACTACATGCGGATGTCACAAAAAGAACGAGAACAACTACAAGCCGAATTCGCCATTCTTTCCTCACTTAAACATCCAAACATCGTCGGATACTATCATCGAGAGCATCTAAAGTCCAGTCAAGACCTTCATTTGTACATGGAATACTGTGGCAATGGGGATCTTGGTAGGATTATAAAGGATTTACAAGCAAAGAACAAATATGCTGAGGAGGGTTTCGTTTGGAGCATATTCGCACAACTGGTTTCAGCATTGTATAGATGTCACTATGGAGTCGATCCACCAGAAGTTGGAAGTAATGTAATGGGATTGGGAAATACCGCCAAACCACAAAAGCCAGCGCCTGGTGTCATGATTCTACACCGAGATTTGAAGCCCGAAAACAGTGAGTGAACTAAGTATGTACGGTTGTGTTTCTTGTACTAAATTTTATAGTCTTTCTTGGTGAAGGCAATTCTGTGAAGCTTGGGGATTTTGGTCTTTCGAAATTGATGGAATCTCACGATTTTGCCTCTACATATGTTGGAACTCCATTCTACATGTCCCCAGAAATCTGTGCCGCAGAACGATATACGTTAAAGTCAGATATTTGGTCTTTAGGTTGCATTATGTACGAGCTCTGCACACGAGAAGTTCCATTTAACGCGAAATCGCACTTCCAACTTGTGCAGAAGATTAAAGAGGGCAAAGTCACACCAATACCAAATATATATTCGCCAGAACTTGCATCTGTTATCAAGGACTGCCTCAGAGTCAACCCCGATCGACGAGTCGATACCGTTACATTGCTTAATCTTCCTGTGGTAAAATTGATGAGGAAGGAGAAAGAGGTTGTTGAGCTCGGTCGACTGTTGAGGACGAAAGAAGAAATGGCGGCTAAACAATTCAAGGAGCTTGAAGAAAGGACAGAGAAGCTCGAGTCTCAGAAAGCAGCTATGCGTGCCGAGATTGATTCATCATTGCGAAGAGAATGGGAAGTCAAGGCACAATTGGAGATCAATCGTTTGGTGCAAATAGAGGTAGAGAATCTACAAAAACGATTTGAAGAAGAGGTCCGAATCCGAGTTGAAGAAGAGCTACAAAGATCCGCCAACAGCTCTCGATCATCGAATCCAGATAACGATACTAGCTCAAGCTCTCTGACCGCTAAAGAACTGTGTCCCTCGCCAAGCTCATTGGACTACCCAAGATCATCTGTTGGTAGCACAGGTGATGACTTCTCATCGACCACAGATTTTACCGATCACACCATGTCACCGGAGCCCAGCAAACCATTCAAGAAATCCACCAGAACACCATTTTCTCGAGCGCAAACCATGTTCAATGTGCATGGAACTCCTATGGACATTGAGATGGCTGATCCATCACCAATTTCTATTGCCTCCTTGTCATTATCTCCACGCCGGAACAATGCAACCAAAGCTCCTGGCACTAACCGAAACATTTTTGCTGCTGCAAACGCAAATGCCGAGATTCGCTTACAACCTCTTCTACTAGATTCTGATTCTGAAGATGAGGATGATCTTCCAGTGCCTTCTCCTACGCGGCCTAAATCTAAGAACAACCCATTTGCTAAGGGTGCTGCGAGACCACATCTCATCTCGCAGCGTACAGTGCCATTACAAAAATTGAACACTCAACCAACCTTTTTGGCAACCAAAAACCAAGGTGGACTGGTTAGTAAGAAGGAAGCACAAAGCCCAGTAACTAAGAGACTATCGAGAATACCGAGCATGACTAGTTTGTCGGGCAATGATACAGCAGCAAGCCCCACACGAAAGTCGAGTTTGACAAAGAAATCTGAATCAGACCTACACAAACAGGCAATGAAGAACAATACAAAAACGGGAAGTGCACCAACGATTGGACGAACTCTAGTCGAACTAGCACAAGCTCGTGCTGGAGGAAGACCAGTTGAGATGAGCCCTAGTGGAAAGGGAAGATCATTCGGAGTAAGAATGGTAGAAAAGGAAAAGGACGAAGGAAGAATGAGAGGTAGTGGAGGAAGCATTGGAGATATGGAGCCAACGGTGTGGAACCCTGACAGGGATGAAATGCCAAGTCCTTTCTTGATCAGAAACAGATATGCAGGGGCTGCAGGGCGTTCGAGATAATTTGATTTCGGGTTGCATTTGGTGTTGGTTCTATGCGGGTATGAAGGGGCTACAGGGAAACAAAATTGGCAATCAAGTGGTGGTCATGATAACGAAACACACGCCATGACTAGCTTTCTTTTGTTTTTTGTAAACATTGCTCGCGAGGGGTGATTTAGCATATCATGGTTTAGTTTGGCGATGGAAGTGGTATACCGATTTGGCGTTGGGATTTCTGGGGATGACTTATTTTTTCTACATAGTTTTTTGTACTGTATCAAGTGCACAGTATCTTAGTATTACGCTCGGTTGGATTGGTTGGGTGAGGTAAGAGTAAATTGGGATTGGATAATGATTGGGTATTTGAGTTGGTCCTTTTAGGACCGGGGAGGAAGATGAGCGAAGGGAGATAAAGGGGAAGAGAACCATATACATGGAATAGATAGTATAGGTCTTCGGGTATGCAGGTTCCAAAAATATTATACATGTATTATATGAAAATTGTGGCAAGAAGATATGTATGAGATTGTTCCCGCTGTACTCGTAGACGCCTATCACCCCTTTGCTTTCCTCGCCTAAGTAATGCCCCACTAATTATTTTGTTCTCATCATATAGATTTTTGTATACTGTGCTGTGTATGATGATTTAAACGGGTAGCTAAAGTGTTAACTTGTGTGGGAAATCAATTGCATTTTGCTCGTTTCTGGCTCACCCTGGATCTCGGTATGATTCTGTGGGTTCTTACTAGGTAGGTATTAGGTAGGTAGGTAGTAGTGTCTCTTTATTTGATTGTTTACTGTGATGAATGTAGGTGCTAGATGGGTATTGGGTAGTGGGTAGGTAGTAGGTAGTAGATAATAAATAATAGATAATAAATAATAGATAATAAGTAATAGATAATAAGTAATAAGTAGTAGGTATTAGATAGTAGGTATTAGATAGTAGGTATTAGATAGTAGGTATTAGATAGTAGGTAATAGGTAGTAGGTAGTAGATAGTAGATATCAGATATTAGATATCTAGCTAGTTGATCTACATTACAATATACCGTATATTACGATATATCACAGTATACACAGTACACCACGATATATCACAATATAGAAATACAAATAAGGTAGCGATGTAACAATACATACATACCTAGTAGGTATGGACAGATTCACGCTATATTATAGGCTTTGAACATTAACTCTACTGAGAACCCAAAAAAAAAAAAAAAAAAAAAAATCCCCCCCCCCCCCAAGGAGGTCAACCTAGAAATATCATGAGAAGTATTCCTTTTCGATAGCAGACCAAATCGCAGAATGAAAGAATAAATCACCAGTACCATATACATTAACAAAGATTGAGGATAATGTTGAGATATATAAGAGGAGCGACACTGTTAATTTCTAGCTATTCATTCATCTATTTCCTTCCGTCTTTCTTTATTATACTACCTTCAAATCAATATTATCAAGAGTAAGAACGCGTAATAAAATCAAAACGTATGCGAATTGTTCGCGACTCATGTGTGTATGATCCGCCTATCTGAACCAACTCATTAATCTTTCAAATCTGTCCTCCTATGCAGCTCAGCCAGGTCATATTATAAGCGAAAGCCATAATTGCAAATATCTCCGTAACCATTATTCACCGTCCCAAGGTATAAGCCATAGCCACCGACCGTATTTACCAAAATTCTCAACCATAATTACCACTGTCAACTCAATGACATCCATTTATTACGTTGTCATATCTATGTCTTCGTGTATCCGTGATCGTATTCGTAATCGTGTCCATGCCCGTGTCTCGTTGCGCAATTATAGACGTACGCCATAATGTGAACCGTCTGTCTTACTCATTATCCGCAGCAGCGTCTCTCTCCTTATCCATCATTCCAGTTCTCAATTCGCTTCCGGAACCTCTACCACCTCTATACAATCTTCGATTTTGATGAAAACTTCGGTCTCCTCTTCCACCCTGGAACCCACCTCGTCCTTGGTCCCCAGGACCAGATCTTCTACCCGTCCATCTATCTCCACCATGTGGTCTATATGGTGGTCTACCTCTGCCACCACCTCTACCACCTCCCCCACCTCTACCCCTATTGATCTTAAAGTCAATTCTCTTTAATGGGTTTGTCACCATCTCAGTATCTGCAATTCCCAACTCTTCTTTCTTCTCTTGGTCGTTAATAGTCCAAGCCTGGAAGATTTGACCCAGTTCATCCACGCCCCGTAACTCGTCAACCCAAGCCAGAACATATTCAGCCTTAGGGTCGTAATCAAAAGCTTGTTTGACAGGGTTGAAAATCCGATCATTGCCTCGAGGATCATTGCCAACTCCGGCAACATATTGCCAATTACCCCAATTCGAGCTAACATCGTAATCAACCAATATACACTCGTACCACTCGGCGCCAATTCTCCAATCAATGTAAAGATGTTTCGCGAGGAATGAAGCGACATTTTGACGAGCGCGGTTGCTAGTATAACCGGTATGATAACATTCTCTTTGAGAAGCATCAATGAATCCCATTCCCGTTGTACCGTTAAGAAATCTCTCAATAATCTCTTGTATTTGCTCTTTTGAAACACCATCTCTTGGTGAATCGAGCCTGCTCCACTTTGAATGTGCATTTTCTTCCTCCTTGAATCCACCCAATTGGAAAAGCTTTGGTCCGAATTTACGAGTGCAGAGACGCATGTAATCTCTCCAAAGAAGCTCGAATCGTACACCATAAGTGCCTTCGTTTTCACCCTTGCCATACCCCTCGAGATCCTTGTACCGGTTGTCAGAATCGGAACCATTCTCGAAGAGAGACATGGAAGAATGAATCTGACGTGAAGTAATTGAACCAAGAGCAAGGTACGCTGAGAGCTTTGTAGAGAAATCAGTACCCATGAGCCCATTGCGACTAGATTTATAAGCGTTAATTGAGCCAGAAGTAATCAAGTGGTCGAGTCGTTCTAGCGCATGAGATTCACCGCCTGTAAAAGGATGTACCGATAATGAATTCTCCGGGTAGGATGGAGGATTTTTGATTAGAGGTTGCGCATTGATTGGCTTGAGAAGTGCACTCTCGATCTCCTCGTAATTTGTCGGAATCGTGAATGGAGCATGCTGAGGTGGAACATCGGTAGGGAAGGGTGGCAATGAATTCATTTCAGGTTTTGGTAAAGTTGGACGAGGCGCTTCGCGAAGGGGTTCAACACTCTTGCGATAAGTCGTATACACATCGGGAAGATCTTTTGGATCCTCAAATGGAACATCTCGACTACATCTCAATCAGTAAATTTGGGGGGGGGGGGGGGGGGAGGGGTGAAATGGATGATGGGTGTAAAAACATACTCGTCAATCAAATATTTCTCATCTCGCCACAATTTGAAGTCAACACCGGCCTTATCGCAAATGTTCTTTGTCGAGCGCTCTTCTCGTTTCTCTTCTACTCCTTCTTCGGAAGTCATCCACACTGCAGAAACCTTGCTGCCGCCTGTTTTTTCAAATCCTTCCATTAAATCTTTCACCACTTCATCGACCATCCCCACTCTGATAGCCAATCCGCTCCCAACCTTCTCGAGACCCCCCTTCAGATCCCACACACTTTCCGCTAGGAACTTCGCTCTGTGGGGACCACATCGCCAGAATGCGCCGATTTGACTTCTGGCCTCTGGGTACGGACTCTTACTTCCATCTTTGGTGATAAAACCAGAGACTTCGATTTGTTGTGCGGCAAAAACATAGAGTGGGAGAAGATGTGTGAATCCATGATCCTTGCTATCAACGAGAGAGTGAAGGATAGGGTTATCGCCCACTCGCAAGTCCCGGCGCATGAGATAAATCAAGACGTTGGAATGCGACATGTTTGCAATTGTGGCAATTTGTTGATGTCTTTGTTTGAGAGAGATGGAAGAGGTAGTCAAAACAAGAATTGATTTGGTAGTGGAACAGAGGCGAATCATGGAAAGATCCGGGGAGAAGGGCCGCCCAGTGGTATGAGATCAGAAAGATTCACCCCACAGGTCCTGACTCAAGGACAAATCAAGCGTTGGGGATATGTCTTGCAGAAGCTCCAGGGCAGTAGTGGGGTTTTCTGATGGATATTGAATTTTTGACGGATCAAAAGTTTAAAATGTAGTAGAGAAGTAGGCACGGTAGTGAGTGATTCTACTCGGATAGAATAGCGTAAAGAGTCTCGGTCGTAATGGGAAAAAGTAAGACAACGGAGTGAATTGAAAGTTGGAAGAGGGAGAAAAGTGCCTAGGTAGATAGGTAGGCTGGATAGGGAAAAGGAGGATGGAGAAGAAAGGTCAACCGAGACCAAATATGAGACTTGATTGGATCTCGCAGAAGATGAGATGAAATGAATCATCAGTCAATCAAAATCAACAAACGATCAATGATTTGGAATGAAAGGGAAATATCAAGTAATGAATGAATAATAGTTTTTTCAGTATAATTCCAATCAAATCAATCCACCATACCATGATAAATATGGGATAAGTAGGTAGGTAGTAAGTTAAGAAGTTCCAGGTCTCTCTGTCTGTGTCAATCAAAGTTAATGGGAAAAAGAAGAAGATGGTGAAAGCAAAAGAAGAAAGTTGGTTAGTTTTTTTTCTTCTTCTTTTTTTCTTTCAGTTTTTGAAGTACCTAGTACTCTATTTACGGGTAGTTAGATATTCATTTGATCAACTCATCAGGACCCGATTCGAGTGGCAATTTTTCTTCTTCTGGATAATAATTATTGGATCAAAATTGGTTTGGGAGAGTTCAAGGAGAAGGTAGAATATGGAAAAGGAAGTGGTAAATGTGGTGTACCCCGTCGGTAGTGTAGTGTCGTATCGTGTCGTGTATTGTAGTGTAGTGTATTGTAGTGGGGTGTTGAAGTCGATATTGTGTTGACGCATGCATATGCTGCTGAACCCACGATGTGTACTTTTTTGCTTTTGGATGGATTGATTGATGGGTGGATGGGTGGATGGTGGATGGGTGGATGAATGGATGGATGTACCCTATCGATGAAGATGGATGGGATTTGAAGGATTGTTATGTTTTGTACACCCAGCATGAACATTCGCATTCATCCATTCATCCGTTCATTCATTCATCCATCCAGCGCTTCCATCATTCTTTCCCCATGATGAATTCTTTCATTCTCTCGTGATGGAGAGGAAAGTCATAGCTGGAGTAGTACCTAAGTAGTATTAATGACATCTTAACTCTTTTTACCTCTTTTTACCTCTTTTTACCTCTTTTTACCTCTTTTTACCTCTTTTCACCTCTTTTGCCTCTTTTTTTATCTCATCCACCACTTAAAATCATCCGATGTTTCTGTGAATGGAATGGGATAGAGAGTTGCCGTGCATTTGGTGCTAAAATGATCGATGGAGGTTGGTGTTTGCTTGTCAAAAGACGATGCTCAAAGCTCTGATGGTAGTGTTAGGATCGCCCCACTTTATTCATCGTGCTCAGGAACCAGCCTTACTAGATAGGGTTAGATCCGATCCCAGCTTTTTCCATAGAATCCTCACATTGATCAATCAAATCACTTGAAGGTTGATTGGGGGAACGCCGCTTGATGTTTTTCTCATGCTGCTTTAAATCTGATTTTGGTAGTCTTTTCTTTTCTCATATCAACCTTCACCTTCACTCACTCATCACTCACTCGTCACTCACTCTTCACTCACTCTTCACTCACCTATCGAGGTTCTATTTACCTAGATACCTAGTACTTATTGACTAGGTATTTTACCACCTTGGTATTTTACCTACTACATACCTACCCACTACATATATATAGATCATAAATACTACCTCATAATATACCTAGATATATCAACATTTCTTGTAAATACACACACACACACACAGCTTTATAAAATCCATCAAAATATTCTTAATAAACATACATACACCACCTCCCTCATAATGCACATCTAGTCTGATCAAGCTATCTCTTGCATACATCCGTTACCTAGATTCCCGTACAGTATCTCATCATCCATCAGATCCATCAGATCCATCAGATCCATTAGACCCCAATCTATCTTATCTACCTACCTAGTATATTCTCAACGCACCCACCCTCCTTCCATTCCCGATAGAAAGGTACCAAAACATACCACCAGATCTAATGTCGGGACATATAAAGAGCCACGATATCTCAGTCCCACAATCCCTTACTTGATGACACTTTTCTCACACCTGCATATTCCTCACTCCTCCATGCATCGATGGGCGGTACACAGTACCACCATGATAAACATCGTAAACATGTCATTTGAGCTTTGTCCATTACGATGAAGGAACAGATACGAACCCCCGATCTCCCCTCATCAATCTCGTTAATCTCTTTCCGAACTCATACAGATCTGTCCATCGCATTCGCAGAGTTATACCTCCTCCTGACCTAGATCCTGAAGAAGAAGAAAAAAAGAAAGAAAAAGAACAAGATTCATCCTCAGGTGATCACTCAACATCTGCAAGACGGTGGAGTACAGCATATTAATGCAACACCGTTCCAGATCGTGTCATCGGTATCTTGCATTAGTTCGATGTTGAAGCTTTCTCTTAGTCGATGATTTCATGAAGGATCAACTTTTCATCATGAACTAATTACTGGGTAACTCTACTTCCGAGGTCCTTTCAAATACTTTTTTTTTTTCTTTCAACGTCAAGGCAAGTCAAAGCAAGGCACGTCAAAGCATGCTTTTCAAGAGAAAAGAAAGGAAAAATGAGGTACCATTTTCTAATCTATAATTCTCATCACTACTAGGTAGGTCTCCAATTCAACAGAAATGAAAGTCCCTATGACCATTTCAATCGGACGAGTACATTAATAATTAGTCATCAACTGATTTCGAATTGCATTCTATCAAATCAAGTCATTCAGATTCAAATCCTTATTAGTCATACTTATTAGTCATACCATCCTCCTACAATTATACTTTCTACCTCTTCATTCATCACTATCACTTTGCAATACATTATCTTTCTATCCCGACTTCCCATCGTATTCAATCCCGATTTTCATCCCGATTCCATTCCGAATACTACCCCGAAACTCTACTCAAATTCCCTCTCCCTCCAACTCTTTCCACTTCACATCATACAATAAATAAACATAACGTCGAAGCAAAGTAACGAGAAACGCTACGCATAGTGGAGAAGAAACCACTTCCGAAGAAATAAATGATCTTCACACCCAGATTCTTAACTTTCCACTAGCGGAACTCTATTCATTTAGTTTCATCCTAAAGTTACTTGTGCATTCTGTTTTTTTGTTTTTGTTTGTGTTTTTTTTTTTTTTTGGTTTCCCTAGAAAAAACACTCATCATCTTCTACGAAAGCGAGATGTACCTACCTAGCAATGCATATTCTAAGCAGAATAACGTTACCTTCCTTTCATGTGCGTGATGTGATAGTCAAATCCAGCATTTCACCCGCACGTTACTGGTGGAAAGTAACGAGTGTGATGGCTTTCGTATTGCAATACCTATATCCACCAATCTAGATAGATAGGTAGATAGAACGTAAGTTTTGAAAACCAAATCCTACTCGAGATATCACATATCCCACACGCAGAAAGTTAGTGCTCTATGTGAGAGGAAATCCTCACTTCGAGAGAATTTTAAGTTCATTTCATTTCATGCACCCGTTCGTTTGGTGATGAGATGGATGCATGCATCGTGCTATACGATGGGTTAGAGAGATGTGATGGATATATAGATATCACACTTCGATGTACTTTGTGCTTTGTGCGCGATGATCAAGTGAATCAATCGTACGAAGTATATCTATCATGGTAGAGCTGGTCTAGGCCCCTTTCTCTCTTGGTCTTTAATTCTTGAATGATACCGTAGGTATTTGTAGTTGGTAGATGGAGTTTAATGTACTTCATCCGTGTTGTTGTTGAGAAATAAAAAAATAAAAATTCAGGAATCAAGCAAGAATCAAAGAAGCTTTCCGAATCTTGATTTCTCGATTCGTTTCTCGTGTAGTGCGCGATACTGTTTTTCTGCCTCTGATCTCGAATTTAATCTCAATCTCAATCTCAATCTCAGTCGCACATTCATGAATTGATCTTTAATGCTTGCTTGACAAATTTGAATTTTGTAGTACCTAGGTATCAGCTAGATGGAAATAAAAGTCCCATTTATCATGCAGCGACTTCGCACTGGCTGCCCAGCTGGCTGCATGGTGGGTTTCTCTTGGAGTTTTATGTGCTGATGTATATGTATATATGGGTGTATATTTATATGTGTATTTTTAGGGAAATGTTTAGGGAAATATGAGTATAAAAGTTCCCGGTGTACTGATACTAATGATGGTACTAATGCTGATGATGATATTAGATCATTGGGTTTCTTTTGTTTTGTTCATTTGGCTGTGCTTTGGATTGGATTGGGTGGATTGGATTATACTATCATATCACATTTGGGTTTATTCATTCATTCATTCGCTTGCTTATATCTATTATCTATTATCTATAGTGCTTTTTGGTGAAAGTGAAAGCGAAAATGAAAGTGATATTATGTATCTAGATATTTTGAGTAAAGATACTAGATATTCGTGGAGGAATTATTGGGAATTGGGAATTGGGAGTTTGGGAGATGTGTGATGTGTGATGTGGTTTGACTAGATATGATTTGGTGTATTAGTATGATATAACATGGGAAGTTGATTACTAGGAAAGGGAAGTATATACTAGGTAGGTAGGATATCGAATAATGAATAATGAATGATGAATATTGAGAACTCGCATTTGAGAATTTGCAGCTGGAGGGTGGTGTAGTGGAGTGGTGAGTGGATTGGAGTTTAGTTTGGGTATTGGAGTATTTGGACTGGGCTCGTAGGTTTGTACTTGTGTGGGTTGGATGGGTTGGCGCTTAGGAGAGAGGGAGGGGAGATCGAAGAGGAGGAGGGGAGATGGAGGGTTGTGGGCTGTAGAGGCTGGATATGTATCGGAGATGAGATATTGGGGGAAAGGAAGAAAGAGAAGAAATGTATCTCTAATCACAGGAGTTCTTCGTAGATGAAGATGTTTTCGTTAGATGATTTTGTAGTACATGGGGGTTTGAAAGATTTCCCGTGCTCTGCTGTCTGCTGTATTACTAGCTATCAGCTGAATTACCAGCTATCTGTCCAGATGAATAGCTTCTCCCATCGATCCTGATCCTCATCTTTCACATCTTCTTTATGGATGGAGGTACCAGTAATTCAATCCCATCTATTTTTCTGCGCTTTGAATTTCTTGAAAAGGTTCATGGGGTAAAATCAAATCTTCAATGCTTCTATTCTCATCCTTTAAGCTCTGGGAGCACTTTGAATACCTACCTTGTAGCTTTTTAGCTCTTTGAATTGATCACCTATTGATATATTTCATATATCTGATCAAACAAATTTGATCACTCAGCTCGTTAAATTATTGTAGGTAATTTGGCAATTTGGTTGGAATAATGATGATTTTTTGAGAGCTATTTGAGATGATGTAAAAAGTGCACCTAGGTACTTGTTAAGATATTCACATATCCCGAGCTGGATTTCGATATGTAATGCGATTACTTTGTTAACCTACAACAACAATATTTTATCTTGTGTTATCAATTCATCACGCATGAATGATAAATCTTCACAGTATTCACTATTTGATTACCTAGGTACGAACAGTACGATATTCGATGTTCGAGCACCTGCAGTGTGAATATCTATTGACTCATATTGATTCGTCTATGTTTGGCTGATAGCCGTAGTTTGATACCATTCACTAGCGAGAAAATTGGATTTTTGGGTCTATTTAATGAGGGGCTTGTGGTAGGAAGCATGGAGAGATGGGTTTGGGGAGCTTTGGGAGTGTTGTGAGTAAGTATCTGGTTCTTGTTGGTATGAAAAAATACCTTTCTTCAATTCTGATATCGCAGGATATTTTGTGTAGCAATGAAAGTTATTACAGCAAATACACATTTACTCTTCAGAAAAGACAACCCATCAACGTACCTAATATCAGGTACATCACAAAACCACAAAATGTCAGCCCCCTCAAATCTCAACGAATGCCCCATCCACATCCCCCCACTCGGACCCTTCACCCCCGTTCACCCCTCCCTCACATTCACCAAACACTGGACGCCCACCGACGAGCACCTCCTCCAAGAAGATCACCTCTCCAAAAACTTCCCCCTCTCCCAAAATCCCTTCCCACATACAACATACTATTCCTGGAACAGCCCCTCTACCGAGACATCGCATCCGGAATCCGACTACGTATGGCGCCTCGCGTATAAATTTTTCCACAAATCGCCATACGATTTATTTCCCCGGATGAAAATGGGTTCGGAGCTCGATTTGTCGGATAGGGGGGTCTGCAAGTTTGTCGCGCAGATACTGTGTATACCAGGCGTGCAGGGCAATGTGGAGTTTCTGGAATATATTCTGCAATATGCAGCGCATTTCATATGTATACGAAGTCCCCCACCGGGGAAATATGCAGGAAAATTACCGCAGCCTGAACATGTGGATTTTATGGAAATTTTGTCGGAAGAAAATATCCTGGAAACGTCTACGATGATGAGAACTACCACCCACGAAACCCCTATACTCCACCACCGAAGCGATCCCGATCCTTCCCTGATAGACACAAACCTAATCCCCAATCTCAAACTCCTCACTCTCGTCACCACCGCTTGGAACCTATACGCTAAAGCTAGAATGCTTCATCCGGTCTCAACTTACGATATCCACATCCGACTCCAGCTCTCCGCTATCGAAATCGATGAGCGCGTTTGCGTTGCGAGTTTCAAGCGAGAGTGGAAAGTGCAGTGGCCGTTGGAATATCGGAGAAATGTGGTGAGGAGACATGGGTGTGGATATGCGTATTTGTATCGGAATGTGTATGCGCGGGAATTGGTGGAGTTTATTGAGAGGACGGTGCCGGAGGGGTGGAGTTTGAGGGATGAGGATGGGGAAGGGAATGGGGGTGGAGATGGGGAGGAATCGTTTTATTCGCTGAGGAGTATTGTGCAGGGTATTGAGAGGTGTGGGGGAGGAGGGTGGGAGGTGCGGTGTATGGGGAGACATTTGGCTAGTATTCGGGGGAGGGAATGGCATTGTTTTTCTGGGGATGGGGGGGTGGATGAGGGTGGGGAGGAAATTTTGTTTTTTCAGGTGGTTATGAAGAGGGGGTGGAAAAGGAGGGAGGAGCGGAGAGGGGAGGAGAAATGGGAGGAAGAACAGGAGCGGAAAAAGGAACGCAAGGTGTGGAGCGAAAGAGTAGATGGGTTGGAGAAGATAGAGGAACAGGAACAGGAACAGGAACAGGAAAAACAAACGTGGACTGCGGGACCGGATGAGGTATTTCTTGATCAGAAAGGGGAATATGTGGATATGGAGAGTGAGGAGAGTTGGTTTATCACGAAAGAGGAAAGTGAGACGTTGAGTGGATGTAGGAATTGTTGTCGTCCGGTTTGTTGTCAGGTGAGACGGAGGTGGAATGGTGTATTTGTGAGGACGGTGGTTTGAGGGCGTGGGGTGTGGGGATAGAGGACGGGGTTGGGTATGCAGCTTTGAGGAGATGAGGGTTGGTGGGTGGGTGGGGATAGTTTTCCGGCTGTTGAGATTGAGCAGTGGACTGAGGGATTTGAGTAATGGAGGTACCTGTCATGTTTGTGTGTATCTTTGAGGATTCTGTGAGTTAGATCTATATGTATCAACTAAGTCCTCATGTTTCATTCCGAAAGTCAAACAGCGCTTTTTCAAAGAGTCTATTTTATAAGAAACTGATATAGCACCATCAAAAGATTTCAAAGTCTTCAAGATATATCGTCTATATTTTCAAGTAGTTTATGATGCGAGATCATCTATTGGGTGCCGATAATGGAGGATGCCGAGAATAGTGGATAAAAGTAAACTCCTAATCCGTAGAGTCGCATCTACACGGTAGCTAGAACTAGCTACAAACGATCAAATCTCAGCAGGTTATTGCTATATAGGTAGGGAACACAGGTGGGCAGATACAAATGCCGAAGGTAAGGAATCCCCGAAGCGTCTGGTGTTTCCACTCGGATCTGTGCTAAGCTTCTCCGGGGTGAGGAAATTTTTCTCTGAGTCTCCTTGGATATTGTGATGTTTTAAAAGCTGAGATTTTAGTGGTTTGATCAGTGTTTATTACGATATTTTACAAACTGAGATTCACAAGTGATTCGATCAGTGTTTTGGCACATTGCGTTTTATATTTATAAATTTTTACTTTTGATTTGTGAATATTGTTTAAGATAAGAGTAATGTCCCACCGAAAAATGCTCATCAAGGTATTTATCCATCCATCCAAACTCCACGCTTATGCTCATGTTCATGCTCATGTTCATCCCATACTCATACATGCATGCATGAATTCATAACAAACAACCAAGAAACTCCGATTCAAACATTCCTTCACAAGCGCCACTCTTCTTTTTCCTCATCCATGTCCTAATATCTAACTACCTCATCGTGTTCAGCCAATACCCCTCCAAGCTCACTTGCTTTCTTGCCCCCACTACTACCTAAACTCTTTCTCTCATCTGAATCTACTGTACCGATTCTTTCTGCCTCAAAATATCTAGCTGGTCTCTTTCTACTAATTGCATCTGCATCCTTGAATACCAATATACTTCCATTCTCTCTGAATAATCTATCAATATCCTCCAATGTTCTATCACTCGTTTCGGGATAGAAAAAGTAAACAATCGGTACGAATGACGCATTGAAGATCGTCCATATGATGTAGAATTTCCATCTTAAAGACTCAATTCCAATGGGTGTAATTTCTACCACCATGAAGTTGAAGATCCAATTGGTGGCAGTACCAAGTGCAGCACCTTTAGTACGCATGGCGAGAGAATTGATCTCGGTAGGATAGAGCCAGGGAACACCTTGCCAACCGAAACCGAAGAAGAGGTAATAGACGAAGAAAAATGCGACAGAGGCAGAAGCGACTTCTTTTTGATGAGCATAGCCTTCTAATTCGTTGAAGCGGAGTAGAACGGTAATGAGCAGATAACAGACAGCTTGACCAGCAGCTGCATAAATCATGAGATTTCTTCTTCCCCATCGCTCTACATTCGGGATGGCGAGCAGCGAAGCGGCAAGGTAAGATACACTATTGCAAGCGGCGAGAAGTCTTGCAAGTGTGTTTGAGAGACCGACGGAGGAGATCAAGACGGTGGGGAGATAGTAGGATGTTACGTTGATACCACTAAGTTGTTGCATGGCTTGAGTTCCACAACCTAGGACGAGACGACGTATAGTAGAGGTTCCAGCCTCTCCAGTTCGACCACGGAGGAGATCAAACCAAGAGACACCATGCGCTTCTTCGTATTCAACAGCGTAGATGATATCATTCACATCGCTGCTTACACGATCGTCTTTAATATCGAGATCTTCAAGATCAGCAATGATTTGACGACCTTCATCGATCTTTCCGTGGGCGATTAACCAACGAGGAGACTCGGGAAGCCAAGGGACAGTGGCATATATGATTATGATGAAGATCAATTGGAAGGCGAGTGGGAATCTCCAAGTGACTGGGCCTGAAAGGAAAGAAAATCCATATGTAACCCAGTTACTAAGAGAGAAACCAGCGATGTTGAGAATCATTTCGATGACGACAAGTTTACCTCGAAGACTAGCTTTTGAGGTTTCGGATTGCCAAACGGGTGCCGTGGATGTATTCATACCATTACCGATACCAGCTATGATTCTTCCCGTGATCATCGTGGGGACATCGTAGGCTGCGATTTGGAGAATAGCGCCAATGATCATAATAGTTGTTCCCCATAGAATGGTCTTTTTACGACCGAGTCGTTCACCGAAGGCGACGGCTGCGATGGCTCCTACGAAACAACCAATATCGTAGAGAGCAGTAATCGTTCCAACTAAAGCGGTTTTGCCATTGAGGTTGAGAGTGTTGAGGAAATCTTCAGTGACGATAACACCACCTGGACTCGGTTAGGAAAGATTATAATGAAGGTAAAAGATAGACATAGTACATACCGAAAACACCTTGATCATAACCAAACAAAGTCATATCTGTTGCACAAGCAACCGTGACCCAGAATGTGAGCCATCCTCCCCTCATACCAAACCAAGGAGCCATATTGTTTGAGAAGAACCGTGCGAAGACTAGAGATTTACATGCAATACAGGAATAATTCAAACGCGGTAATACACAATATCATCTGATAATGAGAGAATGATTCAAAAAAATACTTATACCAACAAGGGGAATAATCAACCTTTATATAATTGACACCAACCAACAAACAATACAACATGTGTGGAGAGAGCGAATACCAATGACTCGCAGAGATCTGAGAGATTCAAGCAGGAACGTTAATCAGGAATCCAAGCAGGAACCAAGATCATCCCTCTCCCAACAACGTGACCAAGATTACACCCCATAATACTTGGTATGCACCCCCGGATTTACTATTCGGGCAGCGATTATCACGTCACTCTGTAGGTACAGCGAGATCCAACCTTATAATGCGGGAATACGGAGTGCCGAGTGGTCAAGCACAGTGCAACGCGTACAATAGGTGTTGGTTGTGCAGGCCCCAGCAAATCACCAAACATGGGGTATACCTTGGACGGTATGTCTTCGGATGTTATGGGGGTCATAGAAATTGGCCGTTCGGTGTATTTGTGGACCTCTCTCAGACTTCGAAGTTTGTTTCAGCATGGCCATCATAAGCAGGCTGCAGCTCACTTGGCCTATTTAAGCATTAGTGATGGAAGAAATGGAACAAATGGAAACTCTTTAATGGAGGCGAAAGTTTAAAAGCATGAATTGAGTGCAACTTTCGGATGGATTTATCCCTGCTTTTCATCCTCTGGGGTCCTGGGGATTGGTATTATGTCATCGAGCAGATGAAAAGTATATGCGGCGGGGTGAGGATGGAGATTCCAGAATTGGTATGATAGTTATCGTACAAAAGTATGTTGGGGTGCATTGTCGTCCCGTGTTTGACGGCTTCATTATTCGGCCTAATTTTGGGTTTGCAATGCGGCAACGCCTATAATAGATCTATGTTCATGTTGTATGATGAAATTGATAATGATAAACATGGAGTGTAGAGTATAGGAATTGTTGTATAATCTCAGGGGTAAATGAATGTATGAATGCATATCCTTCCTATTTGTGGACTGTACCGATAGTCGCGCGATAGAAGGAGGAAAGGAAGACGCGCGCGGCGAATATCGTTGTAATTGCGATTGAGCGTTGGTAAAAAGTCAAGTTATCTATCCAAATTTCGTGACTAATAAGAATCCAGATTACTAGGCACCCAGCCATCATCAACAAAATATTGTTCAGATTGTATCAATCACCTACATATAATACATCTGTCACGACTTTGTCCAACAATTCAATGGAAGTATCTCTCTCCATCAGAACCCGCCTCCCAAAATCTCATACTCGTTTGTTCAGCTATTCTCACACCCCATGCATTATCTAGTAACAAAGTGGGCGTGCAGACAAAGCTAATTTCACCCCTGCAAAAACAAAAGAGCCACACCCCATCATTTCATTCGACATTCCCATCCAAATCTTGACCCCGATTTGCTTCATTTCTCCAGTTGCTCGGCGATGATCTGATGTCCATCTTTTTCTCATCTCCAGCTGCCTTCAATGGGGAGGACGTATGTTGTGGATCAGCATCATTTCTCTTAGTCGGGGGCTGAAAGATATGACCCAACACTTTATCAACAAACTTCTTTAGTACTCTATTGCCTGATTGACTTGATAGACAGCGTAGATCGCTGTGTGAGAGGGATCAGCGCAAATAACGTCCAGTGGATGAGTTGTCTTCTTCTTTGATAGCTCGAAACATGGGAAGGGATGTTTTAAATTTGTGTGATGTTCCTAGGTAGAATTAGATCTCCAAGATAGCTTCTCATCAGGGATCAGGAATTCTTGACATTCAATCATAAGATATCTGATCATCATATTCTACCGCAGAATTGGCTTTTTTCGTGTTTTTGAAAGTGATACTCGGCCTCGATATCAGAATTTGCTGTTATGCCAAGGTTTTCACTGTTCATATTGAGGCGCTCAACTGATTGTATTCATCAACGTGTTCAGATTGACACGGACGTTAAACGAAGCATAAGAAAGAGGGTACAGTGACAAAGGAGTGATTAACATTTAAATAAAAGAAAAAGCAAGATCATAAGATTCTAATCTCCTATTTCCTCCTCTGGAATAATTCCAAAATCTCCTCGTTTCCCATTGCAGCTGCAATGTCTAACGCCGTTCTCCCCTTCGAGTCTTCATCTAGCACCTCACATCCATACTTCTTTGCTAACGCTTCAAACAAATCTGCTCTTGCTTTTTTTCGTTCTTCGCGATATTCTGGAAGTGCATGCCTGACAGGTTTGTTTGCCGCCAAAAAATGTAGAGCCCCTTGTCCTTCGTTGTTTGTAGCCTTGAAGTCCGCACCATGCTCTTCATACCACGGTAAATGAAATTGGCCCCCTCCACCAGCTATATATACCAGTAAAGATGTCATGCCCGCATCATTCCGCGCGTCGATAAACCCCCCTAAAGAGAGAAATTGTTCCATGACTCGGAAAGAATCGTCCGGCTTGTTGTAAGGACGTCTGCGGGCTAGATGGTGTAACGCAGTATTGAATTCGGGATCTGGCTCCAGAAGATCAGCGCCTCCGTCGTTTACGAAGATGTCGACCATATCAGTGAGTGATGTAGGCATAGAATCAGATGATAAAACACGATGGAGGGGAGAATACCCCGCATTATCTTTTTGGGTAAAGAGAGAGCGAACACCTGGAATGGAAAGAAATAATGGTGCTGTTTCGGAGGTCCATCTGGAGAGTAGATAAAAGATTATGTGAAGCCCTTTATTATCAACTGCCAGGTAGTTGAGAGAGGGGCGATGGGTTGCCGAGCTTACTAGGTGTAAATAGGGCGGTACGTATGGTGGTTGTGACTTTTCGAGTTTAGAAGGTAAAACATGTGGGTGTAGACCTTCCCTCTTAGTAGAGTTAGAAATAGCACATAAGAGAGCTGTTCGACCATATTTATCCCTAGTATTCATATCTATTCCTGGCCTTTCAAAAAGTGGCCGGAGGGTTTTGGACGTGGCATTTGCGAAAAGATAGTGTAAAATGCTTTCCCCCTCTTCGACAGCCAAATCAACTCTAGCACCATGATCCAGCAGAAATTGTATCATCTCTGCAGCTATAGAAGAAGAATATGCTTTAGGACCCTTTGGAAATGCTGCCACTATGATTGGATATTTCCTAGCTACATTGACTGTCGCATACTGAGATCGGTAACTAGAGTCTGTTGAGTTGTCCGGCATGTTAGGATCAACTCCGTTTTGGAGGTACAGCTGAAGAGTTCTCACATCTCCGGGCTCTATGGCTGATATGAGAACGCTTTTTGTTCCTCTATTAACGTCTGCCCCGTATTTTAGTAATATTCTAATGGTCTCTTCATCGCAAGCGGCCTTATTGAGAGCTGTGAGACCTTCCGGATTCACTTTGTTGGGATCAGCTCCCAGTTTAAGGAGCGCCTCACAACATTGAGTGCTGAAGAGATTTCTCCTTGATGCTGAACCGTTTCCAGTGTAAGTACTTGCAATTTCTAGGGGAGTACGGCCCTTCGAATCCAAGATATCTAATTTGGCACCTAGAAGTATCTTAGTATTTCCAATCAAGACTTTTCCATACTTTTAGTTGATGAGATGAAAATATGCATCGAAGTAAAGTGCTCATTCCAAGAGTATGACACGAACTCCGATTCTCTATCCCTGGCCCCTTTTTCCAAAGATGATACCAGGGTTCTGAGGTGAATCAAAAAGGAAGCTTACCGTGTTCACCCAAGTATTGAATAGCCTCAACTTGCCACCAGAATTCTCCTTTCGCTAAGACATGAAGTGCTGTTTTTACTTGAATTAATTCTTCAGTCATTTCAACATCACTTCTTTTTCCTTTCACATGATGATACGCGTTTACATTCACTTGACCTTCTTCAATTAGAAGTTTGACCATATCCATGTTCCAGACCGGCCGCTCACAGGCGACTTGTAATAGTGGTCGAATAATGCTCCAACCATTGACAAAAGTGTCGGCAATATTACCGGTATAGTGCGGGTCATCGAAGAGTTTTGCCTTGAAAGTTATTAGTCTTCGAAACATCATGTTCTAATCATTTTCTCTATTGGATAATGTGACAAGTAGACTCGAGGTAAACTTTGGTAAAAGAAGTTGAAACAATAGTCTGGGAGGTAAGGTATGAAAAGAGGACCATCAAAAATCGAACCAAGGAGATTTGAACACAACAGTCTATGGAAATGAGTGAATATGGATATAGAAAATAGCCTTGAATGGATAGTAGCACTTATTTTGCCATACAATTCCAAGCATTCGGTATCCGAGAGCTTCACATTGTTCCCCGATGTCAAACTGACAACCAAGCAGAGGAATTGGGAGGAAATTAAATCAAGGATGAAAGCTCCCATCTTCGAAATAAATAAAGAGGAATAGGGGCAATAGTCAATGAAATAAGTATCTGTACACTGGAAATTATCTTGCTCATGAATTCTGTTAGTCCATAGTGCGCGAATTGAGTGATTAGCGGTCCCAGATTGCTCATCCACGCAGGGTTATTCGCTCGTGTAAAGTCAATGTCTCTCAGGACCAGCTGTTTCATCGTTGCTTCATCTAATTCACAGACCTTGCATTTTATGAAGTCTATATCTTCGTGGCTGCAATCATCTAGTGCTTTTTCAATAGTTATAATTTGTGCCATGAGTCGATTCTCGGCAAAAATCTTACTTCTTAAAGACTCTTCGCCCCTAATGGCATATACTAGCTCCGCGCATTTTGCATCGAGTGCCGGAATAAAAGCACTTTCAGTATTCGCTCCAGCTTTTATAAGCATTTGCGCAATGATACCAATACGGCACGTAATATGTTGTGTTGCCTTATCCAGTTTAGATTCAGACCCCATGGTCCTGGAATGGCTTGAGAGAACTCTGAAAGGATCCTGAATGTTGGGTTCAGTGAGCTCTCCCTTTTGTAGTAATTTCCATATCCTATCTTCATCGAGGAACATGGTGCATGCCGTTAGCGGAGTTATGCCCGACGTTTCTTGCCTGGTCTTCCTTTCGATGTCAGCACCAGTTGAGATTAAAATACTAACGGATTCAGGTCTACCTGATATACAGGCGAAGTGAAGAGGTGTCATGCTATCAGAGTCTTGGGCGTTGATATCTATGGTAGAACCAGTTCTTTGAGCATAGTTGAGCAACATTGATAAAACACCACACTACCGTCCGCGAGCAGCGCAATGAAACGGCGTGCGCCGATTGAAAGACTGGGCATTCAATTCGGCGCCAGCCATTATCAGAACAAAGACTGAATATTCGGAAGTAGCACATGCATAGTGAAGAGGCGTATACCCATCTACATCATTCGCATTTACGTCGAATTTAGGGCATAGCCGACAAATGACTGATACAAAAGTTCGTTTGCCGTCTATACTCAGAACATTGTAGGGGTTACCATGGAAGGTTCCCATAATATGTGCCGCAGTCTGTTGTCGATGGTTTTTTGCATCTACTGAGACCCCTTTCTCATGCAGGTATTCAATCAAGGCGATGTCCCTTGGATCTCCGTTGAAACGTGCTGCTACTTCATGGAACAAAGTGTTTCCATTCGTGCTATCGATCCAGTTGAGATCTGCTCCGTGGTTCACGAGTAGCTTAAGAAGCCCAACAGAGTTGCGAGAGTGACAATCCAAATGCAACACTGTTTTGCCCTACCAGGTTCTAGCAGAGATAGAAGCCTTCTTCGGATGACTGAAAAGCACTTCTACCATCTCCAGATCTTTATCTTGACATTCAGCAATGGATTTGAGTAGGACTGACCTCCCTTTGCAGTCACGTTTTTCTAGATTCATACCAGTGTCGATTAAAGTGCTTATCAGCCCTGAATCTACAGACCGATACACATTGTGCAAACATGTTTCGCCAAGATTGTTTTGGATATTGGTATCAGGTGAAAGGCTCAAAATAGCTGGGATCAGATCACCTGATTGGATTAATGAAGATCTGCAAACACGATGCAGGGTTGTATCTCCGTTGATATCTTGAACATTGATATCAGCACCATGATTGACAAGCAATTCAATGAGCTCGGCTGGCTTATGTCTGTTGTCCACCACACTAGCATCACATTAGTCCCGGATAAAATATGAATAAGCTCTCAATTATGAGTGTTTTCATATAAAAAATCTCGAAATCCAAAATCTTTGGATTGGATAACAAATCCCGGGCCGAGATGATGGAACAAAATTCATTCTGTTAATACTGAACAGTAGATTCAAGCTAAAATCATGACCCAGATCAGAAGTAAGGAAAAGAGAATATTTCGTGCTTACCAATGTAACGAAGTTACTCCGTCCGAGATTCGAGCTTGATTAGGGTTTGCTCCGAAGGCCAAAAGTTGTGTGGCAAGGTTAGTCGACGAGAGCTCTTCGCAAGCTCGGTGAAGTAAAGTATCGTCATTATAGTTCTTGGTGCACTATGATAGAGTAAATAAATGCCTGTAATTAACTACAGCGAAGATCAAGTTTCATCGCATGTCAAGAAGTGAATAGGGATTTTGGGAGGATAAAAGAAAATGAATTGAAAGGTGTAACGAAGAAGGAATTATCAAAGAACTGTTTCTGCCTACTGGATCAGCACCAGCTGAGAGCAAAAGTTCCAGAGCAATTTGAAAATATCTATGAATTTTGGGTGAAACTGTGAGTAGCAGCGGAGTGTCGCCGTTGCTATCTCGGGCTTCAAGATCAGCACCTGCCAACAAAAGCATATCTAAGATCTCCTTCGCAGCAGCTCGATTATGTTGGTTGATCGTAGTCATAGCAATATTATGGAGTGGCGTTCTATCTCCCGGTGCTGGTGAATTTATACTATTGTTGGTATCAACTTGGTTGATAAGTGTAAGTACTTAGTTCTATGATGGTTGTATTGTTCTTGATCATTATTATCTATGGGAAGCTAGTACTTGATATAGGGAAGCGCTAGCGCGACGCTAGCTAATACAGTACCCTCTTTGATCACATGATCGATGTCCCGACAACTATACATGGTGGGACGCGCTGAGCCAAGATCCGTCAAGTGATCACTACCTAGACTTGTGATCCCTCCTTTCTCGATTATTACCTTTACAGATATTGGTTCAAGGGAACTCACCGCTACCATTAAGGCAGCCTGGCCTCTTGTAAAGCCCATGCCACTATACTCTATGGGAGCTTTTGCGTTGGGAGAAACACCTGTTTTTTCTAAGAGAGTGGTAACTAAAATATGATGTCCACGATGAGCTGCTCGTAGTAAAGCCTCTTCAAGTTCTTTTGTCTCGCAATACGGAATCATCTCAATTATTGTTTCAACATGACCGGCATCACTGGCGAACATTAGTGGGTGTTATATGGCCTTAGGTGCTGTATTTCCACAACGTCTTGACGTATCCGTCCGAGTCGTAAAGGGGGACACACCGGTGGGAGGTCAGTAAAAGAAGAAAAGACAAAATGTGAAGGCCAAAGTGCCCAATAATCGGGACTGAAAGGTAAGATAGGGATGTTTGCAATCTTCAAGAAGCTCTAGTAATCACAACTTGATATACAGGAGCTATTCGACATCACAAACGACATCAAGGACTAAAATGCTTCCACTTTCGAAGCATAGTCCATGTTTTTGGGTAACATGTTTAGAAAAGTTAACATACCAGCGCCAAGCAGGAGCTTAACCACTCCTGCATGGTTACTTGAGGCTGCGACATGGATAGGCTTCGGTCCATCGTGTCCGCCGATATTTGGATTAGCGCCAACATCTAGCAATCTACTTACAATTTCGGTATGACCTCCTTTAGCCGCCCAAAACAAAGGAGTGTTTCCAGTACCATCTCGTATCTCAACATCTGCGCCATTTTTCAACAGTCTCTGTGACCAACGGCCTAGCCCGAAACTAGAAGCTATATGAATATGGGAGGTCATTCCTTATGTTGGAGCTTGACCAGGACTAAATTGAAGCCAGTAACGTAACGCATCGGGGGAGTTTCTCAACTTGTCGGCCAACCATGACCAAGCTTGAAATGCCTGGCTATTAAGATACAGAACTCTTCCAGTGTCTCATAGAAATTTGTATCTTCATAGTCGTACGCTTTGGCATGATAAGTCCAGTTCTTTGCAGCATACTCAACAAGCGGATATTGTACGAACAATCGAGCAAAGTCAAATCTTTGTCGCATGGATTGTTCCACGTTACCTGCACCATTTTTCGCATTACCTGGCATCGGGTATGAGTAAAATGCCCCCCCTTGAAGTTTGCTGATACATAAAAGCGCAATCTCGCGGTGGGCAATTTTCGGATCGATGACAGGGAATTGAGGAACGTTTGACAATTTACGTATAGTTCGGTCTGCATCCAAAAGAAATTCTGTAAAAGAGTAGTGCAAAATTTGCACAACCCCATCTTCCATGATCTCGAGAAGTGGGCCAAAACCAAACCTGACAATGTCTTTACTGTCTCTGTCACTTTTGGAAAGGTGATGATTGTCTTCAATAGCCTTGACAATTTCTATCAGGCGCATGGGTCGTGCCGACTGAGTAACTAGTTGTAAAATGATGATTTGTGTATCCTGATGGATGTTTGTAAGTGAAGCATGATCGATAAGTGCCCTGTTATACATCTCTTCAAGACCAACGGGCAATTTAACTATCATCTCTCGTATGAAAACCTCATTTTGTTCTTTTTTCTTGATGGATTGACTGATTTGATCAAGCATAAGGCGAGCATACAAGAAAAGGCCTTCAGATCGCTCACATACAGTGCTCTGAATAAAACTTTGCATGTTCTCGCTGATGCCGTCCTCAGCAAATTGCTTTACGCGCTGACGAACAAAAACAGATATATCACGTTTCACAAGTTCCTCCTTGAGACTGACGTGAATAACTTGGGGATCTTTAAATGCCCGCTGGAGATATTGTTTTGGTCGACTGGTCAATAGAACTTTGACTTGAGCGGGCCTAAATGATCCCAATGCGTTAAGCTGAGAGAGGAATTTCTCGTCCATATTCATCTCATCTAATGCATCAGCGATACAATACACTCGTTTGAGCATTCTCAGACCAGTCAAAAGATGTTTCCACAAATGTGCTGTAGTAATACTTTCTAGGCTCTGTCCATTTGTCACATGCTCAAACAGGTTCAATTGCAAGGCTTCGCTGAAGGGCAAAAGCTGGCACATCCAATCTCGCAAAAGACCACGAGAAGTGCGATTTGTTTCAATAATTTGCCTGAAGAAAAAGAAGAGAACAGGAACGGATTCGTTGGCCGAAAGCGATTGAACCATGGAGGCTGCAAGGACACTCTTGCCCGCACCCGGAACTGCCTTGATCCAAATAGACCCATGGTCAGCAGATGAATGCCATTGCTCAAATTGTGAAGTCTCTTGAATCCATTCCCCTGTATTGCGAGCTTTAGATGAAGCATGGCGATTGAATTCGCTGGATGATGCTAGGTAATCTGTGGGGTTCAGCCATTCCCTGATCTTCTCGAGATCTGGTTTTTCATCCACAAGCATTTGTTTGATAACGTCTTCGGATTCAACCATTTCGAAATCATCAGAACTCATATCGGACATCATGATGATGAAAAAAAAACCTGTGTTTTTTGATCGTTGATTGATAGAAATGAATCGTGAATGATTCCGTGAGGATGAAGATGGTGGGGATTCTTATTTAGGCAACAGCAACATGCATCTCCATCCGTGGCACAGCGATAAGCGAGATGGCATACGTGTACGCGCGGACGAGTATACCTTCTGTTTGAATGTCTGCGATGAATGTTTATCATTAAGGATAAAATATTCAACTTTTGGAATAACAAATAAGCTGAGATTGATTTTTCTCGGTTCTGAATAGTTTCGTACTCGAATAAAATGTGGAGCACTTGATGGGCAAGATATTAGACATCAATTCTGAGACACCCCTTTCGCTTATATGAATAAGCAGGAATGAGAGGATGTGAAGGTCTACTTCAATAGAAATATAACTGAGGCTATTGCTATAGACGTGATCGGCTGAACTCAATCCAAAAGAAACCAAGCCCAATCTCATCAAAGGGGTTGGGAGTCGAACAACATGATCACAATTCAATTATTGCAAGACTCAAAGGAAAGTACAACCGCCTTATTTATCGTGGCTGGAAGTCTTTAGACTACCCTTCTGGCAATTTTCAAAAACATACGTGTATGTCAGGGCTCCGTACCGAACATTATGATAGCATTTTACCAGGACGAATCGACGCTCCAAAGAAACTTAATCTTCAACAGAAGATAGGATCGAACTCTGCGAGACGGCTGCTTTCTTGATTTCATATCCTCTTTTCATATAATTTGGATTGCGGTTACGTCTCTTGGAGATGACATGCGCAAACGTATCGGGACTGCTCCGAAAAGTACTCCAAAGCATCTTCGATCATATCAATTCACAACACATTAGAAACACTCAAATACATATCAGAATTCCGCTGCAGATCTTCAAATTCAACTTTGACTGTCATAGGTAATCACATTGTGTTTCGAAGACGGTGGCAAATTATTCCCACAAGGTTGTCCTAAGTAGCATGGTCAGGATTTTTGTTCTCATTTGTATACTATCCGCTAATGGAGCAGTCCCAACGAGATTTCTTTGTAGACACACGGAACACTTTTTGTTATAGAGGCAACTATGTAGTATCTTTAGCACAACAGTCCGATCGACCCTACGACCTACCTCTACGAGTGCCAAAACTACCAAGCAACTATATGAGAATGATCTTCCAAGCCTCAACAAACACCGAGCAATTTGCGCATGTACGAAGTAAGATAAGCCAGAAGGTGTGCCACGGAATCTTTCATCAATGTAACAGGCACAGAGGATAGTAATCCTACATTCTGCAAATTACAGTCAGCCGATCGCCAGAGATGGCATTCAATCCTTGCGCAGAATCCATGTGCAATCTGCAAAGCTATCCGAGACGAAGTATATGGAGGCCGTACAGTGATGGTAAAATCGCGAGTGTGGATTGAACAAGAGAAGTATTCGATATTGATTCAAGGGACAACTTGGCTGAGAACAGTTGATTACTCCAGATAAATAAAATGAGGTAGATTTAGAGTCTCGAAGGATAGGCAGATAGAACAAAGTAAAAGGACACAAGGACAATCGACAAATCGTATTTATGGATTTAGCATCCCACGGAATAGATTCTACATATTTATGAGCGATAGATCTTTACAAGTTGGAGTTGATATGGAGAAATAAATGAATTCTGGACTGGCAGATGTTTAGGAAGACATGAGAACGAATCTACTGAAGTTCTAGGGCAGCATAGCCTTGACGCCACAAGATAAATTTGAACAGAGACTCATCTCACACTTAAGACCCTTAATTTTAAAGAGAGAATCTTCAAGTATCTCATTTAAAAGTTTGCGTGAATTTCTGAACATGGTCTACCTCTCCCAAACATCACCACATAGCTGATGTAGGATACTTACAAGTATAGAACCACCAAAATTCGGATTACACAAGTTATTTACAGCATGTTAGGTGGACATAAGACACCTTATTGCTATTTGACGGTCTCATTCATAATGCTATCATAACTTGGAGAATCATTCAGTCTTGCTATAGGAATGCATCTCGATACCAGTGCGGTCTTCAAGACTACTACAGGGGACAGGAGATAGGAGACGACATGGAAATTCTTGCAAACTCTTCGGCATGTGTAACGATCACTGTTGGAGAATCATAGTATGTCTTCGCATGTTAACTTATGACGTATACAAAGTCCATGTCTCAGAAAGTCCATACAAGAACACACATCCAGTCTCATACTTTATCTAGCGGTCTCTGTTTCGGAGAATGCAATGATGGTACGTAACAGAATTCTCAATGGGCCCGACTGTAGTCAAACGATGAATCTAGTTCAGAACATTCAACCGCTTCCCAATATCAAATAACTCGGAATAACGTAATCTATGGACTCGATGGTGGTCTCTAGCTACAACTCTAAAGTGGCCTGCGATCGAGCCTATGGAAAAAACTACATGATAGCCTTTTTTTTCTCGGTAGCAAATTAGACTGTGACACTAGACTTGGGCGGACCCAAAGTTGCGAGACCTCGGCGTCGCCACCTTATTATCACTACTTCGCCGATAGAATTTACCTATTTGCCAAGCAAAAATGTATGATTTTCCGGGCTATTATATCCGATTCAACGCAGCTAGATAAGTGGTTCCCTTCTCTCGTCCCGCCCGAGTACACGGATAGATCATAGGACGAAAGATCACCACTCTATCCCGGGATAAATTACTGAATTTTCAAATGATTCAAATCCATCGAACCTCTATATTAGCGTCCCACAACAATTACATTCAGTTTAGAGGGGACTCATTGTCTTTTCTAGTACCATTCTTATTGATTTCTTCCATTATCGAAGCTATTCTATCTTCATCCTTCCGGTATGTTTACCATACTAGCGCAATGCAAACGGCACGTCATGTGTCAATCAATGATGTACCAGCCGCACTTGGAAAAATTATAAGCTAACGTCCTATTAGACAATTCGGAGGAAGCTAAACGACTTGAAATCTGAAACAATCAAAACTGATACACCTTTCTGGGAATTTCCCGCCGAGAAAGTAAGCATATGATCTAGGCCATCTCATTGAGGGAAGAGCTGTTCGAAAAGGGGGTTTCAACGCAATTGCCGAATCACTTGAAATATCACAGAAGTGGAAAATTGAAACTCCGCATTATTCAGCAAAAAAATGAGAGAAGACGTTGGAAGTCATTTTTAAAAATTCATGCTAATTGAAAGAGCTACGGTGCGGTGCGTTGCGTTGCGTGAGAAGCTGCCTAGAATGGTGATCAATATTTGTTTCTATCTATACCTAGGTAGTAACGGAAGTACGGAACTGCAACTCAGTCAAGCAAGTTCCGCTCTTCCTCAGACTGTGATAAAAGTGCGATTATGAACTACGTCACTCTACTTTGAAAATTTATCACATTCTGTTTGTGCGTTCAAGTTTGGGAAAAAGAGGCGACGGCAGAACGGACAGCGTGGCCTGAACCACAACGGGCACTGCACATTTTTTCAAAGAGAATGCTGGATTCAAATAATATGATAGATTAACACAATGATTAGTTCTCAATAAAACCTCTTCTTCAAGCATTAGAGCAAGATAATGGTGTGAGGGATGTTGGTAGTAAAGACTAGTTGGGTGCATCACCGCATCCACCCTAGGCAGGTATATACACAAAACCGAATAGCATCTCAACGGTGATCGGAACCACGTTGAGCATCTCGTATGATGGCAGAGAAAGCTAAACACTCTCAACACTGTCCTGATATTATAGGTCCGAGCCTAGATTGAAAACGGATAGGGCATCGTAGATAGTGTAGGCAATAGTATTTCCCGTATTTCGTATACGGGCTAGTTTAGTGGTGCGTATCGATTTTTTTCGAAATATATACATACATAATATTGAATTCAATACCATTGAAGATATTTAATATTATTTAAACTTTTGATATTATTAGCAATATACTAAAGTATTGGAATCAATGTAAAATATACATTCCTATTTATATTAGATAATAAAATTCTATTCCTTATTCCAAATCGAGTTAAGATCCCTTATTTCTAATCTAATTTGATATAGAATGAATAATTTATATTAGATTCTAGTATTTCAGTATATTACTAGTATTCTTTAGATATATAAATATATACAAAAATGGTATAACCTCCTTTCTAAACATACTAGCTACAATATCAATATGTTAATACACGCCACAGTTTTACTGTAGTATACTATTGCCTACACTGATCGTAGATCCAAGGTGCAACTAAGCTAGTCTGTTTTCGGTTTCTCAACATGTATACTTCTTCACGAGATACTAGTCGGTCTCTCTTCTGGCACTCAGTCTTTAGTTAAAGTTCCAAGGAGAAAAAAGTTATGATACTAGTTAAATGTGTGGCACAGCTTCTCTACTATTGAAGCTCCAAGATGCTGGCAAAGTAGCATTCAATAACATAACTTTAGAGCGAGACTAGGTGAAGCATTATCTTCTCGTTGCGCATCGGATCACTCCTTGAGTCAAGGTTCTATGAAGAAACTGCTGGAGAAGAAAAGAAGATAGGGTGTCATGCAAATAGCGTATAAGCAAATGAATTCATGAAATAGAAATCCTATTCAAATTCGAAGGATAATACCAATTCCCCAACTACTAACCAACACTTTCTGCACTGCACCGCGCTGCATAGCACATGCCGTGCCTAAGTATGAGATACCAACCTGCTCAAAATCTCATTACCTTGACTACCGTAGGTTTTCTGCAATACTCATATTTACTTCCCACACACAGGTATGGGAAAGAAGTGAAAACAAATTGTCAAGCTAAATGAACAACATAACAAATGAATCAAGGAACCAATCTTTAGACGATGTCAAAGTACAGGGCGTTCGTATACGTTATTAGAAAAACACACTGGTGCAAAACTACGATGTAAGATTCAATTGAAGACACCAGCGGACTTCGCCCTCTTTTTCCACCCATTTTCTGACCAAATCCAACAGTAAATACGAAGCTTATCATCATTATGTCTTTCCGCTTCAGCCTCGAGATACGGGAAATGAGTCTTCTGTCTAGATATATTGCTAGAGTAAGCTCTATCATGTGATGTGATGAGATGTGATACACTTACTGTGTCCTTATGACCCAATCCAAGACTCACCGCTCACGCAAGGTTGGTATACAGCGTAAGCAATGAAATGAAGGCCAATGTACCCTTGTATAGATTACTCTCCCTTGTGCACCTTAAAATCTTTATCACCCACTCCATGGAGCTTTTCCCCAGTTCGCTTTGTTGTTAAGCCTTATTGTCATATCGAAGGAGTTCAATCGTCACCTATGCGAATCAACTCAAATGAAAGTAAAGTATAAATCATGGAATTTATTATAAATTATTGTATCTTCAGACTTCTAACAGTTTTTGTTGTTTCTTTCTTGATCTTTTCTTTGTATCACATATCAAACTGTTCAACGACCCCTCGCTCTAGAACATTTCATATAACCGAGGGAAACAATACACACACGCGGCACATGAAAAATCCCTCTTCGCAGCGTGGCAATAAGATCCGACGAAACCCTGCCCCCACCAACCCGACCGACCGTTGGTAATTTAATCTCATGATCAGATTTCCTCATTATTTTTGCTCCGCTCTTGTCCGTGTTTAAGCTGCTTGACAGATTCTGGTGATTGAAGAAATGTGAGGTGTCATATTCGGGATACCCTGTCGTTCGGTTCATTGTCCGAGACCGTTCTGTAATCGGCAGGGTATGAATAGGGCATCATACCGACGTGGTTGGACTCCGAGGGCTGTGTTTGATTGAATCGCATTGTAATGTTAACCTATTCTCTGATCGGCGAATGTACATGGACTCAGTTTGTGGTTAATGCAATAGCGAGTCAGAATGTGATGTATCTCTAGAAACATCATTCGCCCACATAATTTTTCTACTGGAACGATCAATAGACTTGCATACACTACTTTGGACTGGAACGTCAATGCCCATCATCATTTCTCATTCTTATCTGGGACTCATCCGTGTGCACCCAAAAACATCCCAGTTCGCTAACCAAGCACTTGCTCGCCTGTTCCCTCCCGCAATTAATTCCCGCCCGCCATGGGGATATGTCAATGCAACGCCAGATAGCATGCTTCGCATGCTATCATACTATCTACTTATCAGATTCAATATCTCGCATCTTCATCTCCTGGCTCATACAATAGGATAAAACAAAATACCCGGTCCTTATCCAGTGCAAGTGGATAATATACTCGGTAAAAGCTGCTTCATATCTTCATCATCAGATGATGAAATTATTTACCAAAATATGCAAGTACATTCAAGTATGAGCATGGTATTCAGCTGGGAAGGTAATGTGCAGACCTGGAGCACGTATGCCGTTCAATCTTTATAAGGTTTTTGCTGCATACATAATGTCGACTCGTGCGGGAATATGACTCTTGAATTGGGCGCAACACTCGGTTCTAATTTGTTGAGAAACGTACTCCAAATGTTTTTCTGACGACGATAAAGTAAGATGGTGGATGAGGCGAATAGAAAATGATACAAGAAACGACTAGATTGCCCAAACTAAGTCATGAATGAAACCAGTATTGGGCGCACCGAGCGTGGAATTGATTTAAATGTATTCCAAATAATAGTTTGATTGTGCACTCCATGAATATTTGACCCCATAAAGTCCATGGATTTGAATCCATCCATACAGAACCAGACAGGTAGATTGACGCCCCTACTGACACTTCCTAGCCATGTATCATCGCCCGAAATGCATCATTTCAATTAAAGTAGCCGAAAGAGCCGAAAGGGATATCAATGTGACACAGGAGTTTGCAGAAACAAATAACACCTTCTGTAATATTCACGTTCCTTTGGGCTTTGGAAAATTGCTGAAGAGCACATGAACCGGTAGTGCTTACTATTTGGGATATTCGTACAGGTATCTATAGGAGTATGGTAGCATTGTGTATTGGTTTCGTAGGGCTTGTGCTGTGGGAACGAGGCACAAGAATTAGGCTGGTATATAGAAATGATGAAAGTACGGAGTTCCGAACCAACTAGGTATTCATGACGAATATCTATCTTCCTTGAAAGAAGGTTGGGTTGTTCCAAGTGAGAGTGTGTGTATGCGATAAATCGTTTCGGATAATTCTTGACCTGGATAATTATCGGACTGTTGACATTCGATTTAGATTGAGGTACTGGGTACTGTATGATACAACAAAAATATTTCAGCGGTGTGCAAAGCATTCCGTAGATTATTGTTTTGACCCCTCAATTCCTCGATTCATCAATTCATCGGACGAAATATTCCAATCAATCATGGCTTTTTGTACGTCAACGACAGGGAAAACCTTGGATTAATTCAATGTTAGCAGTAGACGATGCGTTAATCGCACATCCAATCTGGATAGAGAAATGAACAATTGAGAATTAAACCTTCCAAAAGGGGAAGACGTGAGCAAATTGCCTCATGAGAAAGTTGGGGGGTGGTTGTACGGAGTACAGAAATGATTGTTTAATCGAGGCAACACAATGCAATGGCAAGACTTGGTTGGATTAATCGTGGATATTAATATACAAGCAAACCCTTGAAAGAAACGATGGATTAGTTTGCTCGGCCCGCTGCAGGACGGTTTTCGCCTTTTTTTTCTGGACTACTCCATAGTATGGTCCAGGAGCAAATCTTGTCAATATATCGGCGATTAAGCCTATATAGGTATAAATGATAAGACTCGCTAGATCATTTCATATATTCCCTTGTTCTTAGCTCCCTTACCAAGTGCCACTCAGTTGGCAACTTATCAGCATGGTTCCCCCGGTATGTTCCTTGTCGATCTTTCAGAGACTTTTCTACGGACTACTTAGCTGAGTATAGTGTCAGATGTGGAGTGGAGGAGTATTTCATCTTTTTTTCTATCTCTGAACCTCTCATTGCTACCTTTATTCTGAATAGACGATTGGTGAAAGGTATGCGAGTAGAATCTGGCAGGTCTGATGCTGATTGTATCTAGCGACATTCCCCCTGGCAACATGAAAAGGTGTAGGAGTAGGGGTTTTTATTGATTTCTTTGCATATATAGATACATATAGGCGAAATTAGCTTTCGTTGAAGGGAACACATAATTGGAAGACGAGAAAAATGCAGCCAGTACAGGCAGGTAGGGTCAGCACGGCTCAATCTGACACTCTGCTTTGCGACCCATAGCAAAAACAAATGAATTTTTTAATTCGCTGCCTGCAACGCTACCATGATCCATGCAAATATGCAACGCGAGGGTGACCTCGTTCCGCGCCGCTTTCGCGGGCGGGAATGCACCATCTAGAAACAAGACTAACGGGTGCCCGCATGAACAGAAAGTAATGTGACCGTCAGATGTAGTTAGCGGTGAAGGGATCAAACCAATGATAGAAGATAGATGGAGGGTGGAGTCAGTAGAGTAAGAATCAAGAACGAACAAGAACGGAAAACGCTTTGATGGTCAATGCAAGATGTGTTGTTGATAGTGGGGTGCCGCGTGCGAGAGGCACAGGGTCAAAATGATAGATGTTTGGCTCGTTCGAAAATGACAATTAAGAATTGTAGCCTGATAGGTTACGTAGATACGACAGCTATTCATGTTTGCTCGTTATAATTGGGCAAGTAGAAAGGGAGAATAATGGATTCGTCAGATGTGGAATGAGGACCGGACAACTCGGCAAAATTCAAGGATTTTAGAGAGTTCATTGCTCGTGTCCCGAATGTATGGTCATCCTTGGATCTTAGGAGACTGATCCGGGGTTTGAGCCGATATTGTTGTTCATCGGTCTCGCGTAAAACTTGGCGTATTCATGTATGGAGTTAGTTTTCCTAACAATGCGTGGATGGAATGAATCTGCTTTGTTATGTGGCTTAGCCAAACAATTTTCCCGTCTGATGTTGGATTCTAAATGGATTAGTTCAAGTCTCGACTCTCTCACCTGAGTAAATCTCCGCATTAAATTCCCCAAACAAGTTATTGACGTCGGCATTGTCATGTTGTCATGCGTCATTACCACCAAAATAATAATTCTAGTCTTAATGCATTACATCTTTTGAGTTCGCCGACCTAGATGTCTTTAGTAATCGTTTGTTCGCAAATCAGTCTTTCAAATTGACAGAAATACCACTTTGAGCTGTCCCGGTGACCTTTTTTCGATGAGAAGGAATGTTTGAGAATTCGCTTAGAATATCTTTAAAACTGTCAAGGAACAAATAGAAGGTATGGAACAACACTCTTTTCCCCCTTTTCATCGTCAACAGCGGCTACTTACATATTTTCACGAAAACGTGATTTGGAAATTCCATGAACCAGGGGTTTGGGTGATCACATCTCGGGTCGTTCCATAGGTATGAAGCCGACCCGGGGCTGAAAGTATTGTACCACAAACAACGATGGAGCATATTCTTTAATTTATGTTACACGATGCTGATTCCCCCTACAAGACAATTAAGCTTACCATTTGAAATTTTGTCAATTGTTATTGAGGCTCCATATAAATAAAGAAGCGACACAATAAATCACTCAAATAGAACCATACATTGAAAGTTGATAATAATCACATTTTGATATTTGATAATGTATATATACGATGTATATAGAATTTCAAGCGATGTAACATCGATGATGAATCCAAAGCTTGTAGATGTATCAAATCCACTTTTACTCACAACAATGATTGTTCGAATTGACATTGAATATTGAACAGAGTATATTTTTAGTGTTCTAGTTTTTTCCACCCTTCTTTAGTAAGGTTGGCATTTTGTTGATCTCCGACTCTACCTACCTTCCGATGAAACCTCAACAATAGCCTGATTGAAATTTTTTAATTATTCCAACCATACAAATCTCGAATAATTTCGGACATGTTTCTTCTTTCCCTTCTTTGTCACTTCCCTTTTCTCTCGTCTACGTTGACTTCGTAGGATTATACGACGACGCTTATTATTGACACCTGCAAGACCTTGTGGTTCATTTGGGGGAATTTGGAACGGACCCCTTCATCGCGTACGGTTATTCCCGTCCTCCCGCTGGGCTACAGACGATCCTTTCGTCTGTTCGGCATAGGCTTCATTCCACTGTTTATGACAATTATAAGCTACTGTAAACTCGTTAAGTAAATATCCTGACATACTTCAATCCATGAACATTTTACGGGAGGGTCATGTAATACAAGGGCATAAAGTGACACAAAATAAAATGATAACACGCATCCAGGTGTACCAGAAGGCTGGCATCAGATAAGTTTACCCCCTTGACCGCGTATGCTTTGTCATGATAATGCAATAAGAATCCTGCAAATGTATGAACTGGACGGGCCGTCCAGTTTCTGACAACGGATTGTGGGAATGGTGGCAGTGTGGCATGATCTTGCCGCTTCGTGGTAGCGATCTCGTCTGTTGTAGCCATGAACTAATCATGTTGTGTTTCAATCACAAAGAATGCCACGTTTTTATTCCTTCCATCTGAATCGTTGGGTATTTTTAATGAGCGCCTCGAAATGATTATGAGAATATTCCCTTGGACCACGAGCCCTTGAAGCGCGTAAGTCTAGACTTGGACAAATAATAATACTCAAATGACAGCGCGCGCGTGTCTGAGCGTTTGAAAACGGCGCGGCCCCTCGACAGGAATGTGGGCTAAGAGGTGGTAGCTGCAGGAAGTAGCATATTGCAAAGGCTTTTAAGGTATCTTCATACATGAAATTGTGGAGAGAATCATGCAGTCGATAGAATATGCCATCATACCATTAAATGGAGAAGATATGCACTTTTACCTTTTGGCTTTTCGCCTGAAGGGATATTTCCTTTTTCCCTACTTAGTGTGATCAGCTATGAGAAATATATCCCTTTGCACAACCTCTTCCCAATCACCCAGTAAATACATTCCTGGTGATTAGCATGATATTTAAACCATTGTACACGGTTTGATCGTACATACCTAGTACGCCACGTCTCATCCCGACCCGTTGTCAAACTAAACCCAACGTTGTGAAAGAACATTCGGTCGATTCTACCGAGTCGTACACTTTGTTTGCTTATCACAAAGATCGAGCCAAAAGGCTGAGTTTGTGTTGCTGCGGATGCTTCAGCGGGTACGTCTTCAATAGACCCTTGCATCTCCAACTTTCCCAATACCAGTACTGCAGGTGCAAGAAACGCCTTATTGGCAGGGCTATTGGTTGGATGCAATTCGAAATCTATTCAGGGATTCCACGCCGTCAGACTACTGGGGTCATCAAGTTGGGTCGTGTGCGAGCAAGCAAGTAAACCCAGCCACCATTTCCCCAAAGAATTATTTTCAACTAAACAGAAGAATGCGCCAGAGCCATTCAATTCTTGGGGAAAGAAAAAGCGAATGTTTTGGAGGGAAACGAGGTCAAATTTCGGGGATTTTGTTCCAACAACGCCAGTTGCCAACAACCACCAGCATCATCAACATCGTCATTTCAACAAAAAAGTCAAATCGAATTCAACAAGCCATGCTGAGAAGGGTTTCATATCCACTTAGATAATTACGCTTTCTCCATTCCCACGTTTCCCCGAACAGTCCACATTCTACCCGGTACCCATCCCATCTTATCCCATGCTTCTCATTCCCCTTCCGGCCCCTCCCTGATCTCTTTTTATAACCCTAGTTCTTACTACCCACCAGACCACCTACATTTTAATACAAGACCCATGAGGATTGGTCGCCGCCTGAAGGAAGTGAATTTTTATTCCTAGGAAAATCCCGAGTTGACATATATGTCACTTGGCTTTGAGCTGCGTGTATCGCAACATCGCCTTATCGATATTGTTGTATTCAAAGCCGAGAGTTGTCAAACATACTACCCACAACCTAAAGGACAGCAGCACAACTGAACCAAAACACAACAAATGATAGCAATTTACGAAATCCGAGACACTAGATCTAAGAAGAACAAATTCCATCATCACACGGTTGAAAATTAAATAATTTCGATGATTATATGCTTTGCGCTTGCGACAACTTGATAACAATAGCAATACAAAACACAACACAACACAACAAAACAATCCTTTACGAACGAGGAGGACGATTGAGCCACGCAATTTTCCCTCTAGGTTTTTAGTTTCAACACTTTGGACTTATTTTTTGGGATGGAATATCACATTTTATAATCCTTTTCTTTTGAAATTTTGTACGGAATAGGAGGAATAAACCCGAGGTTTCATTGCTTACCTCGAGACGGAAGCTTTGCTGACAGGACGGTAAGACAAGGCAAGAAGGTTGAATCAGTTTCGCGGCATCGGGATCGGAATTGGTAGCTCTGGTCGGCAAAGCGCGTGGAGAGTAATAATACCAATTCGATCAAAGCAAGGAGGAAGCTAGAGAGTAGAGGAAAGGAATTACCTAGTCAAGGCTCACGGGATACTCTGTCGTCTGTAAGAACACCTTTTGATACCCACCTTGGAACTCTCTCTTCGAACTTCATCATCATCACCGTTCTTTCTTATCATTACTCATCAAGTTCTTTTACTTTTATCCACTTTGCTTAGAGCTCTTTTTCGGTATCAAAGTTTTTTACGGTACCATTGTTCGTCGCTATACATTTCCAGCGATCATTCTTCTCTACGATCTACCTCTTAACTCAATTACCCCTTTCAAGGACGTTGACCATTTTTCACGTCCCACTTCTCTCCCTCACGTTACTTTTCCAACATGGTGCCGGGTAATTCTTCTGATTCCGGTCCCAAGAAAAGTCAAACTGCATTGCTACTCTGAGATTTGAAATTAGTACTTTGGCAGATCCAGAATATACTACCTACCAGACTAGAGCCACACGATTGGCGCCCGACCTCCATTTTCATTTCATTGATAATTACATCACTATATTGAAAAAGCTGAAGTTTCCTCCTTGAGAGTCAGGTTATCTAGTAGTTTAATGAAACCATATCCGAGATACTCCCATTCCTTTCCAAGTTTATAGCACAAATCACATTTAGAGGGAGGGATCGACTCATCAACTTTGTCGCATAGTATTTCATTCCATCGCATGAAAACTCCAAAAGAATTTGAACTCTTGCAACTGTCAAGCTCGGAAAACAAGGCTCTACCCGAATACGTCTTCCTTCACCCGTTAGGAAGTTCATATGGAACTTGTGCCGTTGACCATAGTTCCACACTATATTCAACAATTCACACTAGACAGGCATTGGTTAAGGATACTGCTAAGAGACGATAGTCGCATTGAATCTCAAATTGCGAAGTACCAACGTTATAGTCCTCCTGTACTGCGGAATTTATTACATCTGAAAGCTTTCTAATCATTCTTCCTATACCCTTTTTGACTTAAAAAACGGCAAGCTTTTTGCAGAAAACCAGTATATCAGACTGGATTTCAAGAACCTTCGCAATATCTTGAGACTCAAGCAAAGCCCAGAGTCGTTGGCTGACTAAATAGCGCATTACCGGCGAACTAGTTTAACCACATCTATCCTTTATTCGAATCGATACAACCAGTAACGCGCTATCTCATTAGGTTAGGGGTTCAAGCTCGATACGCCAAGAAGAGAATTTAATCAATCAATCAATAGCGTCACCCGCAAAATTCGAAGCATCGCATCTTATGTGGATGTCTTTGGTTCCTTAGGCTATCTGATCCACCAGCTTTGAACATATATACATATTCGAAGAGCAACGCCGGTAGAAACTAGCCTAACTACGAGGTCGATATTGTGATAGTGTCATATCGATCAGAGTTTTTTCGGCGGGAGGAGTGCAACTCTAGAGAAAAGATATTCATCCTTCAAGTCAAAATTGTCGTCGGGTCGTCTTCGCAACACCAGGAAAGAAAGCCACAAGTACTGTTAGCCGATTTTAACCTTTCTCTCACGGAAGAGCTCAAGGCGGCTACTGAAACCTCTATCGATCTTTTTCGTGCCAAGATTGCAGTTGTGTTCCACCATCATTACAAGTGGGAGATCTCACAGTGTGCCTAGCATTTGTCGACGGATAACGATCGTCTTTAGATCGACAACACACTCACTGTGGCGCATGTGCTGCTAAAGCTCACTGTCGCTATCACTAATTTTTCCGGACTGAGTCATCGGAATTTTGAGTCGAATGCGCTCTTGTCCAAAAAAGTTGAGCGACAATACCTTGCCATCATCATTCATAAAGTTTAACGACAACATTTTCCAACTAATACTGAGAACGACGCCAATACCTACCTGCAATCTCAAAACCTTCGTTCGAAAATCACAGCAATACCACAATATCGATTCATTACTTACCTATCAATTACTTGGTCACCAATTCCAGTTCCGTCATCATCTTACTATCCACCCACGATCATCAATTAATCCTCTCGCTCTTCCTTCTCCTTCGGAGCATTTCGTTACACAGCTGCACGGTCCTAGAATTTGTCAAAATCTCAACTTGTTACAAATTCATCATCTTGAAATCATTGGAGTCGATGTTCAACGATTTCTCGGTATTTATCATTACTATTTTTACACCTCGGTATAGCAATAACGTGTTCACATTCCAAATTGCGGGAAGGGCACGACACGCACACACTAAAAGACGGATACTTCCTGCGTTTGATTTTTTGACAGAAAGGACACGAGTTTCCAAAATTGCTCGAAGAAAGTTGAAATCGCCCGGCACGAATCATATCCTCCGTGCCCCTCAATCTTTCTTTACCCCTCCAACCCAGGAAGTTTAATCTGCAGGGAAACTGCGTTTGAAGATCCCGGTCTCACCATAACGGTCAAGCCAATTTACTTCTCTGAACAGGCCAAGCCAGGTCAACCCCAACGACCCGAGGACAGTCATCGATCCATTTTAAAGGACGAACTATTTCCTAGTAATCCTACGCCATTTTAAAGCTCTTAAATACCTATTTAGGACTAAAGCATCTTTTACCTCGATTGCACTTGGCGTGCTTCAAGAAACTTTGGCTATCAGCTCTGAGATCGAGAATTGCTACCTGATTCAGTCTAACACAACACACACACACACACACGTAACTTACTTACCGGGCCTACCTCACTTACCTGACTTGTTCAATTCGGAGAATAAACTACTAGATATTTGGATAAACTTTATACAGAATTCGTTTTTCTAGTATCATTCCACGACTAAGTGGGGAATTATCTATTTCAGTACTAGCCGTCTTTTACTAGTGAGAAACTCAATCGTCTTTCAGTCTTTCGGGTCGTTCATCCACCAAGTCTACTTACTTACGAAATACTACTTGCCAACTATCGGGATTTCTATCTGGGACTTTAAAAGAACCAGCTTCCCCTCAATTCTGCCCTCTCGACGAAACATATTTTTCACTTCTCCGCTTCCCTCCCCTTTACCGATAGTAATCTTAATTCCTTCAATTCTTCACATCCAAGCAACGATTTGCAGCTGGGCTGTCGCAAAATCATAGATTACATTCTTTAAATAAACTCTTTCGGTATACAACACCAAACTCGTATCGCACAACTCGTATCATACGTATCATAACCCGCCATTGCTTTGGCTCCAAATGTCGAACTATTATACTCATAGCATCACAGCTGCACCATCTCATCAACAAGTCTCTCGAGAAGAAACCGCAAATCATCATCAGTCTGTTCAATCTCCACCAGAGGGGGAGACGATTCATCGTTCACCTCGTTTAGTTCGTTTGACAGGGTTTCCAGAACAAGAGGTTCTAGATCGCTTCTCCAGTATCACAAATACGACAGCTTCACATGCTCCAGAAAGCACTCTGGCACCATTGAACTCGATTCCTACTACTATGTCCACCACCTTTTTATCCAGCCTGGGAGCGGCAGCCAATCCCCGTCATCTTCTAAGCGGCAGGAATCGCTCTCCCCCTCCAGCTGGACAAGACACTGGGGTAACATATACACCAACAAGCGGCGCGAATCATTCCTCCCTTCCAGCTGGACGAGACGCTTCGTTACCACACACACCAACAAGCGCTGGACCAAATCATTCTTCCCGCTCAACGGCTTGGGACAATCCGGTAGCTCATGCAATAGATAGTCGATTGCCGCATCCTAACTATCCCCCTCAAAGTGCTCCAGATAACTCCATGTCGGGACATGCACTAGCTGGTGGCAGATCAGACTATCCCTCCCGCCCAGCGGGTTCAGCAACCCCCCTAGCATATGCATCAAATAATGAATCGCAATATCCTCAGAATGCTACCCAAGGTGTTTCTGAGAACCGCACATCGCACGATACAAACCGTGCCTATCAAGGTGTCCCAGATGATCGCGTGTCACGTCGTACAAGCTATACTCCCCAAGATGCTTCAGACAATCGCACCCCGCATCACACAAATCCCCAAGGCCAATACTCTGCAGTCGAACCGTCTAGCTCGTACAATGTAGCACAACGTTGGGACTCAAGCACTCGTGCATCTGCCTACCAAGAACCCTATCGTCCTTATTCAAACAATGGACCACATTATCCTGGACAGTATCAGGAACCTGTTCAAGATGGCAGATCTATGCCAGCAGGATACGATGCACCTCCCCACCATTCTTTCGGTGACGGTAGAGGCTATTCGCAACAAGCTCCTCCTCCTTCATATCGTCACCATTCTTATCAGGATAGTAGAGGCTACCCACAGCAACAACAACAACCCCCTCCTGTAACTCGCCACCATTCTTATAATGATGAGAGAGGCTATTCGCAACAGCAACACCCTGCACCATCTCATCATTCTTATCAAGATAGTCGAGGTTATCCACAACAGCAACACCCTCCTACACCTTCTCACCATTCTAATCAAGATAGTCGAGGTTATCCACAACAGCAACCCCCTCATCCAGCTCACTATCCTTATCATGACGGGAGAAGCTATCCGCAAGATCAACCTCCTACTGCACAGCCACCTCTAAGGCAGAGTGCTCCTAGACAAAGAACTGCAATCGCATGCAAATATTGCAGGAGGCGCAAGGTATGTTCATGGTCTTCCTTCTAGACAGTTCAATTTGAGATTTCACAAATTACTACCAAAATAATTCGAATAATGCTGACATCATAATTAGATTCGTTGCTCGGGTTTTAATGCTGATGGCTCCGGAGGCCAATGTACTAACTGTTCTCGCTTCAAACAGGAATGTGTTTTCACTCCCGTGTCCTCAGCACAGGCATTTGTACCTCTTATTGCCCTGACTGAGGCGCTTAATGGTAGAGAGACTCATCCAAATATTTTTGGTGCTTACGGCCAACCTCTTCCAGGTGACCCCGTTAATCAGAATCGTACAGAACCGTACCAAGGATATCATCCACAACAAGCCGCACCCGGGCCACAAATGCCATACAATCATCAACAAATGCCACAGCAAGCGGCTAATTATCCTCCACAAAACTTGGCCCAATATGCGCCCCAACATGTGCAACAGCCAATTACCCAAACATATCTCCCACCTATGAACAGATCACCTCATGATCGGGATACCTTACCTTCTCCGACAGGCGCAGTACCCCAACAACCACCTCCAACACATCTCCCTTCTTTGTCGAACAGATCACCATATGATCAGGGTGCTACTTTACCCTCTCCGACAGGCTCATTGGATTCTCAAAAGCGTAAGCGTGAGGCAGATGAGCGTCACTTTGCCAGAGCGGCGCCATCTGCCCCTAGTCATTTCTCCGGATACAACAGAGACGGCAATGCTCCGTACCGTGTACAAGGCCTTGAAGAACAATACCAGCATCATGCCTCCGGTCCATCCCCTCCTACTCGCCAACATGGATATCAACAAGGAGAGAATGCTACACCCCGCCTCCCAGCATTGCAAGATGGACAACAATATCGTTCATTGATTCCATCACCTCCTTCCAACCAACAGGGAGAGAACGCTCTAGCGCACCGACCTATGGAAAGTGGTCGACAATCCACCCAATGGGCCTCGGTAAACTCGAATGAAGCACCACGAAATGACCCCTCTCCTAATGGTTCATCGCCATCGTTTCATTCCCAGAATCTAAGCGGCAATCAACAACCTAGTCAGGTATCTCCTCATCGAGCCGAGTCTTCTCAATTTCCACTAGCATCACCTGCTAGAACAAATTCTGGAGGTGGAAGTCATGATCAAGTGGCAAGAGCAACTGGACGTCCTAATCAGATGAACATCGCAAATATCGTGCAACGCGATGACGAAGATGTTGACCGAAATATGCTCAGACGTTTGGGCAGGAATAGATCTTAAAGACTAGTATCTGAATTTTAGGATATTCCACACATCAGTGATTGTTCTCCATGAAAATTCTTCTTGTCTGAAGGTTGTCTTGTGGTGCGCTCAAGAAACTTTTGCTAGAACCAGCTTGCTCATCATTATTGTATATTGATCTGAAAGTTTTATTCTCAAACAGTATTCCCAAGACCGGAACATATCCTTGTTCGCATATATTCACCCCTGTTTATCAGGAAGACTTCCAGAACTGGAAGTACTTTTATCTTGTATTCACTCTCATTTATTCACAATTACATTTTCTTCTTTCACATTTTTAACCTCGCACGATACAATAATACTCCCAGCTTTGGGAACAATGCGAATGACGGAGGTTTTTACCTTCTTTTTACGAAATTACAGAGAGAACGAACAAAAACCTCATATTAGTGAGGCCATTTACCTGGGGATCGGAGTTGGTTGCCGGTTTCGAAAATCAATAGAAAGGGTTAGGCTTGCCTCACGGCATCATTATTTTTCAGGTGTTATCTCGGATGCTTTTTTGTTTGGGTATTCCCAGGGTGGACTCTTTCAGGAGGCATGGATGGTGTGGTGATATGGTTAGGAGGTTTTTTGATTGTTATACTTTTGTTCTGACATATACTGTTTGATTTTTCTATTGCCAAACCTCAAAACTTTGGGTACTCTTCTTGGGTATGGGAACAGCGTACGGGCGATTGACCACGCAAGGCCTACCCCTTTGTTTTCTTAGTCTTGCATATATAAAAATGGGACGCGTGAGATCATTATCAAATCTCATGGATTGAACGAGTTTGGCTTAGCTTATGAAGTTTTTGCATGGATTGGAGTTTTGCATGGGTTTGGGTTTGATTTTGATTTTGTATAAGCCCATAGCGTTGCCACATGAATGATAAGCGTTCTGGATTCGATGTTTTGGATGGGGGTCCAAATGCATTCATGATATGAACTATCGGACATGATTGCTAGCTATTTGTTGATATCATCTGTAAAAAGATGAAGCATAAATAAAATACGTTGTTTCTTAAGTTTACTATAAATTGATCAAAAGGTATAAAAAAAGCTTGAAAACATCTCGGATAGTGGCCTGTGATTGAATGGGAATGAATGTGAGTGTGAATATCAATGTGAGGGTGAATACGATGGTCTATGTTATGTGTGTAGGTATGTATGTTGGAGATACAGAATAATCGAGCGTCTTCAATACATATATACATGGTTCTCACCCTATCTATCTATGGTTTCCTAACTTTTAATTTTAAGATTATAACTTATAAGTCTTGTTTTCAAAATTCAATGATACCTTTCCTATTATTCACTTCTTCTTCAGCTGCCGATTTTTGATTTAAGTATAGCTTTTTAGATGGCTGGGTAGCTAGATGGTATTATCTCGTAAATTGGGGGTTATTTTTTCGGAGTTGAATTGGGCTGGGTTGAGGTGAGGTGAGGTGAGGTGAGGTGAGGTGAGGTGAGTTGAGTTGGATTGAGGAATGCATGAATATATAATGAGTTGTGATTTGGTGAGGGAAAGGGAAAGGAAATGGGAAAAAGGGGTATATGGGGGCTGTATGGGTAGGACTCTGAGGAATTGAGATTGGAGTTGGAACCGGGATTGGGGTTATATAGAGAGGTGGGTAGATGGGTCTGTGTGGAGAAATCGACGGGTTGGTGTGGGTATTGGGGTTTGGATGGTTGGATTATGTGGTGGTTTGGGGTTCTTAGGAATAGAGGCGAGGGGAAGGGAGGGGTAAGGGTGGTGTGTTTGATTGGAGCGTAGAGAGGAGGAAGGAGGGAGGAGGGGAAGGGAGGAGAGATGGTTTGGATAGGTGATTTTGGTAGGTAGGGGGAAGGAGAATGAGAGATTTATGAGGGAAATAGAGTATTATAGAATGATAGGGGATAGGTGGTGGTGACGAATGATTATTTTATATCGGGATGGTGGGATAAGGTATAAGGCATCATATTATTGAAATTGTAAAAGCATCTTGGGAGGTGAGTTTGCTCGGTATCTGGGAATGCGGAACGCGAAATGCGAAATCCGGGTAGATGAATTAGTTGCTAGACAGGTGGGTGAATATATTTTGCAATATAGATGATTAAAATCCTCCGTGTATATCTGCTAATGCATCTCCAGATCAGATTTCTGATCTCGTAGTACAGATGAGATTCGATATATGGGAGAGTTTTCTTTTCTTTATGGCGATGGGGATAGTATGGTTGTTTGGAAATCTTTGAGATTGAAGATGTAGTTGTGGTATAGTTGTAATTTAGTGCGAAGGAGGGAAAAATTGTGAGATGGGGAATTTGAAAGTTTTGTGGGAATTTGGTTGATTGGGATATAATGCAAGTACGTAGTTTTCTGTGGTTTGGAGATGTGAGGAATTAGAGTGAAAGGTTGATGGTATTTAGGATGTCTATCTATCAGACCTGAAAATCTAGGAGGATCCTTTGAAAATTTATTCTTGCACGCTTCCAGCACTCATTTCAATTTCCTTTCCAACTATTCATCACCTCACCCGGCTCTTTGAAGATTTGCTGTCACAAAAAATACTTTACAATTTGACACCTCTCGCCATGAAAACCGCCCTCTTCATATCTTTTCTCCCCCCCTCAACCCCAGTTCCGTGGAATACAATCCCCTTCCCCAACACCATATATCCGAAATCCGCACCGACACCTGCATTTACGAAGATCTTTTTGATTTCCTCCTCGGAAAATCCATGGTGAGTAATTGTTTCTTGAGCTTGTTGAGCTTGTTCATTTAACTCCTCATGATGATGATGATGACCGTGGCCATGTTCATGCTCATGATCCCCATGACCATGAGGATTTCCATACCCATCATGACTTTCGAAATCGACCACCGCCAGAATCCCTCCTTTCTTCAACCTCTCTCCTATTTTCCTCGCCGCCAAAGACGGGTCTGAGAAATGATGGAATCCCAATCCCACAACTGCAATATCAAATTGATAAAGATCTTCATTCTCCAATTCCGGGGTTGGGTCAGAAGAAAGCAAGTTTCCTTGATGAGCAAACATTTCGGATGGCGGAAGTCCTTGGTTGGATGCGCGTGCGTTGTAATGCGATACCATGGAGGAAGAGAGATCGATGCCGATGGCGCGAGTGATGGCGGGGAGTAGAGCACGGGTGATAAGACCAGTACCGCAGGCGTAGTCAAGGAGCTTGACTGTATGCTCTGGGGGAGAGGTCTCGGTGACCCAGTTGGCTCCGATGAAGGACATGATGCGGTCTTCTTGGATGATGGAAATTAGTTGATCCATAGTTTTTTGGAACCGCGTGTCGTATGTTGAGGCGTGCGTGCTGGGTTGGAGTTAGTTGTGATTGGGGAGAAAGTGAGGGGGTGGGAATATGTATGGTAAATGCATTTAATCCATAATTATAGGAGAAGACGAATCTTCTCGATCTCGTAAACACTGGTTCGTGTTAAGAAGTAATAGCCCCAGCGCTTGCCAGAGCAAAAATTCTTCATCTCACAAGACATGGAACCAGCGCATGTAAGAACAGTCCCATTTCATCATCAATAATCTCCAACCCATCAGGTAATACGTACTCCCAATGTTCTCTATTCTTCTCCGTCATATCCCCATCATGTGTATGCTCCGACATTTTCAATATAGAATTCTTCTCAAAAGCCTTAATTCTATACTCAAACCTTCCAATCTCGATCCCTCCCAAGTAATATCCGAGAATCAGTGATAATAGAACAACAAATAGGATATGATAATAACTTCTAATCATAAATATCTATTCTTTCCTACAAAGAAAAAAGTTGCAGGACTCAGGACGAATGTTTGTTATATTTATATCGTGGGTTTATCGTGCTTTAGTGGGGGTGTAACCATAGTGGGGTCGAAAGAATGGGGATCTCGCTTGTCGGAGAGCTTTCGGGGACTTTTTGACATGCTAGGATTAGACGGAATAGGGGCCTTGGGGGAAGCATGGAAACAAGTCTCCGAATGTATGACGGCTGTGATGCAATAATGTCTACGGGTCGGAGAGTTATTCCCCCCTTGGTTGTATGTTTGAGGATTCTATGGGGGAGTAATTGAAGATGGGGTTCTTAGTGTATTGGAGGTCGACGTCAATCAATTCCATGGATTACAATAAAATACTCGCGTGTGTGAACTATGCCCTTCTCAAAATACTTTTGTTGTATGAATTACTCTAATGGTATCAATCAATCTCATGAAACGAACCCTTCTCATCTTAGGAAATACTCTCGTTGGGCAATTGCTTGCATTGTATGAAATATTTTTATTGTGTGATTACTCTCATTGTATCAACTAGGTAATTATAATGTATGCCATTTTTCTTTTCTAGTCAATAAAGAACTCCCGAATTTATTGGTTGATACCTTCAGCAGTAGGTAATGGGATAGCCTTGTAGAGCAAGATAAGTGCAGAGTGAGATTCTCCACCACCAGCAAGAGTAGCAATCTTCTCAGCATCGACTTCTGAAACCTTGTCGTCGTTGAACCACCACCATTTTCCATCTTCCTCACCACGTACGCCAGTCTTACGGTCAAGTGGTCCTTGCTTCTTCACATATGAAGTGTAATGACCGCTATCCGCACTAGAACCTTGATGGGTAACAATACCGCGAAGTTCGTAAAGACCAGACTTGTTTGCTCCGTCATCCTTGGCAAGTTCTGGGTTGATTAATGCATTCAACTCCTTCTTTGCCTCCAAGATTGAAGCAGCTTTTTCCGCATCAATCTCTGCGTCGGTCTTATAAACAACATCCTCCATTTCGGTATCGCCGTCTTTAGACTTAGTCTCCTTCGTCTCATCTTTCTTTGAGGAAGATGATGCTTCATCGACAAGGCCAGCTTTCTTATCAGCTTCTTCTTTATCGTGGATGCGCTTTTGACGCTTGCGAGCACGTTCAATATCTTCCTCTTCCTTTCGTACTTCACGAACCTTATCCCTGACCGGGATCAACATTTGCTTGAGCTCATCCGTACAGAATTCTACTACGTCCAATTCATGAGGAAATGTAACCTTGCGCATAATCTTTGCTTTCTTCTGAGCCTCGCGTTTCCAGAAGAATCGAACGAAATGGACAGTGAGGTATTTGGGAAGGCGTGAGATTTTGGATTTTTTGGTGTAAATGGCATCGCGACCAAGGACTTCAGATCTCTTTTCAATCTTTTCCTCCAATCCTGCGACCAGTCCATCTCGAAGATGGTTAGTTGCGCCAGTGATGTGGCAATCCAGCTTCAAGAAAACATCATTTCCCTTGATTGGTTGTTCGCCTGCGTCCTTTGCACCTTGCTCATCACACTCAGTGACGGATTGGAATGCCCCCGCCATATATTTGTCAACAAAAGAGACCGATGTAGTTGATGATCCTTCAGTATTTCCACCTTCACCAATCTTCAAGCTTGATCGTAGTACCTGGAGGATTTGCGTCCAAGCTTCTTCAGCATCTTGTTGTGCATAGCCGTGGCCATTCTTGGCTTTTTCCTGAAATTGTGGAAAGGCTTGTCGTAAAGCGTTTAGGTAAATGAGTGGCGGAAAGGCCTCTTGTGTTTCTGACATCTGCATGTATAAATCTCGCATCGCAGCTGTCAGATCGAGCGATTGGGGTCGACTGAGTTGGAATGCATTGAGCATGTTATTGGAACCTGTTTCAGATGGTGTGAACTTCTGCAAACTATCTTGCAACTCTGGAATAGCTCTGAGAGTTTGTAATGTTGAGTTGAGATAACATGTATTTCCCAAATTTTGTAATCCAGCTGGTGTTGCTCCAACTTGTTGTGCAGCTTCTGCTTCGGTCATATCTTCAACAAATTTTATTGGTTCCTTTGGCTTAGAAAGTGTTCCTCCCTCTGCAGGTGTTCCCATCATCAAAAATGTCTGTCCTGGCTTGGCGCCGATTTTCGAAAGATCGGTGTCATCTTTAAGTTGCCCACCTTTAACCAAGATCTTTTGTCTTTCTGGCTCAACGCCAGTGAGAGAGTAGAGCTGATATTTTAGTGTTTCGCCGTTGGACGTAGGATCGAGCTCGATATCATATTTCTTGCCTTGATGCTTGATAATGATCGGTATATTCGACATGATGACGAGAGGCTCACGTTTCGTGAAGATTATTGGGAGAAAGATAGGTAGGTGGAAGGTAAACTTGTAGATAAATACCTAGCAAACGGGACGGTTCTCTTAGCGCGCCTTACGTAGCTTTGTGGGATGCCTGACTCCACCATGTAACCCGATTACCAACTAAAGTGAATGATTTAAAACACTTAATGTCCTGATATAGTTCGTGTTTATCGCGGATACCAAGGATATTTAGAGATTTATTGACTGAGAGTATGGTAAAATAGAAGATCAAAATTGTGTTTCTGTAAATTTCAAGTCAAAATAATGATTGTTTGATTTGATATCAATTATTGAAAAAAAGTAAAATAATTTGGTTGGAAGGCTTCCTTCGTCCATGCGGCTTTTTCCGTCCGGGGCTGCTTGACTCCTTGAGTATTAGAGAAAGCCCCACCAAAGCATCGACAACACGTACGGCTGGTTGGTACTGTTGATGACATCTTCTTATTGAAAGGAGGTATTCGAAATAAGAAACATCAACGAGATGGTATGTAGCAATCTAAAATTCCTATCAACAGAGCTTGAAGATTTAAGAATGAAAGAGTTCTACTAAACTAAATCTTGCAGTCTCAATCATTGCGACCTTACCTTCAATGCGTACGATCCTCCTTGACAGCAGCTCTATGTCTCTCGAACTTCGCATCCCAGACTTCCGAAAGACACAATGTGCCCGAAATTGAAGCTAAGACTTCACCGGAAGTTCTGTTAAATTCATTGACAGTCGCACGAAATGAGAATGAACGGGTTCTCATTGAACCCAGTATCAACAGTGTCCGTATCAGTATCAACATCAAACAAGCAGACGAAATTGAGCACATTCTCGTACACAAATTTACCAGGTTCTTGACTCAACGAGCAGAAGCATTCTTCATTCTTAGGAGGAAACCCGTTAAGGTGTGTGGCAGGTTTAGATGTGCAAGGGCCGGAGGCTGATTTCGAATAGGGCTACGATATCTCGTTTTTGATTACGAACTTCCACACGGAGGAGATGTTAAAGCATAAGCTGGTGGACTTCATCATAGAGTTCATGGAGGAAGTTGATAAGGAAATCTCGGAGATGAAGCTATTTGTGAGCTCTACCTTCCCCTTGATCAGTACGGTCGCTGACAGACAATAGTTGAATGCTCGTGCAAGATTCGTTGCAGAATCGTTCTTGACACCAGTAAGTCATCCTGCGATATTTCCGACATTAACTAATGTTATCCCTTCAGTTCGATTAAGCTTGGGGTTGGTTTTTGGAGTATACTATATTGATAGTAGCATATATGAGATCAGCGGTGTGGGAAGTCGACATTTTGATCCGGCGTTTCGGAGAATAAAAGATCTTATAAATAGGCTATCAGCTGGTATTCATTACCTTGTATCATTTCTGGGTGAAAGAACATATTATCACTGCGAAGGACATGCAATCTTCATTTAAGGTCTTATTCATATCGCGGCTTTGACACATTTGTTTCCATACAGTCTTCTGAATTGATTGTTCATATCACTGTGGTGTATCTTCATTCTGACGTGCTATATAGTTTCTGTATTGTGCGGTGGAAGGGGTCTAAAATGAGCTTTGTGGGATCTTGAATGGAATCAAATTACTTGAACTTACCCGCAGTAACATTCTTCGATGTGTGTACGCTCAATGTGATACGAGCAATGCGGGACCACAATTGACGATCTTGAGCTTCATGATGAATACTTGAGCCAGGGAATTGACAGGAGCACTTGGAATTTGTTGAACTTACCTGTCAAGCAATCGCCATCAATACAACATGTGACCGGTATAATATGAATCACGCTAGTGATGCATCTGCAAGGCTGTCATTCAAACACGAACTTTTCTAGAATCTCACTATCGCTATTATTTGCGACGATGTTATCTTCAACTTCAACTTCAACAGAAACTGTGTATTGTATAATTCAAGTCCATATCATGATAAATGAATCCCTTAACCTCTTGGATTGAACTGGTGATGTTGAGGATATTCTACCCAATAATTCCTACTGCATCTTTTTACATCTCTAGCCAATAGCTCGACGAATCAATTTGGACCTATGGTTCAAACTTAACCTTACAACTGGCAATTAATAAAACAAATATAATTCGTACGAGTTTGCGGCATTGAACGCTCATGCATGAAACTACATCACCTTCGGCTCCCAACGGTCCTTTGAAAGAATCAACTGTGTCAATAATGCCATTGAATGGTTACACAGCACCTGCACTCCCTCCAATCGACACCTCATATTCACCCTTTTCTGCAGACCTAAATCACTATACGCCCGTTAGGGGTTCCAAACCTTCCTATAAACCATTGGATATTGATAGAGAAGATATTCGCCTTCTTATTCTTCCATGCGCCGGCTCCAGTAGCCAGAACTATGAATTTATTCATGTTTCTCTACTCACCAATGTGAAATATGAGGCATTATCTTATGCATGGGGTGACCTGCCTGCAAACAAAACGATAAAGATTGATAAGACAGATTACTACGTGCGAGATAATTTATTTGCAGCACTAGAAGCTCTTCGCTTGCGGAGTCGGCGGCGTTATCTGTGGGTGGATGCTGTATGCATCAATCAAGAAGACTTTGATGAGCGCAATGCGCAAGTCGCACTCATGAGTCAAATATACGCGAAAGCCGATGAAGTTATTGTGTGGTTGGGCAAAGCTGGAAGAGATTACTGGGGCGCAATGACATTGCTAGACAGTCTAGGCAATTCCGCAACGTCTGCGAAAGAGCTATCGAGATCCATAACAGAACATGCAGCTGTTTCTCATGTAAAGTTTTGGACTGAATTGTCTATGTTGTGCCACAGGCCATATTGGCAAAGACTTTGGATTATACAAGAGGTAGTCCTCGCTTCAAAAATCAAAGCTCACTGCTCATCATTGATCTTTGATTGGGAGCGCCTAGATTGGGTATTTCGACGAATGAATACTATTCAAGAGACAGCCACAAGCTTATATGTTGGTACATCATTAGCTGGAGGCGGCGATAAAGGATACTTTAGCTTACTCCAGACACTGGAAGCTATCCGAAATAGTGTACCCTCTCGATTGTCCAAGAGAAGACAAGAGATTAAGGAACGAATCCCCTTGCTAGATCTTTTTCTGACTCACAGTGAAGCATTATGCACCGACCAGAGAGATAAATTTTTTGGCTTGTATAGCCTTGCGAAGGATTGCTGCACTAAGGCCACTCCTGCAGATTATAGACAAACGTTCTTCGAAACTATATCTATGGTCACTCTGCATCATTTCCGTCGCCATACCGATAAACTTGACGTTCTTCAGAAATATGAACATTTCCGACAAACTCTTGCGAGAACAATGCCCAATTCAATCCATATCGTGCAAGATTTCCTCGATCATAATCCAGATGCTTTGGAAGGCCAAGAGATCATGAAAGCAGTTGGAAACGTTCGAGGATCTATTGTGTATATTAGCCCACCGCTAAAAGATTTATGCTTAACAGATTATCTTCGAGATTTAGACTTTTTAGACTTGAATGCAACTCCACTCATTGAGGATCAATTGCGTTACTTCTTTCATCAACGCGGCGGTAAAGGATACTTTCACAACGATCGACTTCATAATATCGATGATATTTGCAATTATGGGAGTCGTGAGAAATGCTCATTTTCAGCTTTTTATTTGGAAGCTGCTCCTAGAGTCGAGGATATCGATTTGCTGACTTCTGATGTATCAAGCCCGCGTCAGAAGTCGCTGCCACCAGGAAAGAGAGATCGCATAGTGAATCAACTAATGTCCTCGTTTGATCAAACCCTCCATGAAGCAAAATGGAAGGCAGAGCAATCTAGCAATACTACACCAGTCAGGTTATTCTTGGAAGAGAATGGGATGATAGGATACGTATCAGACAATGCACAAGTTGGCGATCTCGTTGTTCAGTTTCGAGCTACAAGCACTGCTGTAGTCATGAGAAAAGAAGGAGATCAAGGTAACATTGTCGGAAGAGTGTGTGATCTACTCGATCGCCGTTCGAAGCATGGAAAGTCACGACCATTTGTATGCCAAGATCAAGATATCGACGAGAATGGATTTGATGTGTCACCTCAATTGATATGTTTACGCATGAAGCTTTCAGCCTTGCGGATGTTGGCCAATGGAAATCCAATGTATAATTGAACAAATACTCTCGATATTTGGGACATGCATCCTTGATTCGTGAACTCGAGTTTCAAATCGAGTGAGTGCGAGTAAATTTATCTCTCCAGATTTTACACTAGATTTGAGCATCTCAAAGTGGTCCTTCCGTGTGGCTTGGAGGGTCGAGAATCGCTTCGGAAGACTTGCAGAATATACGGGCGGGCACTGTCAAAATCTTCTTTTCTGGAATCTGAAAATGTTTCCCTATTAATTTTGACAAATGACGAAATATGCGGAACAGAATTTCGAAGATTGACAAAAGCAAACTCATCTGTGGGATTTCACAACATTTTACTTCATCTTGGAACCACGCGAGAAGTCCTGGATCTCAACTTTTCTGGGAACCTTCGAAGCGCGGAAGATTTGATATCATGCACTTCTTCAGCACCCCGGGGGCTCTCCCTAGGCCTTTTTCTTAGAATTCGATTGAGCTCTTGTCCCATCCCAAGACTGAACTCACGTCAGCCGTGGCCAATAGTACTTTTGGCTCCAAGTAGATACCCATCTGGTCGCGAGTGTCGCGAGTGTCGCCGTAGTCTTCTCAGTGTCGCTGCGTCTTGTTGTGCATTACTCATCAAGGAGACGAGGTATCTAGGTAATGTCACATAAGGCATTCAGTTGGAACATCGTACAATGTATCTTCAAGTAGTTGGTCTATACAGCATTCCACAGACTGTTTTTCTATTCAACATCAAGATAGAAACACGAGCAAAGAGAAAGCAGCCTTCAGGTCAATGTGGACAGCGAAAGCAACTCTCTAATAAAAAGAGCGATTTATACGTCTGACTTTACGACTTTGAAAACAAGCCTTAAGCTCGCTTGTTCTGCCAGAAAATGCTTGTCGTTAGATTTCATCGTCTTCAAGTTTGTTTTAACGGATTAGATGATTTTGAGTCTTCCAATGTGGCTGCCTACTAGCACAACGCGCAAAACAGCATTAGCGAGACAGAAGATCAATTACATGCAGGCACTATCGTCATCACTAAACGAAAGACAAAATGTGTGTTCCGCAAGAAAATTCTCCGAACTCCAACGAGTTACCACGTGCAGAACACGATATGGCTAGAGAACATACATCATGGAGCCCGCGCCCACGCCTGGTAATTCGCGCAAGTATATCTTTCTATCCAGCAGTCTTTTTCCTCAAAACCGACTAATAAAACGGCTGAGCAGGATAGGAGCTTAGATTTTGCCCTGGGCTATAGTAGGATTTAGATTATGAATTTACGATGTAGGCTCGTGCTTGATCACTTTGGTCAAGAGCTATTGAGATGTGATTTGGCTGGATAGACGAATCGCAATTATACCGGCAATGTACAGTACAGCACGGTGCCAGGTTATGATATGGGTCTTAATGATATGTTCATGAACATTAATTCTATGCATGTCTTCTTGAGATATGCAATGAGGTTTGAAACTACACTTTAGTCGTTGTGGTATGCTTATTGCCTAATGAGCTTTCTAGAAAGGGGCAGATACTGCAGCCAAGGGCCCAATGCTGAGCTCCATTATGAAGTCAATACGAACCTCGGCATTAATCGCTACCAAGGAGGAATCCAGTCAAATGGTAATTGATGGTCAATGTGAAAATTAAAAGTCTGAAAATAGATAACGAATCCACTCCTTGTTATTGTGATGATAAATTGAAGTTTAAGAAAAGTTTTAGGGGTTATGTCGGCAAACATAAGTGAGACACGTGAGTGGCCGTTAGAACATTTCGGCCCGCTTTTGCATGAACCTCGGTCAAAACGAGTCCCTCATCAAAGAAATATTTAGTGATCATTAAAACATGAAAAGTATGAAGTTGTTTCCACAGAGGGATTATATTACACTCTCATATATACCAGTATTTGGACCTGAGTTTCTACATTAAGAAACCACACCTTATTCTTTAGAATCATCCTCTCTCCCACAAATCCATTCTAATTTCAAGCACTCACGATAACAAGATGACTGATCGGCCAACGCTTGTTCCACCTCCTCCTATCAATTCCTCGAAATCTGCCATCGAGAATGTATTAGAGCTTCGGGAGCTGAGTCAAATTGCGCCAGTAAGCACCCGATTTCCTACAACTCCGTGCAGACTGCCCAATAGATCTTTGAATCTAACCTCTCTCTACCCAGGATATCTTCACAAATACTCACCCCTTATGGCATCCCCCCGGTGCACGAGGCATATACGGAGGGGCAATTATCGCACAATGTCTTGCAGCCGCACAATGCACGGTCCCGCATAACTTCACGGTACACAGCATGCACTGCTATTTTGTTTTAGCTGGAAACTCCGATCTGCCAGTCATGTACTACGTCGAACATGTTCGTGAAGGTCGCTCGTTCGCTACTCGCACAGTACAAGCACGCCAAAAGGGGAAATGTATATTCACAACCACTATGTCATTTGTGAGGGAAAACAGTGGAGGGAAGCAAAAAGTAGAACATGCGGTTCCAATCCCCAAGAATATCAGACAACCGAATGAGGATGAAGAGTTGTTACAGATGGAAATGCGGACTGATAGCCCATTTGTTAGTCAGAGACTCGAGATTTTGAATGGGGAGACTGGGCGACCGCATGAGCAGAGAACCCGGCAGTGGATCAAAGCAAGAGGAAGGATCAGTGATGAAGGTGGACATCAGGCGCATTTGAATGCATTGGCTTATATGAGTGATAGCTACTTCATTGGAACTGTTGGGAGAATACATAAGCTGTGGAGATATGGCAGTGAAGAAAAGAAAAAGAAGGAGACCGCAGAAGAAAACGAAAACGATAAGTATATGAAGAAATTAAAAGAAGCAGAAGGATTTGGGGATGATTTGAACAACGAAAAGAGAAGGCCAGAGGTTGGGATGATGGTTAGTCTAGACCACACTATATATTTTCATGAGCCTAGGAAGTTTAGAGCAGACGAGTGGATGTTTACGGAGATGTCAAGTCCATGGTCTGGAGATGGGAGAGGAGTGGTCACCCAGCATATGTTCACTAAGGATGGAACATTGATCGCTACTTGTTTTCAGGAGGTAGGGGTTTTCTTCGCGGAATCATATTGGGTATATTGCTAACAGGTATTGCAGGGTGTTGTGAGACTTAACCAAGATGGAACAGAGAAAGCCAAGATCTAAGGGAATCTTTGATGTAATGAAATAATTCTGAGGAGCCGACTACAGGGTACAATAGATAGAATATGGGAGAGGAGAGTGAGGGACGAGCATTGAGCATTGAACATATGCAGAATTGTGTTTTAATAGACTTTTAGATTTTCTTTTCGATACCATTTCATACGTTTTGGTTCTTGGGGCAGCCCGAGGGCAAAGCGATAGACTTCCCAAAGAAACGGAGCACTAGATATTTTGGAACTTGTTTTTATATACTACCGGTACTTCTTGTATTCTCATATAAAAACACATGGATATAATAAAGTCTTGTCAAACTGCACAACTATGCACGGCTAACAGAGAATCTTTGCAAACTTCAGCTCTTCTGCATTGACTGTGCATTGACATGTGATTGTGGATCATCTAGCTGAGCTGTTCTTTGACAACAAGTTTCATGCAATCTATAGCACTTTCTTAGTAAGTTTAGGAAACGAATACGACAGGTACTTTTATTCTCACCAATGTACCTTCAGATAACCCTTTTCTTTAACAGTCTCTCATTGCTCATTTATTTGATATCGTAGCCTTGCTTATTTGGCTCTTCAGCCTCGTTTACGTCATCCCGGAGCGTTTGGATTCCGTTCACCGAAATCCTGTTTGTACAAAGTACTCGTATGTATGGTATAGTTTAGCCTTAGCCTTATTTGATGCCTAGCGATTTTAATTCAACTCCCAACTCAGACAACCTGGAAGTCTCGGTCAGCAGGGTCCAAACAATTTCAATATTAATTTATTACTTCAGCTGACGACGTGTTCGTGATAACAGTTAGTCATACACAATTGAGACTCGTTTTCAGAACAAACCTCACTTGGACAAATTACTCGATTCGCCATTTAGCAAGGACGTTGCGATTGTGCGAAAGTAAACAAACCCCCGAGATTCTAATTTGAATTCTTGCGCCGCGGATTCAATGCATGCCATACGGCAGAAATGTCGTCCCAAGCATCAGGTTCTCATACTGAAATGCTACCCCAAGACAACAAAGGGGGCAGTCGATGTCAAGCCGAATTCAAGTGAATTGAGTTATCTCTTGTTTTATGCCACGTCACGAAGGAGTAAGGTGCAGAAGGTTGGAGAGTTCTTGGAGAAGAAGACTGCGAGTGATGTTTGGAGAGCTAGAATTGGGTTTGTTGATCAGTCCAAAGCTCAGCTATGATACATGCTGATTGGGAGAATAGAAATGTGCAGGTTACCCTCCAAATCTTAGCAGCCTTAATCGAAAAGGCACCCCGAGACCTACCTCTGTATGCGCCTTACGTTCTTAAGATTTTCAATATCATACTTCGTGCGCAAGATGTCACCATGGTGGAATCCTCAATCCCCACTTTCCAGGTCTTCTGCGAAAATCATGATATGGCAAGTCTTTCCGCGGATCAGGAATATCTCCACCAATACGAGGAAATCGTGCGAATCTACGCGTCATTCGCTTCTACAAGAACACAGACGAGCAGTAATCCTCGGAGCGCACCAGTCGCTATTAGATGGAGGGGTCTTGGCTTACAAGCTGTCAAGAGCGTGGCATCCTCCGATGCTTTGTCTACAGTGGCGGGAAGACAATTGGACGTCATTGTGCCAATACTGTTAGAGAATATTTGGACGGATAATGAGGACTTCATTGATATATTGCAACAACGAGCTGAGACAGAAGACCACATTGGGACGGATAAGTCACTGCTAAAGAGAAGGGCAAGCAATGCGACGGCCAGAACTGCTGATACAGACGGAGAGAACGGTACCGCTTTGCCTGGAACGACTGCAGACGCAGATAAGCTGGCCGAGGAAAATATTGGTGTTTTAGCTACACAATGTTTAAAACAAATCTTTGTCGTCAACAATCGAGCTCAGATACATGGAGCTACGACAGCTGTATTGAACTTTATTGCAGATCGAGTTTCCCAGAAAGAATCTGTCATCGAAAATGGTCCAAACGGCAATTGCAAAGGATGGGCACCACGCATTTTTGAAATGATTGCCAGATGGACTCCAGTTCAAGATCGATACGTCATTCTGGTGACGGCCATGGATAGTTTGGTGCGGGCTGACCAAGTTGAGGCCACTCTTATGCAACAACTTGTTCTTGCCACCATGGTAGACTCTTTACTCAAATCTGATATCAACCTGATAGGATTAAGCGTAATGGATGTTTTACTGGGGTTGATACAGCACATATTGATAGTTCTCCAACTTGGAAATGTCGGTGGTCCTCATCTTCAGCCAGATAATGGAGCCGATGAAAAAGTCGATGCTAGTGCTTTGCATGCGTCAATTACATCTGAACCCGCTCTGGTACCAACAGGGACTAGGAAGGATCTTTTAGCCCGATTGCAGAATTGTCTAGGAGATTTGGCCACGCACGTTTACTATGCAGATCAGATATCTGACATGGTTTCAGCAATCTTATTACGTTTGAAGCCTTCAACACTATCGCCTATTCCAAGCACTGCTGCAGCAATTGAAGATCCAAAATCTGCTACAGAGGCTCTATTGTCTGGCACTAATATGACGGAAGATCCAAATACTGATGGATTCTTTTCGTTTGATACAGCCAAGATCACAGCTCTGGAATCAATAAAGTTAATTTTGCTTGTGGCAAGTCACAAAACTATGACTGCTGGAAATCTGGGAAGAAATAGAGTTCCAATCAAGACTTGGGAGGGAACACAATGGTTATTGCGTGACACGGATGGGCGTGTGAGAAGAGCGTACGCTGATGCATTATTGACGTGGCTTGATCGGGAGGTCACAAAGACTGATCAGCAAATCTTTGATGAGAAGCCTAAGGGATTGGCGAAGAGCGCACGGGACGAATCAGCTACCAATCTCACAAAGAGGGCAGTTTCGAATGCATCAAAAGCAGAGAAACCCTCTAGACCGTCATCCCGGACAACATTTTCACAACTTCTACATCTTGCCATCTATGAGAATGCTTTGCAATTTGTTGACTACGAGAACGATATACTTCTACTACATCTTCTTCTCACAAGTCTTGTCAAGCATTTGGGAGTAAATGCGATCAGAAGCGGATTGCCCATGATGTTTCGATTACAAGAAGATATAAAGTCATTTGAATTACCAGTTCAAAAAGTCCGAATTGGAAGTCTATGCCATGGATATTTCTGGGCGTTGTGCGAGAAGTTCGAGATTGAGATGTCACCCGTTGGCAAGATAATCCAAGACGAAATCCGCCAACGTCAAAAGGCTATGTTTTGGGCTGATAGCATTCGATTTCCTCCTATTAAACTCCAAACTATTGGTCCACAAGGGAAAGTAGCCTCTCAGCAAGAACAAACCCCCAGTTATGCTGGAGCCGACTCTTTGTCAACCTTTGATGACCGCTTTCAATTGGTCAAACTTATCTCATTATCATATGCAGCATCTCTAAATTCTCCTCCAAGCAGCCCCCCAACATCTCCTGGCCGAAGCTTTACCCATCCAATACTTAGTGCGGATGTGCCTTCATCGACACGAGATACTATCATGCCAGAAAGAATCAAGGAAGAAATGATGTCAGAATGGAATAAGGAATCTGTGATTGCCGTTGCGCAAGAAACTAGTAAAACTGCCTCAATCAGTGGATCGCGTGCAGGTACAATGACCACTGGCCATCGTAATTTCCTTACTATTAATGGACTTGGTAATGGTAGTAACAGTGGAACAGCATCTCTTACTGGTGCTCAAAATCCGAAAAGTGGGGCAAATTCGACATATGGAACCACTAGTGGGATTGGTGCCATGCACAAACTAAGAAAAGGTAGTGGGCATTCACATGCGCCTGCTAGTGAATCAAGCCGTGGGTCAGTGACGAGGGTTGACCAGTTAAAACGAGTACTCTCGGGTCAGACAGCACCTTTACCAGCTACAAGGGCCGGCGCGCCACAGAGTGATGCAAGTAGTGAGAGCATGGTTAGTTATGACTTCTCAGCTTCAGAGATATCTATCAACACGTACAATCAGCAGAATAGTTCGGGTATAGAACGATCTGCTTCTATGCGTTCGACCGGACGATCGAGATCGAAATCACGAGATAGAGCAGATGCAGCACATGATGGCACGACAGTCCCCCCTGTTCCACCACTTCCATCCTCACTTGTGGGTGAAAACATATCCATTCATGACCAAGCGCAAAATCATTCGCCCGAAGCAATCCGAACCGGTCGAAGCACAAAAAGAAGCACAAAGAGTAGAGCCGGTGGATACTCAAGTATGCCATGGGGCGAAGAAAATGGAAAGGTAGTAGATCTCCAAGATTTACTGAGTAGTATTGAGATTGGTGGTGATGAAAAAGGTAATGTTGGTATGCCACCTTATTGAGGTGTCAGTTTTCAGGGTTTCTGGAGATACAGCGCGTTTGTTATATTGAGAAAAGAGATAGAGTTGCATATAATTTATAGTACAGATCTGTATTACTATACCTCACTTTGTAAGCATGGAGTTTTGGTTGACAACACTTGTGGAATATCTACTGCTGGGTTGAGTCATAGCGATTGATTTTGGGGGGTAAGAGGCACATATGTCTTGCAGCAAATAATAATAGAGAAAATGAAGAGATTTCGTTGTTGTGTCATAGTCACATGTTACATGTTACATGCTATGTGCAGGTCTTCAATGGTGCAGGCTGCTGTTTGATAGTGATAATTTTTTGGTTGTTAAATTGCTGAGCACGAACGCATTCAAACTTTCATATCTTTCATGTCTGTTTCTTATCTAATAGTATAAACTACTGGGCAGAGTAGGTATTCTAGTGGCACATCTACCTTGTCATTTAGTTTTCTAAATTCTGAAATATAGTGCTATGTCATATGCAGGACGCTTCTCAATTGTCAAATTAAAAACAGATTTACTCGTCAATTGTTTGATATGAGAGTTTATTTTTGTATTGTTTAGTTTGTGGTGGTTCATTGTATTGTATTCCAAAGTACCTGAATTAATATATCAAGAGATGTTGCCGAGTCAATTTTCGCAAATTTCCTGCCCGTCTGTGAACTCACAGGTAATGTATCACAATTTGGTCAGTAATGAGGGTTTTACAATGTGTGCGAGGCAGTCTGAGAGAATCCTCGAATCTGTATAAATATTACTCACTCACGTTCACTAATAAAGCACGTCCTCAATGGATCTTTTGGGGTGATGATTTTTCTTGCGGTTGTCTGTACGTATGGTTTTCTTGAGTTCATACTGATCGCTTTCCACGGTCCTTTAGGAACCAGTGAAAGCTGCGTTCAAGGTCCGCACCTCCAGCTTCCCGTGTAACTTAGGAAATTTGAACTTTAGAAGCTTATTCCTGGTCCGCCTGCTGCTCATTGGTGCAATTCTTGCACAATGGATAGTCATCAGACCAGATACACGCCTTTTCGAGCCTCTCGGGAAGAGTTCCTGTTGCAAAATCTCAAAGTTTAGCTGATGTGAGTCCTTCATACTGAGATATCATGCTGATTCCTTCTAGTCCTATCGCTAGCAAATCGAATCTTCGCAGCTCTGATACATTTCCACTGCAATTACGCAAGTTCTTCCTTTTGTCAACAGGATCTAGACCATGTTACTGGTGATAGATACGGAAAGGACTTTGCTGGAAGTAACTTGCATTTCATTTTAGTAAGTCAGTATTAGGGCGTTAGTGGCCAAGACTACTTATTGGGCAAGCTTAAAATCAAAGGCGTGTTAGAACATATTGTCATGCCCCCCTCCCCCCTAAAATAAGCGAGCCAACGAGTTAGCGCTCATAGCATCGTACAGGACTCACCACGTACGATTCCAAGGCAAGATTCCTTGATTTTTCTTCTGTATGTAACCTCTCAAGTAAATACGCAGAGTTGCAGTATGTTCCGAAAGGAAGAGCTGGAAAGTTGTAAAGTATAGCAGCGAAGAAAAAATATATAAACGAAGCTAAAGGTAGTGATTCATCGTTATCAAACAATCAATCACTTCTTTGGAATCAAATCGAGAGTCTCAAGATAATTCATCGATCCCAAACAGCTGAAGATTCGTCCTTGCAACAGTTATATCACAATGTCGAGGAACAATCCTACATATCAGTGAGTATAAAATCTTCTCAAAAAAACTGCTCATGACTCACAAAATGATCTAGAACTCAAACCCCCTGCGAGTCTGGTCAAATCCCTCAATACACTCAATATCAGCAACCACAAAGTAACCAGCAACACTTTCAAGCATATCAACAATCCACCTACCAAGAACAAACATACCAGCAAGATCCATATACCCAATCCTATTCCGCACAGCCCCAAACCCAACAATTCGCCTATCAAAATCCCTCTTACCAAAATGGCCAGTACCAGCAAACCACATATCAAAACACTTCGACTACGTGGGCTCCACAATACAACCAGCAACAAGAATTCCAAACACAATATCAAACCGTGCAGCCGACACAGCTTACACAGCATTCGCTTCAAAGTTTGCCTGCTCCTGGAAGAGACAATGTGAATGTGTATTTGCGCGATGATCAGAATTTCGAGAGGGTACCGCAAGGATTAGAAACGAGACGTGAACCTGGAATCCAAGAATGGGAAAGAGGATGGAATGCTGCGGGGCGCAGATGAATGGGGCTAGTGCTGGGTATTCTTCGCGGTTTTGTGATTTGTCTCTGGGTGTATGGAAATGGTGGGTATAATCTGAGATGAGGAAATCATGTGATGATTGATGGATTGAATAATGAGGGGTTTAATTTGATATCGAATATCGCGCGGGAAAAGAAATATGTTGGAAGGTCATTATGTTTATGTGCGAATTCTGGGAAGTGTGGACAATATAGTTTAATTCATTTGTGTGCAAATCATCACTGCCCCCAAAGATCCGCATCGATCGTGGCTATACAAGCCCCCAAGCCATGATAATGGGGATTCAACATGCCGTATGTGTGCACGGTGACGTGGTGTCATCTGGGGGCTGTATTATGGGTCATTTTATGATGAGAGACGATAGCTAGTTGATCAGGTACTGTGTATCTCACTTGGAGACTGGGGTGGACACTTTCTGGAAGGATCCTTCTCGGTGGTGTTCTCTTGGGAGGTCCTCCAGCAGGACAAAAAAATGTAGAAAGGAATGTGCAGGACTTGAAGCAACAGGGCTTTCTAGGCTCAGGTCAAGCTTATAATTCATGCTAGTATCGTCAAGTCCTTTCATGGCACTCTGAAGTATGTGATTTAGATCTTGTAATACATATGCTGTCTCAACCCAGGACTCTTAACGGACTCTATTTTTAGAAATACTTACCTCGCGACTTTGCACATAACCTCATTGTAGGCGATTCGGAGATATCGAACAGTATCCTATGATTTAGTTCGTTCTGATATCTCCCCGTTGAAACCCTGGAAGTTGTGTACAAAAAATACACTCGGGTAGCTGTATGAGTTCAATTCTACATCATTACATCTGGAAAAATGGCTTCAGGAACTCGATATCATTGTTCATCTAACTATATCGCCTTCTCGTCACTTTCTTTGTAAGAGTGAACAATACATGATAATCAATACGACGGCTACTTTGAAGTGAATTCAATCGCGTCTAATCGTTGCTGTCATATACCAAGAGCTAGTCTCTGGAATCTACAAAGACCCATCTTATCTATGCTTGAGAAAGATCAGCACGATTCGTCTAAGGTCTTGCAATACCTGTATTCATATTACTTGAACGTCAATGATGCGGAGATGTGAGCTTGAATTATTAATGAAATGTTCATTCAAGTAAAATGCTAGTTAAGCTATCTGATATTATCAATTTATTAAAAGTATTTCATCGATCCATTGGACCCGCCCAATAAACAATAAACCAGCTTGACGATAAAGTAGGAGGGACAGAGAACCTCAATGCTCATTAGCCCGAAAAAACAAGGTGAAAACGCAGCTGGGCCCTTCCTCAGATCCAGATGAAAAAGAAATCCTCATTAAACCACACAGGACCTTCTTTTAAGGTCGCCACTCATTCAAGAAACCAGCTCTTTCGCTCCTTCATACCAACAAGTACCTTAATGGCCATCGCAAAGAGAAATACCTGCAAATTAATTCCTGTCAAAGGAAACTGAACAATAAATCGGGCTTTAAGAGATATCCTCAGAATTCAGTGCTTTTCAAAAGCTCAGGAACTGATTGTGATCGATTCTGCTTAGGTCTGTTTATCAACCCGCCGGCTTTTCGTGATACTTTTGTAATTCTTCTACCGGCTCTTGGCTGCTTGATATTTTCGGCCGTTGAGTTTCTTCGAATTCGCTTTTGTCTAAGGATCACAGCACCATGTATATTCTCTAAGTGTGCATCGCGGTTTCCTGCTCTTGTAAATGTCGCTTTACAGTCGCTCATCTTGCAAACGATCCGATCCTTAAGGCTTATCTTATGTTCTTTCTCATGTCTTCTTAGATTGCCTAATTTCCATTGGTCTTCTCCGCTCGGCTCATAATTGCATTCCGGATAAGAACACTTCAAGACTTTGTTATTAGACTTCGGGGATGGCATGTCGTAAGTGGATGTTCTTGTTTCTTCTTCTGTTGGAAATTGGGTCTCGGGTATGGTAGCGAAGTTAAAATTCTTATTAAATCCTCTACAAAGACTAATAAGCATGAATTCTCTCTGAGAAGGGATATGTTACCTACCGGACGTTTTCCGGAGACCACGGACGGGCATGTTTTTCTTCGTAAATTTCAAAGAGATTTGGGGCGTGTTGAATTTCAGTATCCATGGCCGGAGTGAAAGTAGCCGCGTCGGGTGTCACACAATTTTCTGCTTCGGATATAATGGTTTTCAAGCAGCGAGAGTCACGTTGAATTGTGGATTGCATGTATTGGGGATCATCGTCGATGGAGAAGTTGTTAGCAAGTCTTTGATCAATATCTGTGACATTTTGTGCCACATATGCAGATAAAGAATTGTTAATAATCTCCATCTCCCCAGACTCAAAAATTGCGTCTTTGAAATCAGAAAGATATGAAGCTTGCATTTGCTGATCTCTGCACAAATCATCGAGTTCAGAATGAATATTCGCAAAGCCAAACGTATTGAAATCATTTGGTCGTTTTGATTGCAGAATAGAACTTTGGTCCAAGTACCTTTCGTGACTAAACTCTGATGGGCTTACTAGCTGCCCAGGTTTACTGAAAAATGTATTTTCAAACCCCAACCATTCGTCTCCTGGAAAAAGACTTCTCGGGCTGGTTGCAGAAGTATAGTCGGATTGGGGGGCTCTTGGGCCATAGCCCGAATCGCTTGAAAACGTTTCACCGCTAGTATTCGTACTGGCAGTATCTGGCGATGAAATCCGAGGTGAATCTTCAAATAATCCCCTTTGATGTTGAATGGCATCAAGGTTACTTTTGAACCTCCTCAGGTCCGTCTGAATCGCAGGGCACATTGATCCGAGAGATCTGGGAGATTGGAGAGGCATTGAAATCGAAGGATCTTGCGACAGATACGCTGCATCCATCTGGATTCGTATCTCGGCGGTTGTATCGACTATTTCAGCCTCTGCAACGTTGCCAAAGTCAAAATTATCGGATAGGCAATGGCTGGCAATAGGAGTTGACTCTTGAGTTTCAATGTACCATGGGGTCCTAAAGCCAATTTGGTCACCATCAACACATGGAAGCTCTGTAATGACTCTTAAGCTGGCTTCAAGTGTGTCAAGAGATTGGAAATGACCATTGGAAGCGGAACTTGGAGACACGATGGCTCGTGAAGTGGACGATATTCGCTTTTGGTTGTTAAGAAAGCTATTACCTGCGACTAGAGTTGACTGATCATGATCCTGACTGTCTTCTGGAAGTTCTGGCAAGAGGCTGCTATCCGGAAGTTCGTGGAAATTACTCTCCCCGGAGAGTTCTGTCAAAAAAGTATCCTTGGCGCTCTCTTGAAACTTCTTAAGACTGGGAGATAGGTATTCACCATCATATGAGAATAAGCTTTGCGGGGATAGTGCTGATTCCTTTCTGCTACCATTCATAATAGAATCTCGATAAGGTAGTGTTGGATTGGTCCGAAGGTACTCCGTCATGTTCATCCTGTGAGAACACTCACGAGGATGTGATGATCCGGTGCATTCCAGCTCGTTTCGACTAGCGGTGGAAATGTGGAGGGGATTTGGTATTCCATAACGTCTTCCAAACATGGTGAATGTCTTCTTTTCAGTTGCTTTCTTTTTTTGTTTGGAACTTCGGCAGCACACCCGCCTGAAATCAGGCTTCTCAAGCTTTTCTATCTTGGTCCAATGAAGGCAAAGGCGATGGTGGAAGATACGAAAGTGCATGAGCCTTTGAGTCTTGATCTTAAAAGCTTTGCTTGGTGGTGAAGACTTAATTGCTCATGAGTATCGAGCGATTAATTCAGAATGTTTTCAATGGAGGAAGTGACTAAAGCAGGGTTAGTTTAAGCGTTCAAGGCTGTATCATTCCAATGAATAGGATAAGACTATACCTAAGTTTTGGTCGGTGAGTTTGGTGTTTATCGATGTTGGTGTCGATGTTCGAATATCGGGAGGTGTTGGAGACAGTCTTTTTAGTTGGTATTAGACAAGGGGGAATCAATGTCATCAGTCAGAGAAGTGAAAGAACTGATGTGGTTTTTTGAGATAGCCTGAGACCTTCTGATAATCTGGGATGAGAAAGGGGATCAATGTAATCCCATGTTGTGAGACTAAGTGTGCTTTTCTTTGGCAGTTGTGCGGTACAATACGCTCTAACCACTCGTAAGATATAGCTTTATATATCAATAGCTGCATATCTTCTAAAATCAAGGAAAACTGCTCGCTGCAGCATAAGGAATAGACTGTAATATGTTGCCGTGACTTGTCGTTCATGACCAGCTTCATAGTCCTTCGGATTGAACCTTGACTGTACGGTATGGCGGTGGGTGCACTCGTTGACGGGTATTCGATTGGCAGGGAGAATCCAATAGATTGAGAAAGAAATGTCCTTAGAGAATTGTCAGTCCTTATCCGTAATGCCGCAAGTGGTACTATTACCTCAATTGATGTCCGCCTCGTTTGCCTCATGGTAAGTGAGTGGATGTGGGAAGTTGGAAGCATGGTCAACGAGAGTGTAGAGCCGGGGGACAGTGTAAATTTCTCTGCGGAAACGTACTCGGCGATGGATAGTTACGAGTCCTTTCTACCAAAAGACTTTGGGTTTGTGTAATGATGCAGAAGACCCGATGATGTGAAGAGCGTTGTAGACTTCAACCTTATCACATGCAAGGATCTTCTCTAGAAAGGAATGAGAAGGACTTCTTAGTTCGTATCGTGAAGTGAAAGACAAAAGGGGAAGGCTCCAGAAGAAAGACTGACCATGCACGGAAGTTTTGGGTGTGAAAAAGAGCACAGAATTATCAAGTTATAAGAGTCGAATTCTTTTTAAAGATCCGGAGCAGAGTCTAAATGATATACTTGTATTCATAGCCAGCCCCCATGCCTCTCTAATTAATTGATCCCTCAGCCCCCGATAAATTCCATTTTCGTCAGAGATGTGCTGCAACTCAAAGCTTCTCAAGCAATCTGGCGCCGATTATGGGGGCTGTAAAAAAGCTACAAGCCTTGAAATGTGGGAGATGTGGGAACTTTGGGGTCGATTTCCTGTACCAATGTACCAATGTATCAATTCATCATTCTGACATACATAAAGCTGGGTGACATTCGCTTCGAATCAATAGATTCCATATTTGGAGAGCTGCATCTAAAAGGACTGAAAGCTTTCGCAGGACTTCTCCAGGGCTTTTTCGCAGGACTAAATGTATGCGATTCTTGGCCATTTAGAGGAATAAGGCTTTTATCTGTTAGCATTCATCATGATTAATTATTAAGAGATGGATTTTCGCGGCTGTTGCGACTATTGAAAAACCACGAGCAAGTTACTGCGATGTCCCCCTCCTTCAATCCAACCCCGCATTTTACCGTCCACAGCGTTTCATCTGATTTTTAGAAAGCGCTTAGGCACAATCTATGATCCTTGAGCCTCGTTCCCTATAACTCAAGTCAAGTGCAATTCTTTTCATGATAAGAACGATAACAAATGAGTTCGAACTATCTCTTACTGTCGTTATAATGCTTCATTTATCGTTAGCGCGCGGTTACCGAGTTATTGGCTCGTGAAATCGAACTGTTTAGAGCCGTACCAATTACTGGAAAGCTAGAACTACCGTGCGAATAAGAATAGGAAATTGCGATCACTGCCCTTACTATGGCCAATGGTTTGTTTTCCAAGAACAGCACACACACCAAAGACTGTTCCGTACCTCCCAAGGTTGAGAGGCTCAAAATTCGCGGGAAACTTCCGGATGATCGGGATGTGCTGTACACCTGGTATATGGCGGCCATTGAACGAACCATAGGTTAAAGAAACCGTAGAAACGAACTACTCGCATGTCATTATCCAGGTTACAGGATCAATGAACATGGAACGACGTTCCAAGTTTTCGATTAGATTGACCCATAACTTTTCAAATATCATTTATCGGGGAGAGAAGCGAAATGCGATCGTGAAGCTACTCGATGTGACAATCTTAGAAATTTCCAATTTCAATTCACGACTCCTTGATTACAACAAGAATACAGGAAAATGTTTTTCCCCAAAAGTTTTCCGTCGTAGACCTAGCAATCAGACCATTTTCAGCTCCGGGATAACCTTAGGCCGCACAACTTTACAATATTGATTTGGGCATCAACATAAATTGGGAGGAACAGGGCAATAGAATCCAAGATACTTTAGGTCTGCCTCGAATGATCATCATGGTTCGCCATTAACAGATGCGAACCACGAGAAGAACTCGTCATCATGTAGCTCGAGTCTGGTCTAGAGACGAGTCAAAACCGTAGTTCTGTTTGGAAATAATAAAACTCTCAAGAATCATGTAATCAAAGATGGTCAGGATAATGGAACGATAAATTGAATGAGGCTATAAAAACAGTAAGGACTGGAAATGTTCGACGAAAAATCACACAAAAGCAACGCAGTCTAGAGAAACAAATATTAAGTATCCGCTGATGTCTTCCAAGTACGCACTTCTGATCGAAGCTTATTTTCATCTATAGCATTGCAATTTCATTACAAGATTGGTCTGGGTCGTCCCCGTCAACACTAAAAACAAAAGTCAGAAATTACCTTCAATATTTTACTCCTCGACGATGATTCTCACATTGTAGGAAATGACTTATTCAATGATTGATTCTTGAAACAATGGATTCGCCCTATTGAATGAATTGATTAGCGCGCACTCTTTGCAGAACAAAAGATTAAAGGATCTGTACCGCAAGGGGCAGGGTCAAGGATGGGTACTGCTAGGCATGGCTCCAAGTCATCTTCCATACATCCACGATTTGCGATATGATGACCGTGCGGCTGGTCGAACGCCTGTCCAACACTTGAAGGCCTATTGGTATTTGCGTGGGAAGATGGTTGTTCATGCTTGGCTGAGTCGCCATTGGGAAGTGCAGGCCAATAATCGTCCAAGTGATGATCAAGTACATATCGCTTCGGCTCAAGATTCAGTCGTTGCATCAACCTCAAATAAGATCCTTCATCCAAACGTGAATCGTATGCTCGTGCCTGAGGACCTGTGGTCATAGTTCTAAAGCTTCTGCGCGGGGCGAAGAAAACATGAGGGATTCGAAAATTACCTGGACCACGGCGGAGGTACTCAATACCCCGAAACCAGTAGCGTGAGCGGAAGTTTTGTGGAAAAGTCAGTCGCCCAGTACTCTGGTCAACCTCGTAATGTCCGTAGGGGGAGTAAATCGTCGGTCCAGAGGTACTAGCATTGCGGAAGTTACCATGAGTCATCTAATCAGCATTTTGTTAGCCTTTACTAACCATCAACCATTCTTGCAAAGAATTTTACTTGAACAAATGATAGCCTGAGTATGCTTGGCATAATCCCATTGGGCTCATAACGCTTTCCGATGATCACTACAGGGTGATCGTGCCCCTCTTGCTTCAAAACGCAACGTCCATTGTTTCGACAAGGATGGCCATTGACATCAGACCACATACATATCAAATCCTCTCCAAAGATTGTACTTGGAAGGAACAGTATACAGCCAACTTTGATGTCCTGTACCTGCACATTTTGGCGAGTTGTTGTCATAGTAACTAAAAAGCAGAAGAAAAAAGATCAAGACGTTGAGGCAGACAAGATTAAAGAGAGCTTTTTAAAGATAGGAAATAGAAATAAAACAGATGATTAAAATGATGAAGATCTTCCAGAGATGCTGGCTGAAAAGAATGTGAAGATGAGATTTCAAGGGGGGAGGACTCGTGTTTTTATTGACAATTGTGAGCTTCCTGTGAGAAAGAAAGATGGAAATAGAACCAATCTTTTTCGCCCAACTCGAAAGTAACAAATTCTAAAATGGTGAATTGGATTCTATCAAAGAAAGGTCTCACAAATTCCTCGACACGAGACAATCTTACAGACACTTCCGTAAGACATTACGAGGCCTTTATCAATAGGTATTGGTGGAAAGACAGTAACAAAGAAAAGTTGTTCAAAATCTTAATGGGATCTATAATTGAGGCATAATTCAGCCTTCATAGTTGTCTATATCAATATTCAGTATCGATGTTCCAGACATCGGGCGAGATCGTGGTTGAGGACAGTTCATCAATTCCGTCTGACCTAAAAACCTGCTGTCAATATCTATCATTCGATATCGCATAAACACTAGTTTACTTCTCAAATTGACTTCACAGAAAACTATTTCAGGTGAAGCAGATAGAATTGTAGGTTCAATCCAGTTTGAGTAGCGGAGAAGGGTTTGATTTTTTCCTGCTCCGAGTTGTGAAGCCTGAGCTTTAATGACTTATCCACAAAAAGGAAAGGCGTGCGGTACCAGCGGCCGCAAAGCGTTCCCACAAAGCCACTTCCGCTTATGCATAATAAAATGCTGTGTGCTTTGGTTCGCATGCACAACGAATATAAATACAGTTATACTTGTGTACTACTGGGTCGCATACCCACAAATGGTCCCAATCCAATATGAGAGGCCTCGTGGGTTATCTTACACATAGAGGTCTAGTACAAGTACTGAGTTAAGCGATCATAATTGTGATCAAATCGCCTCTTCACTTTCAATCATACTATTAGCAGCCCTGGGTCTTTAATCTTACCCCTTTTCTTTATTTCGCCTACGCACAATTTCAACAGATCGATTTATATCTACATACCGGTACACGAAATCATTTGGAACGCAGTTGTGAACGTGGGATAACCACCTATCAAGTGATAATATTTTTGGCTCATGAATTCCAATTTTTTCTCATGTTATATATTTTTCTCAACGCAAGATGGAGAGATGCTCACGAGAATGTGTCTTCCTAGTGAATCTACACGCCAATTATAAACGGGCATTACAACAAACAGAGATTTAATAAAATTCCATGGAACAATACCAATCTAGGTGTCTTTCAGGTCTTTGGGAGACCAGACAGACGCTCGATATTAAGATTGGGACAATACATAGATTCCTCTATTGGTGATCAACATGCTTCTGTCTATAGATAGACGAGAAATTATTCTTGGTTCCACAATCCGTCTCAGCAGAGGCCGAGAATTATGTGTAGAAAAAATCCGCATTTGCCTGTAAAATCTCCTATTTTCTTTTTTGAGGATTATTTTTCTGACTCGATTACCAGTACTGATCTTACAGTGTATCTGAATGTCTGATATTTTCATCAAATATCTGGAGGTAATCAATCGAAGAGCAGGCATGTATGAACCAAGCAGGTTGGTTCTTTGATTTGCTCAGCTCGAAGAGTAGTAGTTCAGTCAAGATTTGAATATAGCTGGGGGAACACGTACAGAATTTCTGAAAGATAGGAGCTTTTTCGTATCTATGAATCGAAATATGTCGTAGTAGAGTGTGCATAACGCTGAAAGTCCTTATAGTCAATGCCAATATCTGAATATCGTCTGCAATGAACTTCCTTCCTGTATGACTACTTGTCTTTTGATTTTCTACTTGCTTGATCAACTAGAGTCTCACGAAGTGATATTGATCACAACTTCCCAAACAAGAACTTATGAATACTGTCATTGTCGGGGCATTTTTCAAGCAGTCTCAAATTTTAGCGATCTTCATTAATATCCCATGTGATTCATCCCGCTTTGGGAACGTATGTAATGTAGGAGCTTCACAGGTTAGTCTCAACATTTGTCTTCTCAGACTACCAGCTCTCTTTCTCAATTCTAGATGTTCACTATTGTCTGCGGAGTGAATCTTACTGTCCTTTCGAGGCCGAAATTAGATCGATCTCTGCTGTTTATTTTGTTGCTCAGCTTATAGATAACCATCTACCTCATATGATAATACATAATTGCTCTCTAACAAGCCCAAAACCCTGCGTAGCAACCATGAAGGCTGAATCCACTCAGTAACACAATCAAATTTCAGTAGCAACTGCCCAGTAATAGCCAAGTCAGTCCTACCAATAAATTCGAAGATGCAAGGAGGGCGGGATCTTTACAACTTAAATAGTTTCGAAATAACTGCTATCAATTCATCTATCGACGAATCCAAGCATCTTCAACCTATGATTTAGTTTTAGTAAAGTCATCTCACCACCAAGTCCCGCCGACTCACATAATACCCAATGCAAATGAAAGACAAAAGATATCTGAGATATGCATCCACCTAATGCTTCACCTCGATTTCTTTGAAATTGTCAGCTCAGACATCGCGTAGAGAGGAGATATCCGGAATACAATTCATATCTTTCAATTCTCTCTATCTTATAGCGCATTTTTTTTCATCTCAAAGTGGTATGTTCGAACATAATAAAGATATCAATTGCAGATAATTTCATCTACAAGAAATTTCGTGATTCGTGCCGCTCGTTGAAACCAAGGAATCTGTTCTTATCACTCATGTCTGAAGTCAAGAACCTCTTATAGATTGATTTAGAAAGGCTTCATTACTAATGAGTACTCTTTTTCCATGTATGTTTGTTGGTAATTCAAACTCGTATTTCATAGTCTCGGTATTGCAGATTGGCATGTTTTCAAATTGTAGGCCAACCCGAAAGTTCTCGATCATAACTTTGGGACTCTCATGCTTCTCAGCACTTCTTATGGAAAGCCCAAGAGGAATAAATGATGGCCGGAACATGAGTCATAAACAGGCCATGATCCGTTCCCTTGGGTACAGCCACCGAATGGAAAGACATCCGGCAGGCTTGAATTTGGCCCCGTATCACGTGTCTCGCTTACCTTACGTCGTTGACAGTTGGGGAAGATAACTTCCCTCTGAACGTCAGCACTTGTACCAAAAAGCAAATGTTAACTATATTATGATTAAACTTATCGGATGATACCAACCAACCAACCTCAAATATGGTATGTGCAGCGATATCCTACCATTTTTGAATCCTACGTTCTCCACTTTTTCTGATTGCCGCTTGGATAATTGGTCCTTACGCTTCCGAACAGTACTTTATGATGATCAAGCACGAGAATTATCATTAGTAGGTTTTCAGTCCTGAGGATGCAAATTCGAAATTACATTGCAGTGTTCTCTCCTTCCTTCTCTTCCAAACTCCAGAATTTCTGAAACATAGGAAAGCCTTACAAGTAGATGAAACGGGGTCTTTTTTGTAATGACCAGGGGGTCGGCGGCTAGAACCCACCTGTCTGACCGATCCACCACGCTATCTTCCCTCGAATCTAACCTTAATTTCTTGCAGTAGTACATTTGCATTTTCATATGTTAGCATTTTCTTTGGCGCATTCATCCATAGCAACGTGTCGGGGTATATCTCGCTGCACGAAAACACGTTCGTTTCGTGCAAACTAGTATGCTAACAGAATCATCTGGTCTTACGGAGAATTTCTTGAAGAATTGGAACCAATGTTTTGATAAAGTGAGATTTGTAATTTCGTATTGAATGGGCAACATCGAGGCTTGTTCGGAGAAGTGGGGCAAAACTGCGGAGCAAAATAACGCTGTAATATCAAATCACAAATCCATTGCTTTCGCTTCAAGCAAAGCGGTAGACCATTCATACATACCAACAGGGCTTTGGACTTGGCTGTCGTACGGGTATGCTTGGGGAAATACCTGGAAGTACCTGTATCATAGTGCAGGTAATGTTCATGTGGAGCCGTATTCTTCATTTCGTAAAACGGGTGTGGCGTGCTAAATTGCGTTACAAAAGTTTAAGCAAGGCTTCTGGGGTCGAAAGGCAGATTCTGTAGTCGGTTAGTGGTTTTCGTACATAGTGCTTGACCATAGGGATGATATGGAGAAAGTTTCACAGAGATAGAGCCTTGGAGGAAGATCTGGATCATAACTCAGGCCCAGTAATGGTTGGAAATGATGACAATCATTGACATGCTTTGTATAAGTACACGTTGCGAGAAATTTGTAGTAAGAGATATCATTAGCAATTAGTCAAATCTAGTGGTCGAGACAAATGTTGACGTACCAAAACCAAGACACACACACAAATCATCATTCCAAAACGAATCAGATAAGCCGGTTAGGATTTGCGTTACATCTTGTACCTTCCAGATCTCATCAATCCTTTTTCTGTTAAGGCTTTCATTGGTAGACACACAGCAGTAAATCGACTGTAGGCGAATTGAATACACATCATGACGTGGGTTGAAAGTGAATCCTACGTCCAGAGAGACTGCAGCTTCCAGGACAATCGAAATCAGTATATTCGAGATACCGATCGCCGGAGCTTGAACAATAGCCCCGACTATAATTCAAGAACCTATACCTCACAAACGTATAGCCCAGCTCATTATACATTATCAGAGTATAGCTCGCCCCCAAACGCAGTCTTCACTAACATTTCCTCTCACATCCACGATGAAGATCTCAATATATCAGAAGAAAGACCTCGAAATACTAGAAATAGTCAACACGATGCCATTGTAGCACAAAATAGCATTACTACCTCCACAGAGTGCAATGACTACTTGTGGCAAGGTACCTCATACCCAAGCCTTGAATATGGCACCGAATCCATCTACAATTCAAATATCGATCCAAGTCTTTGGAATTGTACTACAACGAGCACTGGACCAATCGCGCCACTTCCTGTTCTTACAGAAGCACAAAGCATTCTCAACGAGCAACGTTTCAAGCAGTGCTGGGATATTCCATCACTAGAAGCAGCAAACCCTATGCAGATCAATGAATACGCCGGAGTAACCTTTCCATCGTGCATGATCGGTCAAGCTAGTATATCGAGAACAGCCAGTGTAAATTCATTCCGGTCAGCGTCGTCAGTTTCTAAACCAGAACGGGAACTCGCCTCGTCATTTTTCGACATGACTGAGTCTATGACAATTAGATCACAATCCCCAGGCGAAGAATCTTATAGATCTGAGTCAACTTCTGGGTCACCTCTACCAAGCATCGCAGAGAAATCATCAACTCGCTCAGGGAAACGGAGGCTTCAAGAGAGGAATGACCCAAATCATGTAAACCGTCGCGGAGATACCGGAAGAAGGAAGTTAGATCGATACTTTTGCACTCGGTGTAATGCTTTTCCCAAAGGCTGGAAGCTACCCGAGGACTTGCGAAAACATAATCAAGGACATCATACCGAAACTGGATTTTACTGTGCCTCTGGAGTGGATGAGAAATGTGCCTATTGGAGTTCTCAGGAGTCGAGATATATAGACCATCTAAAGGTAGAGCATGCTAGTTCACGCATCTCACAAGAGATTATCCAGAAATATAATACCATAAACGGTATTACCCTCGATGGTAGTTACATGTGCAGGATACCAGGTTGTGACAAGGTTTATAAAAGAGCAGAGCGAGGTCGTCGAGACAAGCATGAAGAAAGGAAGGCCGCACACGTTTTTAAGGGGGAATTGGGAAGAAGCGTAGATCCAGCCCATCTATTCCCAAACAGTCATGTGGGGTGCACAAATGATGAGACGAAAAGACATGTTGATATGGGACAGTGCGATTTTGCTCATTCTGGTCCAGCCAGGGAATCCGGGGGTGTTGGCCAGAGTAACCGTCAATTTGAATAAGGTGATAGAAACATCTCTCCAATTGGAAATAATGAAGGACCATGTTGTATATCTACAGTATAGTATACAGATAATATGAAATAATGCCAGTAATCAACGACAATGTCTTTGAATTTCGTGAAATAAAAGAGTTTGATGACAAGAGTGAATGATATTAAGATAATATCATGCGTTTTGTAGAGGAGAAACAAATAAATAAATGTCAAAATGTGACTGCCTAAAATAGTCACCTGGTTTACTTGTTGGACCCTCTGGTCGAGGCGCCTGAACAGCGCCCACATAGACAGAAATGGCGGCGCACCAGACCACCCAAATAAACTCACCTTGAAACAATTGATATTTCGATGTACAATCAACGAAAAGAATATAAAGCCAAAAATTCAAAAAAATTCATATTTCTAAAAATAAAAGGAACCTTCAAACATCCGTTCATTCTAATCTCAACTCGAGATATTGATTGACGGATCTTATCTCGAATGTTGGATGGAGGTTTTGATTCTTGGGGACACGTCGGTTGTCCAGCTGGAGCCATATATCGTCGTGCGCCTTGAGCTAGATCCAAGGACAACATTACTATGTTGCCTATTTTTTTCAAGTACCACCAAAAAGTTGGCTGAGAAAGTGGTTGATGAATTTTTCAGATTGCAGCCTCGAAGTTCTAGATTGATAGAATGTTTGTTTTGTGCTATATGAACTATATAAATGAGGTATACTATCGACTACAAAGCATTATCATCTCAATCAAAATCTCAATCTCAATCTCAATCAAAATCTCAATCTCAATCTCAATCTCAATCTCATTAATCCAGATTTTGGCTATCAGAGCGATTCTCATCGAGAGAAGCTATACTTCACAATCGAACTTCATTTTGGCAAAATCGGCAAAATGTCAGCAGCAGCGTCTCGTACGATTAGAATACCTGAGTTGGAAACTCAAGATCTCGATATAGGGGGTCTTGACTCACCGGAACCATCATTAAGCCCGGGAGATACCGTCGAACCTTCCGTGGATACTAACATACGAGATATTGAAAAACATCAGGCAGCGCGCAAGAAATTTGGTAAAAATAATAAAGGACGAGACTCGGAGGCAGGACACGGCGATAGCCATAGGCCGAGAAGACGGCGGAGCCACCGCAAGGAAGAACCGATGAAGATTGATGTCCGATTTGAAGACATAGGACCATCCACCGACGAAATTGTAACTACGACTTTAACTACATTTCATGGATTACCATTTTCTTTAGAGAAAAGAAAAGTTCAAACAACTCAGTTCAAAAGGAGCTCGCACGGAGGGGAAGACCACAAGAAACCCTCAGGCTCAAATCGAATACCTACAGGAACTGACAGAGGCTTGCATCAGAACAGAGAAGAGGGAGATTCTGATAGAATGACAAAACATTCCTCCCAGAAAGGAAGTGTCTCGAGCCAAGAAAAAAGCGAGCGCAAGCCAAAATCTGCTACCAGCTCAAGACACGATGCCCCGACTCACAGAAGCGCAAGAGACAATAGTGAGCAGGTACCGCGAGCAGGTTCCCGCCATTCGAGTAATTCCTCAAATTCACAAAACACACACAAAGTCTTTGGTGATGAGCCAAGTCCGGGGGGGCCCAAAGCCTTGAGTGAGGGACCCGCCGGTGGGTCTTTGAATGGTAGACCTCCTCGAAGCAATACTGGAGCTTCCGGTCGTCACAGTTCGAGTGGGAGAGATTTGCAAAACAAGTACCAACCTATTAGAGGTCCTCTTCCAAATCATGAACAAGAAGAGCATACTCAAATAGGTTATGGAAGAAACGACAAGAATAATGAGCCTTATGCACTTGAGATTGGGAAACACGATCATAAATCTTCAGGATCGATACACTCCAAAGCTAGCACCCCTACTCCTTCAGGATCGATACACTCCAAAGCGAGCACCCGTACTTCTTCAGGATCGATACACTCCAAAGCTAGCACCTCTTCTCCTCCAGAATCGATACACTCCAAAGTTAGCACCCCTACTCCTTCAGGATCGATACACTCCAAAGCGAGCACCCGTACTTCTTCAGGATCGATACGCTCCAAAGTTAGCACCCCTACTCCTCCAGAATCGACACACTCCAAAGTTAGTAGCATCCCTCCTCCTCCAGAAGATGAACGTACCCAAATATTTCGTGGGAAAGTCGCTAAGGAAGATGATTCTTCTGCATATATGATTGAAAGATATCTATCTAATACGTCAGCATCGGGAAGCGGCAAATATGGTGGTAGGAGAGCTAGTACACGCAATAGTATCGCTCCTTCCCACTATACTGCCTCAGAGCAAGCTCCATCAAGTCTCGGGGGGGAGAGTGAGTCAGGTCGTGGTAGAAGAGCCCATAGATAGTAGAGTATGCAAATACAAGTTTTGAAACCGAGTCCGACTCACAGATGAGTCCTTCGGCGGTAGTGGAAACTGAAAATACACAAAGATCAATGACCTTTGGTTATCTTGAATCGTGTCAAAAGCGTATCTTGTCATCAAGGCTGAGGGAGACAATGGAAGTGTGGAAATTATCAAGTGGCCAAACCCAGTCTGTTTTTTGCCGACTCAGAGATTGGTACTCAAAGAATATAGGCTACGTGTGCTTACACTCAAAAGATGTATCTAGTAGCCAAAGCATCTGAATCAGGATGAGAAGAGACTAAAGGTAAAGATAAGGAAGGATGTAAAAGATTATTTTGGGTGTTTTGGGTGTTTTGGGCATTTTAGGTAGCGACTGAACTTTTCTCTCATCATTTTTTTCTGGTTCTTCCAACGGTGTTATGTTAAAAGCATGTCTTTCGCCCGGTGATATCATTTCGCTTCCGTGTAAATAATTCATGCGGTCCATAGCTGACGATCCGCAATGGAACGAACAGAGATCATTGTGAAGATGTAATTGTGGAAGGTATTCCCTATGTTGTGAACTTTGAACTATGAAATGATTAAATGATTCCATGATCATCAGACTTTGAAACGCGTACGTCTCTATATAGCATCGAAAAATACTGAACACTCGGACGATCATGTGAGGCAGAAGAATTGGTACTCGAAACTGGGGATTCGAATTTCGACGCGGCATATTTTTCAATGGAAATGATGACGGCAATCATAGATCAGCATTGCCAATGAATGAACAAATAGATAAATATGTCTATGTCCTGCTCAAGGGTCACTTGAACCACAGGCGGGAGCTGAACATGAAGTGGATATCAAATTTAACATGTAAATGTCAACCAGAGGCTGTAGAGGCGTATATATTAGTTATAAATACATAAGATTGGCAGCATAACGTCAAATGTCATAAGAACGTTTGTAGTGCTTCGCAATCGCAATTCCATGCGGATTTTGGACATATTTCTACGTTATACATATCGCTCATGCTGACAATGCATTTCCGTGTTGTGTTTTATACACGCAATGAGCAACACAGTACAGTCTTTTACAGACTCATAGTACCTTGTGCTATATTGCCAACTCTTCTCTACTCCACACCTCCACAAATAGTTGACCAAATGCATTGTTTTGTACCATCCGCCAGATGGTACCCCTCACTCATCCCTCTTTGCCAACTCGATTCGTCTTTGCCTATTCTCCCGCGCTGCTGTTCTCGTCGGTCCCCATCTAGCTTTTACGGCTTCCAACTTCTCTCTTTCCAAATCTCTCTTTTCTGCCGATGCTTCTGTAATCATGCCAATAAATATTGACGAACAATTGAACTTCTTAGCCAATTGCAATCTAGTCCATTTCTCTGGTTCCTCCGCTCTCAGCCTCCTAATCTCCGCAACATCCTTTTCACTCAAATGATGCCTCTCATACTTCAGCTGCTTCGGGTTGACCGGAGGTGGTAATCGATGTGAGAGAGCTTTGAGTCGTTCTTGGGTGATTGCTAAAAGCTTTCTTCTCTTGTCGTCTTTGGGGAGGAATTTTAGAGGGGTGTGGAAAACGGAGGGAGAGGAGGATGGCGGATTGAAAATGATGTGATCTTGTGGCGCACCATTTGATGGGACAAAATTTGGATCTGGTTTGACATTTAAACGTTGCTTGGAACGTCTGTAAGAGGATTCATGTCGACGGGCCGTGGCGTTCAAAGACAATAGGCATTGAGGGTTTGCAGAGAAGAGGTTGGCGACGGGCCGACGTAATAGTCTGAGATCCATGGTTGTGTGAGTATTTTGATTAAAGGTAAAAGTCAATAACTCATTAAGTATTCCTCACATTCACATTTCATCATCTAATGGAAAAGACGAATGGAAAAATATTTGCTGCCTCATCAATAAGGTTACCACATGGGACACCCACCAAGCCACCCTCCACCATTACAACTTACAAGCCTTGCGACAAGGCTCTTTATCCCAAATCATTTTCATTTCGAGGTTCCCAACTTTTTGATTGTCAGGCGACTTGTTTCCATGAAATTAAAAAAAAAAAATTGCTTGATTATGTTGGTGATGATGAAATGATTGACCAACCCTTTTCCAATCTACAACATCAACAAGGAAGATCCAAAATCCTGCATTAAAAAGCATTGAATTCGAAATCCTCCCCCTCCTCTTAAAGGGCACATAACACACATAACACACATAACACACATAACACACATAACACACATAACACAGTCACATATCTCATTCACAACTGGAATCACCAGAAATCACCAGAAATCACGAGCAATCACAAGGCAATCACCCCTCTTCTTATGACTCTTGCCGCTTCTTGGACCACCCATTCTTGCGAAGAAAGAAAGGTAGGTGAAATCATCTTATGATTCCAATTCCAACTCTAATTCCAACTCCAACTCCAATTCCAATTCCAATTCCAATTACAATTACCATTATCATTATCATTACAATAATAATTGTCTAGATTGTCATGCCTTTGAATGTGTCTATTGTTGGACGGTTATGATCTCTTATATACTCGTATAGGAATCCATATTATTTTTCTTTCACAGCTCAATCTTTGAATTTGGATCTCGACTCTTCTTTGTTCTTATCATTTCAACTTTTCTCTCTTTGGCCAATTCTAATTTTCATTGACCGGAACCAAAGCTGATAATTCCCAAAGATAATCTGCACGCGTAAGTCTGCGACCCTCCAAAGTATTGGTTTGATTAAGGCGCATACGCCAACATCCATTATGATGCGATTAAGTTTCCACAGCGCATATCCATTTATTTATTTGTTCATGTTCATCTGACACTTCGCAAATAGTATACCAGAGATTCGACTCGACTTACTTCCTCGATATCGAAAAAAAAACAAAAAAAAACAAATCCGAAATCTTTCTATCAATCGTCATCATGAGCGCACCGGAATCTAGTACTTTACATGCGAACACACCCGTCCCCACAGGCCAACAATCTATAACCACGTCAAAGGCCCCTCTACTAGGTGAGAGATTCAAAGTACCAACGAACCAAAAATTGTCGAATCCCAGTGAAAACAGTGAGGTCGATGTGGATGCGAGTGATTCTGCGAGCGGAACCGCAAAGTCGGGAAAGCGAAGATTGTTTGGATTCGGAAAAAAGAAGAATGATGAAAAGGTAAAGAGCAAAAAGAAGGATGATGGAGCCCTTGCTGGCAATGCACCATTGATCCGCCCTCTCCAGCAGACGCAGATGACGAACTCCCCTCCACGATCAAGCTATCCATACCAACACCCTTCATCACCACCAGGTCGAAAATTGTTCTCATCTTCCCCACGTGTAGTGTCGCCTGCAGGTTCGCAAATCTTCGAGCGTGATGTGCAAGAAAGTGCTATTCAGCCAAATTCTCCCGCAATTCCGTCGCATATACAGACCGAGGATTATATTCCACCAGTCCTAGATGCATCGTCGCAGGCTATTACGAACAATGACATTGATCCGGATACAGTGGAAATCGTTATGCACTCTTCTCATCAGCCAGCAGTAATGTCAATGAGTGGTATCAGCAGTAGCGAACCTGGCGCGTCAATGTGGACAGACGACTTGGTGGCCCACCCCGACAAGGACGATGCGGCATCAAACTACGGTGCTCTTGATAGTACAGACATCCGGAGATTAAGCTTCATTTCATTTGCAGATGTAGTGCAATCAGAGCACGCAGAACATGCTGGCAATAGAGACTCAATATATATTGCGGGACTCAGTGCGTTGTCATCACCAGGTATATCACCAGGTGTGAACCGTTCACCTTCGCCTGTGCGATCACCAGTATCGTCGTTTGGATTCGGAACATCACCCCCGACTAGTAAGTCAGCTTCCGTGAAAGGTGTTGAGCTTTCGCCAGTTCGAAAACAAACTGGTCTCGCCAGTCCGACTTCACTTCACTCTCCTACAAATGGCGGCGAATTGACCATAGAGACAATGTCACAGGCTGTGAAGAAGACCGGGAGCGGCGATCTTAGTGGCGGCCTTCGCAGTTTACCTTTAAGCCCGGTAAGCTCTGATGGCCCGGATACGCCATTTAGATAAGCCAGTCATTGGATCCGAGGTTGAATTGTTGTGTGTGATGGATGATGTTTACTATTCAGTTACTGCTTGCTATACATCTGGCGAGGTTTTATAGGGTTGGAACAATTGTAGTTTGGGACAAGGGGAGGGGGTATGGATTGCTGTGTATATGAGATACTCGATTGAGCGAACAGTAACTGGCGTTCCGGATTAGGACTTATCTTACTCTCTATTTCATATATTGATTCACTCGACCTTGGGATTGGTAGTTTTTTACGACTGACGTGGAGCAATTTCAATTCTTAGTCGCATTTATGAGATGATTGATGATATGATGTGCCGTTATAGTTGTCCGTGTGCTTCATTTCATGTAATAAACTTAACCTAGGCTCCTCACTCTGGAAGAAAGGGGGTCGAGGTAATACTTTTATGATATGAGTCGTTCACTTAATTGAGATAATGTGACAGATGTTGTAAGGGATGAATTATGTTGTGTGAATGCCGAGGTCGTAATGATTTGTTATTAACTTACTATCCATACCAGATACTAATTGATCTGTCTAATGTCTCATATTGGATAAGCAGCGATTCCAGATTTCAACATCTCAAGGATAAATGTGTGGAGTTAGAGAGGGAGTTTATAGATGGAAATGATTTACTAGGTAGGTAGGTATCAATGTAGATAATCGATGACATCGTCCCTTCCCCTCTTTCAATCCCATTGCCGGAGAATACCCAACTCCCATGATGTTTGTTATCTCTATACCAAGGTTCTTTTCCTTTGCATACAAAGTCAAGCGTTGAAAACTTGATCGATATCTGCCTAGTGGCTAGGTGTGCTTGCTGTACCTAGTAGGTAGTAGCTAGCATCTTTGGTATGCCCACAGAAAATGGTGGATATATTGTATTGTATCGTGTTGTGAGAAGTTGTACCAGTAGTCTCGTAGAGTTGTTGTTGTCTTCTTTAAATGTGATTTGGCATACCTAAGTGATGACCTAGTACATGGTAGATAGTACATAGTAGATAGTATCTGGTATCTGATCTGATCTGATATCTCCTCACTAAAGATAGTAGTTTCAATAACGTCTACCCGTTGAATGAATGTTGAAACAATGCTAAAAGCATCAATTAAGAATTCACGTACCATGACTTTCATCATTAGCCGCGATAATACCAACCGTTGCAAATCTTGGAGATATCTACAATGTGATTGGTACCCAATTATCACCAGTACCTTGTTTTACCTCGTTTCCAGAAGTTCCCCAAATATACTTTTTATTATCATTTATCATTTCTTTCCTCACTACCGGATATTGAGCAAGGATTCTCTGCGTGGTGCTCCGATACAACCGAAAAAGCACAACTCACTCGTACAGTCATACCTGGTACATTGTACTTCACGCATACTTATCAAAATGCTTCATCATAACGTCGTTAAGAACTCATAGCTTCGTACAGACTTCGTGCAGACTTCGTATATGTCCCCTACCTACTTACCTACCTACCTACATCCTCGTAGTACGTACTTTACAATCAGAATACAACACGTACCCACTTACCTATTCATCATCACCTTCTCCCCAATTCTTTTCTCTTGTCCTTTCGCTTCACTAACAACCCATAATCTACTTCATCCCCTGAATTCTCCATAGATATATCACCTACCCAGTCAATTGGCTCCCAACCTGGATCTCTCTATATAAGGCGACAGGCAATTGCATCTCTCTTCCCCTCCACTTAAGGCTTCGGGCCTTATTTATTCCCTTTTTCTTACTACCTTAAGCATGGTCCTGGACTGGAATATTCCACACCCCCCAGCAGCCCAGCTTTACTAGTAAACTATCAACCCTTGAAAGCTCCGACCTCTATACTCCAAAGGGAAAAAATCCGACCCGCTAAAGTAGATTCGACGGAATCTTGGTTAAACTTGTTATATATGGTATATGGCTAGTGATGATGAAGAACTCTCAAATCTCGCAATCGGTATTGGGAAACCATAAGGCACATTTGGAGCGGACTCAATTCTATCGGTAAAAGGAAAAGAAAAGCTTTGTCATTCAATCAAAAGATCTACGCTATTTGCGCGGTACAAAGACTGGCAGAAGCTTCACAATCAATTGCGCACATCTTAGACTTCCCCACGTACGCCACAGCTTGTATCGAAGATCTTCAATTCAAATTGTTCAGTACGAACCCATGCCATCTTCGACAACTCTGCTTGCATGCTTCCGCACATATCAAGACTCGAATACGCGAGCTCGTCAAATTCTCTAACATCACCGGGGCCGCCATCTTTTTGAGGTTTGGATGGTTAGGCATGGTTTTCTAAACCTCCATTGGAAGGAATCGCGCGATGAGTCTATTGTCACCAGGTATGGATACCAGAGATTATAATGGGTCTTCTGGAAGGGAAAACACTGTGCGGGATTGGGGGGAGAATGCGGCAGAGACATTGGCACGAAGATTCTCTCCGAGTGAGCCACGACGATCGCGGGGTCCTGGCTTGGATACAACTATTCGCACAGTTACACCCGAACCTGTCGAGGTAACAGACGACAATTTAAGCATATTAGAGACTCCGCCTAGACTCTTTCCATCTGTGCAAACGTCGCCGCGATCGATCCCTGGCGGAGAAAAGCCTAGAGAACGCCGTCAAGGCCTGGTTTTCCATGATTCATATAGCAGTGACTCCATTGACAAGCCTCCTCAGAGTACCATGAGTCTTCGATCTCGACCTCGAACATATACCGTAGATGCTACCACACGAAAAAGATCAGGATCGGGAGGGGCTCCTAGGAATAGACAGCGAATTGGCTCAATACATTCCACAAACTCATCATCTTTCCATGACATCGAGCCACGGCCCGATACTAATACTGCCATCGGATACCCATCCACTTCTAACAGAAACACATTGACTAAATCCAACTCTCTCAAAAAAGAAAAGGGGTCGGGTAGACGATTAGTTAAAAAGCACTCAAGGCCGACTTCGCCATTTCAAGCATTTGTAGATATACCTGCCGTCGATTCTCTTCCAGATCCTGTGCCTACTGGGAACACTAAGAAAATACTGGGTCTCATGAAAAGTTTACGTGGTCGTATGAGGGGTGAAGTCGAGTATCAGACAGTAGAACGCGGGCAATGGTATCGAGGTGTGTGTTATATTGACAACGTGAAAGGCTCTTTAATGTATGAGGACGACGATAAAGGACCTTTTCACATTGCTGTAGCAACCGACCTACGAGGATGTAGGGTCAAACCGATCATATACTCATTGGAACGACAAGTAAGGTGTCTGGAGATATTAAATCCAAGTCTCGGTTTAGACCTTCGTCTCTTACCAACGGACCCTGCTGAATTTGATCCCTGGTTAGCAGCGATACTACCATGGCAACAGATCAGGCTAGCGTCATCTTTGACCAGTCCACTGAAATCTCCAATAGGCCATCACGACGACAGACGCCCAGCAGTGGATCGACGAGGTTCCGCGTATAGTAATAAAGACTCAAATATTATCAAAGTAGCCAAGCTCCTCTTGTGGGACAAAGGGCCACCCTTATCCCCTGAGTCCATTATCACTCGTCGTTCAACACGACATCTGCGTAACTCTGGACAACAGTGGCGTAGGATATCCTGCATACTTCAGGATAATGGCGATCTCAAGGTTTTGACCGAAAATGATGCTTTGTTGCTTTCAGTTGTTCAGCTCCCACAATTGTCCAGAAGCGCAATCCAAAAGCTTGACAAGTCAGTACTGGGAGAAGAACATTGCATTGCCATATTTCCACAGTACACTTCTACATCCACAAATTTGTCCATATTTAGACCTATCTACCTAGCATTAGAATCACGATTGGTATTCGAAGTTTGGTTATGTCTCTTGAGGGCTTTCACAATTCCAGAAATATATGGACATGATACCCCGCCGCAAATAGAAGCTGACGCCGAAGGTGAGGAATTGCCTGAGGGATATCCTTCTTCAACTAACGATATGTTCCGAATTGAGAAGTCTCTCAACATGCGAATCGTTGAAGCTAAATTTCGAAAATCTGGTATTAGAGCAGAGTTACCCCAGTATGGTAGGCACTCGGTAAGGCCAGAGCCAGATGGGATTCTCGGTGACTACTTTGCAGAGGTCATGCTTGATGGTGAGGTTCGCGCCCGTACAATAACAAAGCTGGAGACCAGAAATCCATTTTGGCGAGAAGAGTGCGAATTTACGGATCTGCCTCCTTATTTACCAAAACTATCGATAGTTTTGAAACGTATGGAAATGTCACAACTAACGGTGCAAGGATTCTTGTCAAGTTCAAGCGTTCAAGTGGCGGACCAGCAAGTAGAAACTATCTGTGGAGTAGTTGAAATATCTGTTGACAAGCTCGAGCGAGGCAAGGATAATGAGGCATGGTGGCCAATTTTGGATCAAAATCAAGAGCAGGTTGGGGAGATGCTAATGAGACTTCGACATGATGAAGTTGTTGTACTTCTTGCCAAGGATTATCAACCAATCTCTGAGCTTCTACATAATTTCAATAATGGGTTGACACTTCAAATATCTCAAGTCATACCCAATAATCTCAGGCAATTATCTGAAACACTGATAAATATATTCCAAGTATCTGGAAATGGATCCGAATGGCTAAAGGCCCTAGTTGAAGACGAAATCGATGGCATCGGAAAAGAAGCACCAACAAAACGACTTAGATACAGCAGGAGGATTGGCTCAAATGAGGTTTCCTTCACGTCCCTTGAGCGGGAACAATCAGTTCGAGACATGGGGAAAAGTCTCAATACTGAAGCGAATCTTTTGTTTCGAGGAAACTCCTTACTAACGCAAGCTCTCGATTTTCACATGAGACGAGTTGGGAAGGAATATCTCTCTGAAATTTTGGGAGATCAAATTCGTACCATCAACAACATTAATCCTGATTGCGAAGTCGACCCATCTAGAATTGATAACGACGGTGCATTCGAGAAGAATTGGGTCTCGTTGATTGCTTTAACTACTGACGTCTGGAGA